AAGCTCGGTAGATTATACTTAGGAACGTGTGTATAGTCTCGCAGCATGACAATGAGGATGCTTTGAAGAAGTAACACAATTCAGGCCGGGATACTGTTAAGAAACTGAGCCAGTAGCTTGAACAATGCGATACGACCAGTCTTGATTGAATCCAGGAAAATGAAACAGACCGTTCAGATATTTGTGTCGAAGTTCACACTGTGTTGTAGGAAAGAAGAGACATCTGCCCCTTCCGCTTCAGCTGTCTGATTTCAGCCTAGCCTGGTGGAATATGTGACAGGTAATGCGCCTAGTTACAGGGTCTGCCTGTTCTTCTGTCTATCACTGAATGCCACATGAGAGACTTCGCTGTTCCTGCTAGTCACTAAATTTAGGAGCGGCTTGATATAGTCCCTGGACTGCATCCGATGCCTGCCTGAGGCCTACCGATCAGGTAGCCTAATGGATCAGGTATACGTCTGTCACGATGATACAATGATCTGAACACGATCAAGGACAATCCATTGATAACACAATAACAATAACAGCAAAGGTAGAAGCAAGGATTATTGAGCACATATACTCAATAGTAAAAGAGTAGCTGAAGAATCGGACTAGTGAACTTGTACTCAAGTGAATAACTTGTATTGAACGCGAGGAACTAAACTAATAGTGCTAGATACAGTGATAATGAGTGTCCTTATATATATTAGTTCCTTCTATTGGTAGACATGTTGGTATAAGTTTGGCATACAAATGGTATATCATATACCTCGATTGCGTGGTCTTGGCGCATCGTTCATATACCAACATGTCACGAGTTGCGTTGTCTGGTAACGGTTCAGGTTATGCCCTGCTACAGTGGCGCATCAACAGTGTGATATCACGTGCTTCATCCATCAGGTGGTTCCATGTTTCTTACACTGGTGTGTCATGTACTTGAGAAGCAATTGGATCAGGTCATGTGACCCAATTTGTTGATACACAATACGACCCCGCGGCACTGAACTCCTGGTCGTTGCGACGATAAGAAGCAAACTCCTTTACGTGGGTTTGCATGCAGACCATCGAACTCATCAGCATGGTTTTACAAAACAATACTAATCCGTGTCGATCATTGAAGGTACCGAGAACAATACCAGTTAGCAAGACAAACAGTGCTGACAAATGTCAGACTGGGCGAAATTCAATTGTGGAGGGAATACACATCGCACTGAGATGTAAAAGTCAGCAGTTCCAGGGCATTCAAAGTTCAAGAACTAAGGCTGGCATGCCATTGCATAGGCAGTGAATTTCCCAGAGAATTTGGGGACTGAAAACCAGCAGTGATTAAAGTCTGGCAAATGCTGATTGGCGGATATGACTTCGTTCATTCCCTTGTGGAGGATAGAGTTTGGTACCCAAATTCCAGCACTCGTACATCTGACCAAAACAATTGAGAACATGGATGCACCTCCACAATAAGCCATCAAATTCAAGGATTATAAATGAGCTGATCCCTTCCTGAACTGCTGTTAAGCGCTCTTATGAGCCAGACATTATCAAAGAGAAGCATTTGAGATATTTTAGCTTCAATATTTGTGGACTATTTTCCAGCTTGATTTAGAGGATTACCCATAAGTATGCTTCTTTCCAGTCTTGCTGATTAATTGAGAGTTTGTACATACTCCTAAGGTAATCACATGCTTATCTATATTCTATATACTGACTAGTTATATATTGTATCTTGTCTTTAGAGTAGACAACAAGTTATATGAGAGTTCAACAGGTTCTGGCTCTGCCACAATTCATTAGAGGCAATCTCTGGGTTCCTTATGTGTAAATTTTGAGAACCAATCTTTTGTGTATAATTCAGTAGCCTATCTTACCTCACATACACTGAGTAAAAAAAGGAGAGAATCCTCGTATGTCTTGCTCAATTATCCATAGAACAAAGGAATTTCCTTTATTGGGACTTAAACTTTGTTGACAGTGGTGGCTTGAGTGCTTGCTCTTGTGGCCGGCAAGCCTTTGCTGGAGGCCTGATTAGGGACACTGTATCCATTAGAGGCTTCTCTTATTGAAGAATAAACACCATTCACAATGTCTTAAAGCGCTAGGCAAATATGATTTTCATTAACAGGCATTTTGAATTAGGGTGGTCGTTGTAAGGAAATTGAATTAGAATTCGACGCGTCTGATGCTGTGACCCGATTCCGGGGGGTGTGACCATTTCAGCTTTACTATTGAAGTCCGCGCAGGGTGATCATAATTCTTGCCCATGATGCCGAGGCAGATATGGTGGCATTCTCGTCAACTTCATCAGTGGATATGCGTGATCAAGTAGTGTGGAATTTGCCAATACAGCTCAAACCAGCCAAGGTTCCAGCTGGGTCGACTCTAAGGATCGTCCTTACCATGTCTCACTCAATCCAGTGGAACCACATCCGCGCTATTTCGGCCCTGAGATATGGAAGGAGGATGGTATGGAAGTGTAGATCATTACTATATAATGGATGCATGTTCCGCTCCCTAGTCTATTCATGCCCCTCAATCGCATCGTTCTTCTCAAATACACGCCCACTACGCAGTGTACTTGCCAATATGCGGTTCCTCTCCGGCATTGTATTTATTCTGTCCTCAGTGACTCTGTTGGGATATGCGTACCCATCTTCAATCAATGTTAGAGGTACTGGCTTCGTGCTTTGAACTTTCAATTCGTGCCCTGACTTATTGTTTAGATATCCCTACTACCCAGCTCAACGATTTCAAGTTCTGGGTGCAATATGCTGCAGCCACCTACTGCCAGCCCAACTATGTCGCCCCAGAGGGTGCCAAGCCAACCTGTTCCGTGGGAAATTGCCCTGATGTAGAAGCAGCGGACACTTCCATCAAATACAGTTTCTCCAAGTAAGTCACTTATACATACATTAACCATTATTCAAGTCCAAATAACACCTCATAACAGCGAAACCATCACTGACACCGCCGGCTTTGTTGCCGTGGACAACACCAACAAGGCCATAATCATCGCCTTCCGCGGATCCTACTCAGTGCGCAACTGGATCACAGATGCTACCTTCCCCCTAACCGACCCGGGCCTATGTGACGGCTGCCAGGCCGAGCTGGGTTTCTGGACCGCCTGGAAACTAGTCCGTGATGACATCCTCCCCATCATCAAGGACCTCAAATCTCAGCACGAAGACTACAAGGTCGTTGTCGTGGGCCACAGCCTCGGCGCAGCCATCGCCTCACTCGCGGCCGCTGACCTGCGCACCAAGAACTACGATGCAATCCTATATGCTTATGCTGCGCCGCGCGTGGCTAACAAGCCTCTGGCGAAGTTCATCACGGACCAGGGCAATAACTATCGTTTCACTCATCGTGATGATCCCGTGCCGAAGTTGCCGCTTTTGATTATGGGTTATGTCCATATTAGTCCCGAGTACTATATCACTGCCGCTGATAATGCTACTGTCACTGAGAAGGATGTTTCTGTTTTAGAGGGAGATGTGAACTTCGAAGGTAATACGGGTACGGGCCTGCCTGATGTTTTGGCGTTCCATTCGCACGTTTGGTACTTTATTCATGTGGATGCTTGCAAGGGGCCTGGGTTACCGTTGAGGTAATTTATTTGCTTAGCTTGCGGCTTCTAAAATGCGGTGGATGGTGACCATTTTCTACTCCTTGGTTTAGCATATTGTTCTATTCGGGTAAATGTATTATAAGTATGCAATTAATATCTCGATGAAACTGGAGCTCATCGAAATATTTTCATGTAGCAGCACATGTAGCGCACTCAATCTCTCAACCGAGATTTAATGAATAGGCTGTATCCTTGCCTATATACTACCCTCTTCCCAGACTTAATGAACCTCGTATCTGCATTTGCGTGAATTGCTGCCAGATGATCCAAACCACTTCCGCCGGGTTCCTGCCCCCTGACCTAGTCGTTGACGGCACCACAGGTAGAGATCCTGAATCCGCCAGGACGCAAGTCCCAACCCTGTGACGCAAAAAAGCGCATCGAGGATCTGCGAGTCGATAATAATCCAGATCTGGTGAGAGGAGTAGAGATTGTTACAGCTGGGATGGCACATTGCCGGTGCGGTGTTACAGTAGTAGGAATAACATCCCACCCCATATAATTACATTAAGGCCGTAGACCGTAATTGCAAACCCCAGGGGTGTCAGGACCCAGCGGCCGAAGGAACGAGCGGTGGTGGTCCATGAGTAGGATGCCTCTGCCTATTGGCTTGTTAGTGAATTTGGAAAAATCAGGAGAGGAACTAACGGGCGGAAGAAGATAATTGGGTCCTCTTTCTTGGGGGAATGCTCGATGGGGGTAGTGTTCTTAGTTTGAGAAGTAATTAGGGTTATCTTTAACTTTTAATCCTTGGAGCAAAGGAGAAAAAGGATTGCGGAGGATTCTTCAAAATATCACAGTTGAGAGGCCCTTGTTCTCATACCCATAGCCACAGCAGCATTTCCTCGATTCTGCAATGGATACGAGTACGAATGACTATCAAACCTTACTTCAATGCCTCTGATTCGCTGGGGTTTGGTAGCCACTAGCATGCTCGCAATTATACAACTGTTCTCCGGAACGTGCTCCACCCGCAACAGCCGAGGAATTGGCGCGTAGGAACCACGAAAAGATATGCACGACTACCTCAATGTATAATGAGTCATCTTAAAGAGCGATCAGCCCTGATTGAGACCAGCGCGGGGTTTGGATACAAGAGCAGAAGGAAGGGTCAACGATCTTGATTTTCAAGTACTTAACCGTGGAGTATACGTGCATGCTCCTGTTAATGAGCCTCCTGATGCCCAATTTGTTACTTACTGAGCGACAGATAGAAGTAAGTCTCCACAGTCATCATCTTCACTATTTTTATCTCCAGTGAGATAGTACCGGGAAGAGAGATCCAATCTTCATTCAAAGTTTCCTGAATCAACTCAACGAGAACAAATTCCGCGGCAGAGAAGGTTTTGATTACTCACAGACCGATTCGCTCAACTTAAACACTTTCTGAACCTATCTAAGTGCCATTGGCTGGCTGCGTGTATATAACACCGTCTATAGTGGTTGTCAATGTGCCATTTGCTTCAAGAATGTTGGTCAAAGCATCAATAGACAAGTGAAATCCACCGGGACCTGTTAACTTGCTTGCATTCACTGCCCCTGTCTGCGTGAGGCCCGAGTACCAGTCTAGCTTGTTGAGCCAAGGATTTGATGTAGACAGTGTCAGTGTCACCGACTCATAGCCGTGAATGAAGTGCTGACCATCATCGCTGTAGTTTGTATAATTGACATCTACAGCCTTGAGTCCTCCAAGGCCTGGGTACGCAGTGAGGCGGACATGAGCCAAGCCTGTGGTCTTTCCGAAGAGAGTGTAATTTCCGGCTGGCACTTGATAACGGGCGGGTATAGTGGCACCTGGTGGGAAAGGCGTCGCCCAGGGAATCTTGTCTGGTGCCCTATAGACGGTCGCAGGAGCGGTCGGCTGCCGGCTGGTTAGACGGGCGAGCATCAAACGGTATGTACGTCCACCCTGGGCGGTAGATGCAGGACACGCAAGCGGATTCTCTCCGCCACAAGCAGGAGGAATCACTAACGCCTGCCAGAAGACAATACGCGTGCCGTCTGGGGAAAAGGCCGGATCTGCGCGACCGTTCCAATTGGGATCGTTGACACTGCCGTTGGTACCATCACCAGCGGCATTGATCCTTTGGCCAAAATAGGTGCCTCTGTCACCGAATCGGTCAATGAGGATGGGCTGGAAGAAGCGCCGGGCACCATTATTGCGAGTTGACGCGGCTGCCGTGGTAGCCACTAAGTCAATCAAGGGTGGAACGTAGCGCATGCCAGCCATCCACATCTGGCGGTTGGATCCGCGCGTGTCCATGGTCACAAACCACTGGTTATCATGGGAGAAGGCGATGGGGTCAGCATACTCAGGGTGTCTAGTGAGACGACGGACAACACCTGTGGCAACATGCACTGCAAAGATATCAATATTATTAGCCTCTCTAGTCGGGCCGACGTAGAGGATCTCATCACCGGTTCCGCTGAAGCCGCGAAGTTCTCCGGCCAGAATAGAATCGTCATGTAGCTTGAGTCGATTCCCTTCCGCCATGATTGGAGCGGGACTTCGAGGGTCAGCAAGGAGATTCACATTGACCAAGTCATATCGCGGAACGCGAGGGTCACCTGTTGTTGGATTATCGTTGAACTGAAGGCGACCAAAGTATGTGTTCTCGCCCCCCGCTGTGAAAGAGCTCCAGCCCACGTGAACATCGTCTGGATGCATGCGCATCTCTCGCACGCTTCCGCTTGGAGCAGTGGTATTAGTAGAGGTAGGCCAGTAGATCGGGTAGATGTATGTTTTGTTCGGATTACACTCGTCACTCACGAGCAAAGCACCACCACAGTCGAGTATATTATTGCCCCAAAGCGCTTGACGCCCATTACGAGCGGCATGGGGATAATCTCTCTCAGGATTGAGAGATTGCGCTTGTATGGCTGGAACGCCGCAACTGAGACATTTCCAAGGATCACCATTGGGAAACAGCGACCCGTCAGTCTTCACGACGATGAGCTGTTGACCGATGTAGACGCTAGCCGGATCTGGGCTGGCCGGTGCACCAACGAATTCAACATTGGCTAGGACATGGTTGCCATCGGGTGTGAAATCGCCCGCTTGGAAGACATTTGAGATTTGACTAATGCAGCCCGTTCGATGTGGATTGATGCTCTCTGCACAGGCACCTTCGTAATCGGTAGGCGCCACAGGAGGCAAAGGCAGCTCTACCACTTCAATAGCTTCCGGTAGAGGTGGAGGTGGGAGTGCTCGAGCTCGGCAAAGAAATGTGGCAATTGCCAAAACCGCTATATTTGATTTCATTTCTGAGTTTGCACGAAGTAAACCTGTATGTGGGATAGAGGATTTGCGTTGTAGTAACTGTGAACGAGATCATGAAATCCAGGGCATTTATATACGCTGGCTAACTAGCCTAACAAACTTTGAATGAAAAATTATCGTAGTGGACAACTACACATCCGGGACTACCCCTCAGGCATACCAGGATTAGCAACTGTTGATGCCGAGCTCTTAGCATCTGTATCAGGAGGGATAATCATATGCAGAGTTATTTGTCGTATACTATGCCCCTTCTAGGCCGAAGTACGAGCCACAGTTCCACTGACCATGGGGTCTCAGAGATTGATTAGGTTGCTTGATTGCGTGATACAGCGTTGAGTAACCTATTAAATTGGAAAGGTATCTATGCCTAGAATGATGTCAGCTAGGATATTAATAGGTCGGGGAATATTCTCAATCTACAATATCTCCGCCAAAGACTCTCGTTCGCCCACCATTTGGGCTGAGCTCTTTGGGTGGAGACTCGCATATAGTAAACGTCTCGAGCCACACGCCCCACAGAACCAAAGGCACCATATCTTCTACCGAAATGGGAAGGAATGTGCAGTAAAATGCATGGGATCCTAGTACGAAATGTGCTGCTTCGCCTGCACATAATTTAAGCACATATAGTTTCCTATAGACTTTGTTGACAAATCTCCGAGCATCCGATAACTGAAAGGATGGAGGAAGCGAGTCTGTAATGCTATCCTCCTTGGTGCACGCGATCAAATCAATATTTGCGGAGCAAAAGGTCCAAGAACAGCTTGAGGCTTGGTGGTGCTCCGAAAAAAACAACAACAATTGATTCGTACGTGGATCATTTTGCCAGTCATTGCGATTTTGAATGTTCAAGAGCATCCACTTTTCCTAATCTATAATATCTTCTCCAAAGACCTCTTCCAGCGGCCACCTAATGTCTGCCCTCCAGTGTGAACCTAGGGTATGGTATATATCTCGGAGCACACATTTACCCCAGAATCCAATACACCAGTTTCTTCTGGAAATATGAAGAAACGCGCAGTAATGTGCATGGACTACCATGCGAAAGGTTCTTTCCTCTGTACACGATCCAAGTATGTGGGCTTTGCTTTGATGGCCCACCCAACGGCCAAAGTTAGCGAGTCTGGTTGTGCGTAAGTGTACGCTGACAGGTCCCGCAGGGTCTCAATGGCGTGCACATAAGTAGCTGTCGGATGGCTGCTCTCAACGCTGCAATCTTCGTTGAGCTTTGTAAGGTACTCAAGGGCTTCCTTCACACGACTAGGAACGGCAGTGTGTGGCAGACGCGCATCAAAAAGTGGCGCAAATGTGCTTTGCCGCAGGTGGCCAAAAGCTGTATTGGTGATTTCCTGGACACCGCGGCATAGAACAAAGATATTGTTGAGCGCATCTAGGCTAGGCTTGTCAGATTCCGGGGACCCAGTGAGCGCTGAGCCAAAGGCAAAAGCAACGACAAGTCCAGCAAAGCTCACCATAGCTTTAGCGTTTGTTGAGTTAATATCTGTGAGTCCTCCCACAAATGAGTGAAGCGCCTCGCTCTTATGTGCTGATGCCAGATCCAGCCAGAATGTCTTCTCAGGGTCCGCCTCGGTGAGACAGATATGCAAAGCGGACATAGCCAAGATCCCATGCATCAGGAATGGGTTCCGTAAGGCTTCTTCAACTACAAGAACCAGCCAGACATGTTTGGTTTCCTCTCCACGAGAAAAGGTTTTATACGTCTCCCTCTGCCATTGCACAAGCAACCTGAGCTGACTCATATCCAGAATTGGGGTAGGGACAGCCTCCCCACTGGTGACTCCAAATCTATGCAAGAAATCATATCGTGCGTCTGTGGAACGGTGATGATTTGGGTTATTTGGGTTCGTTGATTCCATTCTTTGTTCTTCTTGCTCTTCTGAGTGGCGACTACCACCTGCCCAGATAAATGGAAGCTGAGTGTCATAATCACAGGATTCGCGTCGCAATCGACAATTAGAGCAGGCAGGCCGGGCTTCGTCGCACTCAAAATCACGACTTAGTCACACTTTCCTAACAAACATATCAGACTTCCCTTACCTTCACTCGGCGGCGCTTACAGGCCTTACAGCCATGTCGGGACTTATGGTGAGGCCGACGTTGAGGCATTGGATGAGGTGGAGAGTGTTACAGGAAAGACGTTACAATTATCACAAGGTACTCTGGGTTTCTCCGTCCTGACTATCTAAGCCAGCCAGGGATACTTTTTGTCGGATGGAGTTTGTGACGTAGAAACATGGGTGGCAATTTTTGCGCTGACCGCCTTCTTTTCCTATTCTACCATAATCGGTAATAAAAACGAGTATACGAGATCCACAACCCAACTCCCAGCTGTGCCAAGAGATTTGAAGGTCTGACCCACAAATCATGAACTGTTTGCGTGGTTGGCGGAGGAGCCAACGAGGCTGTGAGGTAGAAAAAATGATTCTACACAGAAACTGCGTTTTTGTCCCAAGTTTGAGCCTACGAGCATTAATCTACCTGTCCGGAATCCGAAGGTGACCAATTATGTTCGAAAATATTTGCAGGGAACGTGGAAAGGTGTACCTCATTAAACCGCCAGAAAGAATGGTGTACACACTCCATTATACTTCAACAGGGGTGCCAGTGGCAACGGGAATACAGCCCTAAACCCAGTTTCAAGGATAGATACGGGCTGAGATGACTAGAATTTCTTTCTGGATGTATCATTCAAATGTCAAGTTATTGCATGAGATTGGGACGGCAATGCTTCGATGTCCAAAGTCGTATTTGTGAGGGGTAGATTCTGCTAGTAGAAATGGGAAGGTGTTGAAAAATATATAGAGACCCTAGACTGATAGGAATAGTCCGGACACCTTTTTAGCCTAGTGGTATTCTATTTCAATAGAAGGGAAGCGAGTTGGCTTGAGCAGGGCAGACAGACGGCCTCTGGCAGTCCAACCGCGTGCACTTCCCTCTGCCCGCTCTCGAAGTGAATTCTCTCCACCAAGCCTACACTACTTATTACTTTATCATCTGCGCATGCGCTCATTCATTCCATATATGAGAGAAGATAATACCTATTGCTAAGTGACTTTCGAATCCTTCAAGCTCGAACGAAGATGCCGGTTCATTCACACTTTAAGCAAGCGGTAGAAAAGTACCACTTGCTCACACGACGGGCCATCCGCTGGAGAAATTAATCTTATTCCATCCAAATCGCTTCTGGCTGTCTGCATAGCCAATCTTGGTATCGACATAGTGGTAGTAAAGGATAGGACCAAGGCTTGGGTCAGTGAAAACTCCCCTGCGAAGAATTACAATTAGCACTTTGATGACTTTTAGTCACGGAGCGAATGTGAACAAAGAAGAGACATACTGTCCACCAGGTCCGTATACAGTTCCATGACTTTCGAGGACAACAGTGCCGCCACCATTCGTGCAAGCGACACCGCTAGCGTCAACCTGGGACACCATCAGTGTTACATCATGCGACGCCTTCTCCTTCCTTTACTTACGAAATTGCCAGTCGCCGAGGTGGATCGGCAGACTTTGATCTTATACTCTTGTCCGGGTGCCGGCCTGGATGTGTCATAGCCACAGCAGATGCCTGCAGAGAAGAAGAGATAGTAATAACCACCGTGCTTGTACATGAATGATCCTTCAACGGCATGGGTTCCTGAAGGATTATAGGCGATGTTGTGGGCTGAGGAGGAAATGGTGGTTGCGGCTGAGTCCATAGGTGCCTGGTAAATGTCATGCCAGAAGGAACCAAAGTTCATGTAATATTTTCCTCCATCGCTAAAGAGGTTGCCATCAATTGCATTGTATGGCTTTGAGGAGCTGGATTGGATACCCGTTGACCCATGGTCGGTCCATGAGTTCAAGTCCATGGTTGAGGATGTTGCAAGGCCGATGGCAGAGGATTGGGATCCAAAGGTTGAGACTGAATAATACACATGGTAGACGCCGTTGACGAGGGAGACATCCGGTGCCTACTCAGTTTGAGTCAGACTTTAACCCAGAGGGATGCTGCAGCAAGCTGTCTGCAGACTTGCATTATATACAGGGGATATAGGGATGGTCAGACAAGAACTTCGACTGAATGAAATAGAAAGTAAAGGTGTCAACTGAGGAACTACTAACCCAAAGATCGTCCTTTCCATTGAGGTTGATCGACGATCCGCTCGGCAATACAGAGCCTAGCACAGTCCATGGGCCTTGAATGGAAGAGGACGACGCGTAGGAGATCTTATTGCCAGTAGAAAATCGAAAGTATTTTCCGTCGGACTGCCTTCGAATCAGGGCAGGGTCATGAACGTTACAAGCTCCAGAACATGACCCCGGGTTGGCATAGCCATGCACCAAGGGTGCCAGGCAGGACGCTACAGCCAAGAAAGCTAAGGAAGGCATGGCTACTGAATGATCTCAAGTCGATCTCAGAATGGCGAGAAAAGAAGCATGATACGAGGAAGCAGTTTTGCTTTATATATGCGTGATTCATTCAACTGCTGGTACTGCTGAGGAGGTCGCAAAACAAAAATATATTATTTGTGCAAAACATTTGCCCTTTTTCTGCTCCGGTGGGAGGATCTATTTCATTAGGTTCATTAGCTCTGTCGCACATGTTGAGGTAGGCGGGTAGTAGAGGCTTATACTAATGACACGGCGAGTTTCAACTTCCCCTGTTTCCAGCAATCGCAGGGCAAGAGGAACCTCGGTCATTGTCCTTGACTGTCTTCATCCTGCACTTCGGCATCCACAATGATCTCGATTTGCTGATACTGTACGCATCACTTGGTCATGTCTTCCTAACATGCTAATCCCTGCAAATTAGCCGATGCCTTCACGCTGCACTCTGCGGGATGTGTGGAGAAAAACGCGGGGCGACAACTGGAATTCTCCATCCTGTTCTCTCATCGAGGTTACTCAACGCACCCTGTTGGTTAGATATGCCGGTCTCATAATTCCCCGAATACCCTGAATGCGGTGACTTGCCGAGTACGCATTGCGCAAAATTGCAGTCTATCTAGATGCTGGAGGAGTTTCTGTTTCGGATTGTCTTAGCGTAGCTACATTACAGAGTGGATACCCACCAATTGGGCATTCCTCGCGGAGTCTATACCAGGGTATGTAGGTGTTCACTTAATCACGGGGAGCAACCCTTGTCAACACCTTCACATGTTAATTTTCGTTGCAGGGACTGAAGACCGAGCAACCCCAAACGAGGCATGTTGGCCCCGTCATACCTCACCGGATGCAATACGAGCACTCAGAGCACTGAAGTGCTTGGCTCTAGATTCAAAACAGACAGCTGAAAATACTTACAGACAAGCAGCCACCAATATCCATATTCCTGGGGTATAGGGAGCGTTAAAGAAGCTACCACAGTTGTGTTTGCTGGGAGTAGTACGACACTAGTAAGCAGACGCATTTCGGACTTAGAATACCTAAGGCCCAGCAAAGCATGAAGAGCTATATTTTGGAAAATCTGGGAACATGGAAGCAGCTGATCAATTTAATATACGCAACTGGGATCACCAAAGCATAGAGTATGACGTTAGTTGAGTTACAATATTCGGAATCATCCCCCAAAAATTTCCACAAATCAACATATACATGCCATTGATTTACCACACTGGGTACTACGCTGGGTGCTGGAAAATTTAGATTTGCGGTCCCCCGAATCACTGTAAGAGGTATTTCGCGGAGCTCTACTACAGTAATGACCTCAAAACTCTGCAGATTCCCATAGCAAAGTAAAAATTCCCCAATAAAATCTTCGCGTACAGTCTTGAACTGCTGTTTTCTGGCCTTTGGTTCTCCTGCTTCGCGCACTGGGTATGTAATCGTCGGATTATTTTGTGAGATGCCGCATTCCTTGTACAACCTCATACTGAATTGATATTCCTCGTTTACCTATACCTAGCAGATGAGTTTGGCTTTCTTCCTTTGTAATAGCATGATGTCTTGAGAAGGGGGCGAAACCGCGGCGCACGGTGGCTTGAGTACATTAATCGTCTGTGAACAGCTTAGGAATCTAAGGGATCACCAGTGATCACTATATACACACACAAATATAAATGTTACCTGGTATAAGTGCTCCCAGCTGTCTCCTTGCTCAATCCCTTCTCATTCATAATTCAATACAGTTCCTCACAGCTTGCCCTGGCCAGCGTTGGAGGTAACACTGGAGACAACGGTGGTGTAGGCGGAACTAGAGGCGATATTCTGGCCCTTGAATTTGGAGAGGAAACCCTCATCTGCCTGCTTGAAGGTTCCGGAACTTGTGAAGCCGTTGACCTGGCAGGTATGGCCAAGGTAGGCGGAGCAGACCTTGTTGGTAGTGCTATCGGGCGAAGTGAAGAGCTTACCGGAAATAGGTGACTGGGCAACAACCTTGACGTTTTGGAAGACGTTTCCTTCGGCGAGGACGTACCCACCAGAACTGACCTCAAAGGCGTGGCCGGAATTCTCATACCAGTAGTTATTGACCTTCATCTGTTAGGCCGAAGACGTGCACACAGAAGGGCGAAGAAGAGGAACGTACAGCATGCAGCAGAGTATTACCAGTGACCTTAGGAGAACGGCCACTGGTGTGGTAGATGTAGTTACCCTTCATGGTGACCATGTCGTTAGAACCGTCAAGGAGAATACCCCAATAATGATGTCCATCGCAAGTAGCGGAATAGTCGGAGACACCATTGATATAGCAGTTGGATATAGTGACGCGGTTGTCAGCCTGAGTGCCGAGGACGATGTGCTGGCGACCAATACGGGCGGTCTAGTATCTACCGCTTAGCACCATTCTCTCCTGTGAGGAGTGATGCTGATGCAGCTTAGGGCTGGTAGAACTTACAGTGACATGGTCGATCCAGACGAGATCAGCATTGTTGAGGGTGATGGCGTCTCCACCCCAGACATACTTAGGGTTGATATCGGTAATCGCGATGTTCTGAATGATGACATTCTTGGCACCGCTAATAATCCGCAAACCCTTACCCTTAATGACACCAGCGCTGCCCTTGCCGATCAAGGACTTATTGGAGTTCACAGTGATACCACGGATACCAGCATTATCATAGCTAACCCTGGCCTTAGCAACACCGGACTGGTTGTCGCACCAAGAGTTCTGGTTAATAGCGAGCTGGCACTTAGAGCCGGTGCCCCAGGGGGCGCAGCCGGTAGCGGTGGTAGTCCCTTCAGTGCCGCGGAAGTCGAAACTAGTAGTTCATTATTAGCGTATCTTATCCTGTCGTCTACTTGGAGAGACGGGGGAAGGTGAATGTACGTCTTAGTGAGGATGATGACGCGAGCTTCACTGTCGCCAAGATATGAGACCAGCTCATCAGTCGTGGTAGGGTAAACCGGGTTAGCACTTCCACCACCTGTAACGCCCTTGGCAAATCCCTCAGCGGCTCCAATGACGCCAATGGCCGCGGCGGTGCTGGCCAAAGCAGATGTGACCACTGCAAAGAGAGCAGTATATCTCATGTTGAGATAAAGAATGACTAAAAATCTGAAAGAATGGAAATAGGGACCAAGAGTAGAACCAAAAAAAAATGAATGATTGGTGTATTGAATGAGCATCCTCTTCATGGGATAGACGAAGCCTTTTAAGCTACTCTGCCCTGGATTCAGACATGGCCCAGATGAAGTTATTGTTAATTTAACTCATTCCCTGGACCGGGCGCAGGACCTGACTCTCAGGCAACATACCCCTTTGGCGGATTGGTGTTAAAGTTGATTTCCATTGTTTCGGCCGTTGACCGATAGACGACAGCACACCGTACCATGGGCTAACTATGGAGCAGGCGTAACCCAAGTGTTTCATCATGCTACCTGCGAATACGAGGTTTTTCACCTCTTTGTAATTAGCCTCAGTTGGCCCGAGAGGAACTTGTGGACTCCTTTAAGGTCTTCTTGAATAGGGTGTTCCACCAACCACCACTATTTCAGCACCATATTTCTTATGAAGAGCTATAGGATCTTGGAAGTGATACTGACAGAGAATCACCCGATTTAAAGCCGTTCTTGTGGAATGACAGTGCACCTTTGTTCAGCGTTCAAAAGTGTTCTTAAGAGCGTCTATTCCAACCATCAAGTACTTAGTACTCTTCGTTGGGCTCCGACCTCAATGTTTCCTCATAACCCACCCCAGTCTCTAATTTGGGCCTCGCCTACATGGCTGCAAGGACATTATGTCTCATGGCTTGAGAAGCCATTAGGTTTAACTTTATCTTATTAATTCTTGGAGCAAATGGACAAAGGGATTACAGGGGATACGATTCCTCAAGAACTTATTAAAAGAGTACTCGTTCTCATACCCATAGCCACAGCAGCTTTTCCTTGATTCTGCAATGGATACGAGTACGAATGACCAGTAACCTAAATTTCCATCATTTCAAATATTCCAAGCTTCACTTATCTCACTTACTACCACCCCCTTGGCTGATTTATTTGGGTCTAAACCCAGTAAGTTTCTTGGCTGGCCTCAACTTCCTTTTTTTCAAGGGGGCTATGAAGATTAGTCTTCTTCCCTGGTCTGCAGTAGCAAACCTACTAAGGCGGCATTAAGCTCTGTCCTCCAATTTGGAAATATTTTTATCATGCCGTTTCTAGTAGGGTTCAATCTATATGACACAAAATTCAATACATGTAGATGAGCCCATTATTAACCTACCTTTTGCTTGCCAATTCAAGGTTGATTGTCTCTTCCATTGCCCGGTCGATTCTCTCGCTTGTGCTGTGTTGGGTTCCTTCTTTCGCCGATCGCTCATTTCAGGCTAAACACATAGGTTACTTGTTTTGTTGAAGTTGTACCCAAGCTGGCTCTATTGAATTGCTCTATCCAGTACGGTAACCAAGACCACATTGACGTTTAACAGGATAGGCTTGCGAAAATGGTCCAGAGCGAAGGAGGGTGTTCCCAGGGAAGCTCCACTGGGGAGTTTAGTATCACATTTGAGATTGAGCCTCCAGCTGCTGTTCGTCCTGGGACGCCATTTACCCTGCCAGTAGTTGTGGCAGTCAGGCCGGTGGGTAAAGTCAACCCAGCAGTCCAGCACATGGTTGCGTACGCATCGCTCAGGAGCGAGACAGGAGCAGCAGCGGCCACCAGACCTTTGGGGACACTAACATCCAGTGTGCGCAATCGAAACGGGAACACAACAAGCGGATTTGCCAAGTTCAGCCCTATGAGCGTTGTACAGCCAGGCCGCTACCGAATTCGAGTGATTCTCGGTGCTGCCTCACACAGCGGAGTCACCACAAAGGAGTATGTCGACTCGGGTGTCATTCATGTCCATGCAGGAGCAGAAGCCGTGCAGCGCCCAAGTACGTACTGTCTTCAATCTGCTTCTCACATGCCCTTGCAATAATGTTGCATATTCATGTTGACCACCGACTGACCGGTTCCAGCGCCTTTGCAGTTATCTAAGCTCCAGGCCATGACGACGGAAAATATTGATATAACACCGGCTGATATTGCAGCTTGGCAGAGAGGGGCATAAACATATCTCAAGTCTCAGCTTGCAAAGCGAGCATAATCCAGAAGTGCCGTGCCTTGTTTGGATTGCCATAGTCGCGTTTAATTTATACTGTGCTCTAGAGGAAAGTTAGATGCTCTGTGAGAACTAAGAATCAGCCGAGGGGTCGTGGCCCTCATACAGGAGGATATGGTCGTAGGGACAGAAACTGGGATGGACACGACAGACAGCACTACCTCCAGCATGATTGCAAGGTCAACACTGTCATTCGGCGCTTGGCTACAGCCGGAGATCATACCGTGCTCCAGAAGATTCGGTGTAAGAATGTCAGGCTACAAACGCCGAATTATCGAGGGACTACTCCTCTTCATCGGGCAGGGGCGATGGACCACTTTATAATAGAAGAATACATCGTCCCCAGCAGACTCTTCCATCAAACCCTCCAACTTATGCCCATACCAGTTCTGACGACCTTCCTCACCAATGAACAATAATGACTGGAACTTGGTTTCGGAATATTGGAATCATCAACGCCTACCACAACGTTACCCTGGTAACATATAGCGGAATTCTCTGTTATGACCCAATTCGTTCTCTCCGACAGTGGAAGTATCTCTGGACGTCGAGTAGTTTCGTTGGCCTTGTCCTCGGAGGGCACACTGTGACTGTTTAGCAACAGTTGGGAAGTCGCTCATTGCATGCGCTACCTAGCAGCTCTGCATGGCTGCTTCGCAAGCAGTTCGGGGGCATTTCTGAAGTAGTAGGATAGTCGCGTTGGCCTCGATATTGTTACACCAGGGGCAGAAGAGCCCGGATGATGTTCATTGCCTCAGTCAAGCTGGCCCGCCTATGCTCAAGACGACGACGTGGTTAGCGGGAGCAGGCTGTCGGTGTGAAGTTGTGAAGTTTCAGTAGTGGGGAAAGAGGGAAAGACCGTTACTGCTCTCATTGTCCAACCAACGACGGAGCTCATATCTCGATGTACAGGCTTCCTAGGTTTGATCCCGCTGCTCCCAACATGTCCGGTACATGCAGAGGGATTTGCCCGCCTGATGGCCAAGAAAAGAGTAGACCAGAGGAGTCATCGTGCTCATCAGCTCCGAAAACAACGCCATTACCTGTCGATTACTGAAGGTATGGAGAACAATACCACAGTCAGCAAGGAAACCTCGGTTCTGACATTTGGGTTAGTGGGCGAAATTCAGTCATGCAAGAAATAAACATCGTACTGAGACGTAAAGTCGGCAGTTCCAGGGCATTCAGAGCTTAGGAGCCGAGGCTGGCAGGTCATTCCATAGGAAGTGAATTTCCCAAAGAATGCGGAGGCTGTGAAAACCGGCAGTGGTCATGTCTGGAAGTACCGATGGGCGGATATGACTTGACTGTTCTGGTTGCAGATAGAGTTCGCCACCCAAATTCCAGCACTTGTGGAATCTGACAACAATTTGAGAATGTGGGAAATGCACGTCCGTAATGAGCCATAGACGTCTTTGGTCATCTCCAGGTAACCTTACGTAGCATATATCCGAACATATCCAGGCCTCAAGCATCTTAGCAAAGGAGCCTCTCTCTTGGCGAAGAGTCTGAGACTCTGTCTTCAGAAGCAGACAACCTTGGTCTACACATGGCCGGAAGCACGCTCATCACTTCTGTGGTGAACTTTAGAGACTTAAAAAGGTGCCTAGACTCTTGATTCAGGGTTCAACAGTATTCCCGGTGGCTTTTCGCGGGTGAGCAACAAAATATTCGAGGCTCATCCCTAATCCTAGAGCGTTCAACTCACCTCTACATAGTACACGGGGCAGACAAAATTAAGTGGATCTTAATCAGGCATGTCATGGGTTATGCCATCTCGTTTGAGCAAGTGGACGCGTTGGCCAGTTCAATAATTATTTATGAACGTGTAATATCAGTCTCAGCAAGACGAGTGCAACAGATTACTGTGGTGCGGATTCCCCAGCCCATACGATCACGCTCCAATACTTTGAAATTGGACCAAGTCCCAGTCACATGACATTGTCTGAGGCGCTAGAGTTGTGCCTGACCATGACCCACTTTGCCTTTCGTCTCGAATACTTTTTGCACCCCACTGTACCCTGATCACCCGCTGATCATCCACTGATCATCCGCTCATCCCAGATTACCTGCAGGCAATCGCCGCCTATCCTAAACGAGGTGTGGAGATTATTTTGGAATGCACTTTCGTGTTTGAGAAGTGTTTTGCATTTGTTTTCTTGGACTTCGGTCGCGCCGGGAAGGTGAGCATAGAAATATATAAAAGACCTGAAATTCCAAGGCTTTACGCCTGAAGTAGTCGCTCTCATTCTATCCTGTTACAGCACCTGTTATTGTCGCTGAAGATTTCAGAGGCTTGAAGCGCAAATGGACCCCACACAGAATCAAAAACAGCTGCTGCTGAGGTCCTCAAAAGTCGCTCGTGTTTTAAGACGTTACAATTCTCAGTGTATTCTAAACTCAGAGACCTTGCTAATGAAATTTGCACCAGTTCAAGCACTTCACAGCAAGTTTCTCTCATCATCTATGTGAGCAAAGCTGCAGCAGATATCTTGCTACCTTCCTATAATTGTCCAAGCCTATACAAAAACAGCATAGATCTTCATAATTTAAAATTAGACGCACCTGCGCCTCCCAGTTGCCTGCTAGATTCCTTACGGCCAACTGGAATGACACTACCTAAGCATATTAGCTGGCAAGCTCCAAAACTTCAGCTGAAGGGCAACACACCTCATCTAAGTAAACATAGAGAGAAAAGAAGTGGGGATCCTTAGCTAATTAATACTAATCTAGCTATTCAGTCCTTTAACATAGTCCTTCAGAATAGTGGCATAGAATAACTCTCTGCTTAGTTCAAGACTTATTATAACATTAATAGCTATCTTGCCCTTTGCATTTTGCACCATAGGATCTAGACCCTTTAAAAGAAGAAGTATAAGCCTATTATATATTCTTAGTGTTCTTTTCCTTGCTATAATATGCAGCAGTGTCTGGCCCTTAGAGTCTTATACTATTAAGTTTATCCTAGCCTTTTTAGGGTCTCCTGGATTTCTTTATTTGCGTATGGCTCATCTATATCCTGCTATACATTCCACCTATATCCCTGTTGATTCTGATACTGAGAGGTCTTAAATGCTGTGAAATATAACTCAAGGGTAGATTGCCCATCCAGATTCTAAGTATTTAGATTAACACCGCGGTCTAGAAGTATGTGGCATAGGCATTACTATCCATCCCTGCGCATACTAAAGTCATCTAGCTAGCTCTGTGCCAGGTAATGCAGAGCAGTATTATTGCGCAGATTACTGACTAGGGGATCTACACCTACTGCTAGAAGATTATTAATTACACTTTTAAGTGTCCTGAGATGCTCAGTATTTAACTAGTAGGCTTGAATGCGGGATAAAGCAGCAATGAAAGGATATATACCTGCCTTATTAGGCTGGTTGACAAGGGAACCAAAGTTATTAGCTATATAATAGAGGGAGGCACAGATAACAGGTAGCTAACTAGAGCATAATTAATATTTTACCTTAAGAAGGATCTACTTAGCAGGGTAGATAACCTGTTGACTAGGTAAGGATCGGTAACGATTATGAGATGGAAAGGAATGGTATATTTAGTTGATCCCCTTAATACAAGACTAATCCTTGTCTTCCTCAGGACAGACAAGGAGGAAACGCTCCCATATACGTTCACCAACGGTTCGATGGCACTTCGGCCATGATGCGTAGACGTAGGTAGGTGATATCATACATATGTTATTCACTTCTTCGTTGGGTAGTAGTAGTGAGCGGCCATCGTCAGCTAGAGGGAGATGGGGAGCAGTCGTATGCTGCGACCTGCCTTCTCCCAAGCTAGGGCCGGCTCATCGCTATATATCTACTCTAGGAGCCATCGTACATTCCTAACAGCGTAATGTAAACAACAATGGCGAGATATCAACGCTACGAAGGGGTATGGAACATGCCCGCCGGCAAAGAACGGCTCTCGTAACTGCCGACGGGATCACACATAGATGTAATGCAAAGGTAACGATGTAACCCAATCTGCATCCACTCCATTACACCTTAAGAAGATGATGCAATGCATTCTTTCTATAGTTATTAACTACCCGCATATTTGCGCCTTAATTAACAAAATATTTATGTAGTATCAGTATACCTAGTAAGGTGGTCATGGTTACTCTGGGAATCTTATTTACTTTATAACAGTTGTCAAGCTAAGGGAATAGATTATATTTAATTCCATGCTAGTTTACCCTAATAAACACATCTAGATACATGCTATTAATTACAGCATCAGTACCTAAGGCACTCTAATAGGCAGAGAGGAGAAGCATTTAGCCCTAAGGATCTCTATATTTAATATCTAGATCCCTACCTAAGAAGTTAAGTACTGGCTTAATAAACTCTCCTTCTTGGAGGAGGAAGTGTATGATGCTATATATGCTATACTTATAGAGGAATAAGGGTTGAATTAAGTCTATTAAATAGAATTTACAGAGTAAGTATTACTCACGCTCCTTGTAATGCTTACATTAGGTAAGTCCTAGGTTAGCATCCTTATCAATGACCTTATCATCTTGTGGCTCGCCAGGGAAGCGTGACCAATAGTTATAGATCCTGATTATCTGGTGAAAGAGGGCGTAAGGGTCAGCACCCTGTTACTAGAGTGCTGTTACCATTTAAGTTATGTTCCTTTTCTGCACTTATGGGTCTGCTGGGTAACATGGATATGTTAATATAAGATGAAGAGGATACCACTCATCAGGATCCTTATAGATTTCAGGGGGTAAAGCACTCTTATTACTACTCACCCAGTCCTTCTCTACTCCTACCACATTAGTGAGATCCGCGTAATCTGGCCTAGCATTTAGATCAACAACGCCAGTAGCCAGCAGGATTTCAACAGTCTCTACTGCACCTGTGGATAGAGTCCCGTGACGGGCTGCTTCGCAAAGATTAAAAGCATATGGCTTGTGCCCCTAGGACAGAAGCTCACGCACATGGTCGGGATTTTCGACCGCCCAAGCAATTTCCCAGTCCTTCTCGTCAAGGTTCATAGTAACTCATGTATTCATAATAATTCCTCAGCACAGGAAGAGAGCTCGAGAGATTTTTATAAGCAGAAACCTGGTTTCAAATGGATTTGGAGTCACGAAGAGGTTTCAAATCCGAGGTAGTCCGTAATCATAGTTGAGAGGGCCCTAGTTTTCATACATACCCACAGGGTGCATTTACTCAATTCTGCAATGGATACGAATACGAATGACTCTCAAACATTACTCCAGTGGCTCTGATTCGCTCGGGTTCGGTAGCCACTTGCATGCTCGCAATGATACAACACTTCTGCAGAACATGCTCCACCAGCAATAACTCTGGCATTGGCGCGCAGTAGCCGCGAAAAGATATGCAGAGTACATCAAATCACTTTCCAATCAGATATGATTGCCCATACGACATCTTCCTCTGCTGCCCGCTTAATCTTAACTTACTATGTCGAGGACGTCTTCCAATACAGACAGAGCATGTGGGCTATAGTATCATCCGGAAACTCTACCCAGCAGAGACAAAATCGGCGCAAGGCAGCCCTAATGAAGATACAATCTAGAGAATCTGGTTGCGTTTCGCATTTCTGTCCGATCCGACCGGATTCTGGTCTAAGCTAGACTGATTCCTAAAGCATTGACTGGGTCAAGAAGGATCGCAGGTTGTGACAACACGAAGAACGGGGAGCTTGAAGACTCTTAGAGGTATGTACAACGCAGAATAGACCCGGTTGAATAAATATTAATAAGTCAAGCAAGGATAACTAAGACAACAGTTGTTGTATTTGCAGGATAAGAGCGACGTGACTTAAAGGACACTTTTCCACATCTTGATATACTCCTCTGTCCTTCCTGGTCCATCTCTCTCAACTATAGCAGTTTTAAAGCCTCTGTCCTTGGCAAGCAACTGGAAGGCGACTCCTTCAGGCGAGTTTCTTGTGATGCCATCAAATACAGTTGCAAGTTTCTGGGCATTCTGTACCTGACCCTCCACAAAACTGTTGATCACTTGCTTGTGCATCCAGTTCTGGTTGGCAGGAACATCCTTGATTCGATCTGCGAGTAACTGAACGGCCTTCTCTAGCTGAGACTCTGGAACAGCCTTCAGAATGAGGCCCATGGCTGCGGCCTCCTTGCCACTTAGTAGATCTCCGGTGAAGAGCATTCGTTTAGCCTTCTCAACACCAACGCGCACCACCCACATGGCAGTCGTGGGGCAACCCCACGCACGGGCGGGCGGGTAACCGATGCGAGCGTCCTCGGCCATAACAACAAGATCGCAGCACAGAGCAATATCGCTCCCGCCGGCGACAGCAGCACCGTGAATCTGTGCAATGGTAGGTTTTGCACTATAGAATAGCTCTGCAAAGCAGGCTGTATTTTCCCTCATGATGGAGTAGTCTCGCAAAGGATCGTAGCCTTTACTAACGTCCTGGCTGCCCTCGGTTTGGCCCCGCGCAGCGCGTTCGGCAAAGATCTCAAGATCGTAACCACCACAGAACCCTGGACCTGCCCCTCTCAGCACAATGCAACGAACCATGGGATCAGCATTTGCGCGCCTCACAGCATTTCGGATTTCCTGAGGCATGGACGAGTCAATGGCATTAAAGCGTTTCGGTCTGTTCAGGGTGATGTATGCGACTCTCCCATCTTGAGAAGTTTCGTAGAGAACGCTGTCGGTCATGGTGGATACAGGGAACGTGAAAGCCTGGAAAGAAAGTGTGTTCAGATAGAGGAACGAGTTTGGCTCGGCTTGTCCAATACGTGGCAAGTTATGTCGGTTGGCCCAGGCCGAGGTAACATGGCACATGCCATATTTTGTGTTAGCAGGGTACCCAGAGCGAGCTTCCGACTGGCGGAACGGAATATATGAAAGAGAAATTTTGACACACTCACAGGCTTGAACACAAAAGCGATTGACTTTCCTGGTAAAGTTACCGGGTTGATGAAAGAATGGAGCCGAACCAGACAACCTCATGGGGAGATATCCGACGGAGATGCCCCGACGGTGACGGTCCGCAACAAACGGAGAAATCCCGCGAAGGATAAGACCTAATATACAGCATTAAATCCAAACTACCCCAGGAAAAGATCAATTGTATTCCCTCTATTCTCTTAACCTCCAACCGCCCCAATGCTTAACTTACATAATAAAGTCGTTCTTATCGCCGGCCTCGGCCAAACCGCCCCAGATGGCTGGGGTATCGGTGCCGCAATCGCCACGAAACTCTCCCAAAACGGTGCCCTTATCTACGGTGGAAACCGCACCCTGTCCGCGGCTGAGCGAACAAAGGCTCGGATAGAGACTGGTGGGGGAACATGCGACATCCAAGAAACAGATGTTACAGACGCCGCCTCTGTCAAGGCACTGGTGGACGGCTGCATGCAGAAACATGGCCGCATCGACATCCTCATCAATAATGTGGGGAGATCGGAGCCTGGGTGTCCGGCAGAGATGTCCGAGGAAGTATGGGATCAGCAGGTTGATGTCAATCTCAAAAGCGTGTATTTGACGTGCCATTTTGTACTGCCCATTATGGCGAAGCAGGATACTGGGGGCTCGATCGTGAATGTGTCAAGTATTGCTGGGATGAGGTACATCGGGAAACCGCAGGTTGCGTATTCGGCCACCAAGGCAGCAATTATGCAGTTTACAAAGGCGTCGGCTGTGATTTATGCAGGGAGGAATGTGAGGTTGAACACGGTTGTGCCGGGCTTGATTTATACACCATATACGAAGGCGCTTGCGAAACGGTATGCACCCGGGGCCGATGAGGATGAGTATATGAGGAAGAGGGAAACGCAGGTGCCAATGGGTCGGATGGGGGATGCCTGGGATGTTGCCAACGCGGTTTTGTTTCTGGCGTCTGATGAGGCGAGGTATATCACGGGGCAGAAGTTGGTTGTGGATGGGGGGATTACTTCGTCCACTGGGAGGGTATAGCTTTGGAGTATTACATAAATTATTTCATTGATGTTATGGGAGTCTTTCTCTCCTCTTCTCACATTTTCTAGTCAAACTTCAACTTCTCCACGCCCACCAGCTCCGCCTCCTGATTCAATTTCTCTATCTCCGACTCCGTAAAAGGAATACCCTCTTCCAACCGCTTCTCGCGGTTAATCTGCTCAATCTCCCCAGGGTAGTAGATACGATCCACGCCTGCCATCTTCTCGCACCCAACAACACGCTGATAGAGATAGTCCATCCGCTCCTTGAAGTCCTCCAAACTCATAAACAAATCCGGCCTGATAGCCATCAGGAAGTGCCCAACATCTGCCGGCTTGGAAGGATCATACGGACCCGTCACATGCCCCGCAAACGCCGACCCTGAAAGCACTCCAGAAAACACATCCATCATAATCGACAGGGCAGACCCCTTCGGTCCACCCATCGGCAACATGACGCCCTCCAGCGCCTTGGCCGGATCATCCGTCCTCTTCCCCTCCGCGTCAAGCGCCCAATCCGTGGGGATCTTTTCCCCACGCCGGAGAGCTTTATAGATCTTCCCCCTTGCCGCAACCGAAGGCGCCATATCAAGTATAAACGGCCTCTCCTTCCCCGCAGGAGCTCCACACGCAATTGGTGAAACGCCCATGAGCTTCGACTTCCCGCCCCAGACCGGCAGCGCGGGCGAGGAATTTGTGAAAACGAGCGACATCATCCCCGCATCAATCGCCTGCTGGACAAGCCAGGCCGCCATTCCATAATGGTTCGAGTGCTTGACGGACACTAGTCCGATGCCGAATTCTCGCGCCATCTCGCACGCGCGCTGCATGCCCAAATGGGCCGCGACGAACCCGAAGGTGTTTTTTCCGTCTACCAGCGCCGCTATTGGTGTAATCTGCTGCAGCTCTGGGGATGCCGAAGGGTCTAGGACTTTCTGGCGTATGCGTTGCATGTATGAGGGAATGCGGTTTGCGCCGTGCGTATCCACGCCGCGGAGGTCGGCTTGGACGAGACAGTTAGCCACGATGGTAGCATGCTTTTCCGGGACACCGTTGCCTGTGAGAACTTTGTGGATGAAGCTCTCGAGGTCCGAGTGTTTGATGTGATGCATTTCTTGCTTTGAAGGGACTGTTTCGGGCATTTTGGAGAAGTGATGCCAAGAAATCTTGGGATTAAGAGCAAATTCAAGAAGTTTCCCTTTTTTTCGCCTTGATGCTTTGATTTATATTAGATAAATTGCTTGCTCCCAAGCAGGATGTGGTTGTAGTGCTTTTATAACTCTGAAGGTAAGGTTGTTTGTTGCGGAGACTGCCTTTCCAAGACGGCGGAACGGGCTGTATCCGAGCAGCGGAATGACTCCGACGGCGGGGAGACGCCAATCACTACATCTGAAAGTCGAGTATTGGTGGGAGAAGTAAGGGTTATTATTAATCATCCACGTGTATTCCTGCCATCTTCAAGCGACTCGAGGCCTAATCATCCAAAGTCTGCATCGGGAATAGCCGACATATGTTTAAAGTACAGCACTGGTAACATAGTCGAAACATTTGATTCCAGTGTAACGAGGCACGATCGTCCTGATCCGCTCTCACTAAGCAATAGTCACCCCAGAACCCTTTAAGTTACTACTACAGCGAATCCTCAGTGCGGAGCGCTATTGAATATCTCTCCCATGAGCTCATCAATATCAAACGTCCCACTCCAACCCGGGAAATCCCCCTGTAAAAGGTCGTCAAAAAGATTTGAGAAATTGGATACGCCATCCTCTGAAGTCGTATGCGGTTGGGCGAGCCAGGGCTCTGCGTTGCGTCCATGTACGTCTAAGAAAGGCTGTCCTTGGCTAGTGCCTAGTTGATATGGTTGCTGTGTAGGCCGAAACTCTGATTCAGGACCCTGGATTTCGCCATGCTGAGGATGTGGCGTAAATGATTTAACTGGCTGGGAATTAGCAGTGATGGTAGGCAGGCTCTTTAGAAGCCTTCGAATCGTGATACTAGACAATTCGTGGATACAATCGCGAGCTCGAGTAGCCTCAGCCCAGTGCTCCCCAATGCTGCTCAGTATGTTCTGTGCGATGTTGAATTTGGTAATCAGGTCGTCCACCGGAATCTTTGTCGCTGTTTGCGGTAACCTCCAAATACAGTACAGCATGGCAAGCGTGCCGAGAAAGACTGAATGCACAACGAGACGGCTGTACAGTAGATGTCCTGTTCCGTACAAATCCCCAAATCCCTGAAGCAACATGATGGCCTGCTGAAAGCACTGCTCGAGGTTTTCGTCCGAGGGATTTGGGATTCCGGGACTGGGCCGCAATAGTAGAATCATTGTGTCGTGATACTTGATCTTACACAAAAGTGGCATTTCACCGTTGACGCCGCTCACTTGCTGTGGTATGCCTGAATGCCAATCTTGTAAAGATTTAATCATATCCTTTTGCCAATCGACTATATCTCGGACTGGCGGATAAGCATAGGCAGGCGCGCCACGGTTGACGCTGTGCATAACGTATTTCATTTCAGATATCAGTTTGGCCAGTCTGAATATATGGATTGAATACGACATGTGCGAAGGCGAGTCTTTGTATTGCTGGTCAGGACCGATGTTGATAAGATCGCTGTCCGAAATAGCAAGGGGAAACTACATTCTCACTTTAGTTGAGACTTCAACTCAGAGAAATTGGTCTTGCTTACCCTTATGTCGCAAGCTTCATCTCTGATACCGATCGGTCGGCCCATCATCGTGCACACTGTTCGGTCAAAGGTATACACCACCCAGAAGATACGGGTCCTCATTTCTTGATCGAATACCGAGATACGGAGGGACGGAGATGCCCGCACATCACGCTGAAGCCCAAGGTCGATCACGCTCGCAAGACATTGATAGTTGAGGTTCCAGATATTGATATTGCAGGACGGGTTATACAAGGCATACACCATGAGGAGCAATAGGCACTGAAGGGAAGTCATGGAACCATGATTGCATGCATAATCGGCATACTTCAATGCAGATGCATAATATCCTTCCACCGGAAGATGTATCTTGCATTGGCGTGATAGATTCAGGGCAGCAATTGCTAAAACCATGTAGACTTGGAAGCTATCCAAAGGCCTCTCTTCCTGCGATGCATAGACTCGGTCAATGAGTTTCATATGCGACTGCTCGTGTAAAAAGGGGTGAAGAAGATGAACTGTTTGGAAGTATCCTGCAGAGAGCTCTACAGCACTTTCTTTTCGGGGTGGCAGTAAGGCGGGTGTATTCAGTAATTCGACTGATATGTGCGTCGATTCCCAGGAGGCTCCCGGTGCGGCTTTCTGCCTGCCACGACAACCAGCCCCAGAGAGGATTCGCTTGGCAAAAAAGTAACCGCTGGAGGGACCAATATACCGAGGATCTCCCCCAGGTGACAACGAGACCAGTCCAATCTCATGCGCCTGCTGAGGTTCGTCGTCGGCCGCATTGTTGGAAGGTACGATTAGTGAAGCAGCCTGTTCACGAGGAATCGTGCCTGTTGGATCGTCTTCGGTAAGAGTCACCCGTATCTCTTGCGGAAAAGGCTGGGACGGAGGCTGGCTATGTTGGCCATGGCTTTCGGCTGGTTCATCAGGAGTACCAAGGCCGGGGTGAGCTGTCTCGTCTAAAGCTCCTACTTGAACGTCTGGCCCGCCGCCCAGGTCAATATTGGAGCAGTTCTCCCGTACAATAGACTCTAGCCATCGTATACGATGCTGCATCTTGGAAATGTATCTTTCTGATTCTCAGCATAATTGAAGAGGGCAACTCCGGGAGGGAAACTGACGAGCGATGGACTTGTTGCTTTCCATCATTTATGCAGGAGACACCCGCCTTTTCGCAGGAGCCACAGGTGGGTGAATTACCGTCACACTGTACGCAAATTCAGCTTTCGTTGGACGAGACAAGCGTTTGAAGTCGCTTACACGGATTTTCCGTCGCTGACAGCGCCTGCACGCGGCCTGATTCCGAGTCCGCCTTTGCGCGTCCATCTCCTCGAAACAGCAGGGCGAAAGCTCAAAGGATAATTCGATGCATGAAAGCCCATAAATTACAGTACACAGTATGCTTAACGATCATCAATGTAGCTTTGACATTTGCCTGGATATCCCTTCTTCAAGAAACACAGGTTTGCGAAGTCAAGAAAAAACTTTCGGCGGGGCACTTCCGTCTACCGAGCGGAGAACCCGTCAGATGACTACGTCTGTGGCGGTAAGTTATGGCGTATCAATAAAACTGTCACCTAGTATTCCGTCTGTCTTAACTTCTATGTACAGGGCGGAAAATGGCACATATATTCATCTTTGGGATCAACTTCAAAATCAAAACGAACCAAGTCTTCTTTGTACGGAAACATATAGGTTGAAGTCACCCTACATTCCGGTTAGTCTTGAATAGACAGCTATTGTTGCTCAACGGGCGATCAATCAGTACATACCGGTGATGCTCATCACTAGCCTGATACTCAGCCAGAGCGGCCTGGTTTTCATGGTAGCTTACAAGAGCAATTTGGAAACCTTTGCTGCGTTCAAGCGGATCCGTGACGCTGGGCCCTCCAACAAGAAGGCGTCCTGATTTAACACAGGGGAGGCTTTTCAATGTCCGAAGTTCGGAAACGAAGGTATTCTTGTGTTCTTCACTGACATCTGGGCGGAATTTGAAGAGGACTGTATCCTTATTTCAAAGAACATCAGCATAACCGTGGCCATCCCAGAATTGCTGACTGACCAATATGAACCAGGGTCATTGCGACACAGGTTGTGGATGGTAAACGTCTTTAACGGGGGTGATATAGCACAACGCGTCTGAAAAACGGTCTTATCAGTTGATCGCCAGACGATATAAGCAGTGATACTGTCATTAATGAGGCATTCCTTGTGTTCACCTGCCTTTATATAGCTAACAGGACGTACTGAGGCAACGGGTGCGTTCCGACGGAGTTCACCCAGTCCTTCACGTCGTTGCGGATCTCTTCCACAATTCCCACACATCGCGCATCTCAATTATTGGCCAGCCAATTGCAAGCTAAGAAAAGATACTGTTCTATCCAAAGAAGTGTTTAATTATATGGAGTTCGTACATAATTCCATTCGTCGTCCAATTTGCATGCCTGTTTAGTCGGATCACTTCCGCGAGAACTGGGGAGGGGGCATCCGACTGCTCCGGCTATCAACCCGTCGGTTCTCCGACAATAAAAGCTAGACGTTTGGAGAAGTCGATCAAGAGATATCCAAACTAACTTCTCACCCCACAAGAGTGAATCATGGAGAGGCGGGACTATGAGCTCCAGGAGCCAATTGTTTCATTTACAGGGCTGCGGAAAGGGCTGACGTCGTATGGGGATGCTCACTTCTCACTCTTCTTACGCAAGGTATTCATTAAAGCACTGGGATACTCCGAGGATGCTCTATCTCGTCCCATCATTGGAATTATCAACACAGGATCTGGATTCAATCCCTGCCATGGCAATACCCCTCAATTGATGGAAGCTGCTAAGCGTGGTATCCATTTGAATGGAGGCATAGCTATTGACTTCCCAACGATAAGCTTGCATGAGGGGTTTTCGCACCCCACAAGCATGTTTCTGCGCAACCTCATGAGCATGGATACTGAGGAGATGATACGCGCGCAGCCCGTTGATGCTTGCATCATGATCGGAGGTATATTTCTGCCCCTTGTTCTCGGCTCTAATTCTAATAGTTTGTAGGTTGCGATAAGACCGTCCCAGCCCAAATTATGGGAGGCATATCTGCAAACAAGCCCGTGTTGCCTCTTCTGACAGGGCCTATGATGCCAGGACATCACAGAGGAAAGCGAATCGGTGCTTGTACTGACTGCCGAAACAATTGGGCCTCATACCGGGCAGGAACTATTGATATGGAAGAAATGGCGTCTATCAATGAAGAGCTTGCACCAACTGTCAGTCTCCTACTTTGCTTACTGAGCACCTGACTCAAATTGTCTCAACAGATCGGAACTTGCGGAGTAATGGGAACCGCCAGCACAATGGCCTGCATTTCAGCTGCGTTGGGCCTAGTCCCGTTACAGGGTGCCTCTGCCCCAGCGGTGTCTGCAGCAAGGCTTCGGGTTGCTGAGCAGACAGGCGCCAATGCTGTAGCAGCTGCGATAAATGGAAGAACACCACAGAATATCCTATCTGCAGAATCGTTCTATAATGCGGCCGTTGTCCTTCAGGCCATCGGAGGATCCACCAATGCCACAGTCCATCTCATGGCGATTATTAACCGTCATCCCAGTATCGAAGGATCATTCAGCCTAAAGACCTTGGACGACATCGGGCGGCACGTACCCCTTCTGGTTGATCTAAAGCCAAGTGGAGATAATTATATGACTGATTTCCATAATGCAGGCGGCATGCTATGCCTCCTGAATCGCCTCAAGCCTCTGCTCCATCTTTCAGCAAAGACTATTACGGGAGTGACGCTTGGAGAAGTGTTGGATCGAACCCCTTTCCGTGACTTTGAGTACTCTCATCAAATCATCCGTACTCTTTCCAACCCGCTGCATCCCCGCTCCTCTTTAATTGTTGTGCGGGGTAATATCGCACCCTATGGAGCCGTTATTAAAGCTTCTGCGTCCAAAGAGAAGAGGCTGCTGCGTCACACTGGTCCCGCTGTTGTTTTCGAGAATCCTCGTGATCTTGCACTACGTCTCGATGACCCGGACCTTGATGTGACTGCGGATTCAGTACTCGTTCTCAAGTCTATAGGTCCTATTGGGAATCCTGGTATGCCTGAGGCAGGTATGATTCCTATTCCACGCAAACTGGCTGCGCAAGGGGTCACAGATATGCTTCGCATCTCGGATGGACGGATGTCGGGTACTGCAGGAGGAACAATTGTTTTGCATGTCTCGCCAGAGTCAGTAATTCCCGATTCGCCCTTCGGGGTCGTTCGGACTGGTGACATCATTGTTTTTGATGCCGAGAATCGCCTCATGAGGTTGGAGGTCAGCGAAGAAGAACTTCAGGTGAGAATTTCGCGGCGACAACGAGAGATAACAGAAAGAGAAGACTCTCCCTGGAACAGAAGACTCACCAGGCGGGGTTATTGGGGCCTTTACGAAAGGGAGGTGAACCAGGCCCATGAAGGCGCTGATTTCAACTTCCTCACAGCGTCAGGGCCTGGCTGGCCTACGAACACATGATAACTACTGTGTCGAAGAATCGAAGTCCTGGAATGAATGTCACTGAGAATGAGCCAAATTTGTCGAAAGCATTGGATGGAGCTATTCTAAGATTAGAGCTAAGCATCCTGAGGTGCCTCTTTCAACTATTAAATCGACTGTTTTGAATGAACGAAAACGCGTTGATAATCAATCAAAATCACGTTCTGGACGTCCTCGCCAGGTTACTGAGCTGCAGAGGGATCATCTCTATGATCTAAGTCAGTCTTCTCCTTATCTAAAGATGCAAGATCTTCTTACTGAGGTGGATGGTGCTGTGAAACAGAGAGCATTACAATATCTTCTTTGAGAACTTGGTTTTCGCAAATGGAGACAGCTTCGTCGACCAGCTCTTACTGGGGAACAAGCCTTAGCTCGTCTTAACTAGGCAAATTAATATCAACACTTTACACCGGAAGACTGGGCACGTGTTAAATGGAGCGACGAGTGCTTAGTTAAGAGAGTTGTTGGTATCTGACCAATCTGGACATTCCGACGACCAAGAGATCAACTCCATGAGCATGATGTCTGCACTTGATGAACAGGGAAGGGTGTTAGACAGATGTTTTGGGCAGGCTTTGGTGAAGAGATACGTACATGATTAGTCCCTCTATATGGTGATCCAGAAGCTCCATGAGGGGGGGTATCAGGCCGGTTTATAAGAGATCTCTATTAAGCGCAGCTTCCTGGGCTTACTGAGCCTGGTGATATCTTCATGCAGGATAATGCCAGAGTCCATACTGCAAGGATTGTGAGAGAGGTGCTTATTCCCTACAGATTAAAGTTATGATTTGGCCTTCATACTCTCCTAATCTCAATCCAATTGAGAACCTCTGGTCGCTTATGAAGGAGAAGATCTATATGTTGTATCCAGAACTGGAAAATGCACCTAATACTGAGGAAACACATCAATTACTTACCCTTGCAGCTAAGGAGGCATGGCAAGCTATAGATACTACTATTCTTCAAAACCTATCAAGGACCATGCCTAACCAGGTGAAGGCAGTAATTGAGGCAGATGGTTGGTATACAAAATATTAGAATGGAATCATTCTCCTTCCTAACTAGGTTTAGCTACTAGTAGGCGGTAAGGTGAGGTGGTCGAATACTTTTTGCACCCCACTGTATCAACCCATCGGTTCTGACCAACAATAACAGCTGAAGGTTTGGAGAAGTCAATCAAGAGATATTGAAACTGACTTATTCGCTCCATATGTGAGAATAATGGAGACGTCGGATCAAGCGAGTCGGGATCATGGGCTCCAGGAGCCAATTGTTTCCTTTACAGGGCTGCGGAAAGGGCTGGCATTGTATGGGGATGCTCAATTCTCACTCTTCTTACGCAAGGTATTTAAAGCGTTGGAATATTATTTCCCTATACCGCTTACTGAGCAATCTGACTCACATTTTGCTTCAAACAGGGCGGAACATGCGGAGTGAAGGGAACTGCCAGGACGACAGCCTGCATTTCAGCTGCATTGGGCCTAGTTCCATTACAGGGTGCCTCAGCCCCGGCTGTGTCTACTGCGAGACTGCAGATTGCTAAGAAGAGAGAAGTGGTCAGCTAGACAACACCTCGCGAGCCAAGATAGTAGATGCTGTACTGAAGTTCGCGGAGGCCTATCAACGGTTTCGAAATAGTGTGCCACAAAGCCAGCTTGACAGTAAACGGCAGCTAGGCCACAGAAGGCCTTGACGAGGCTCTAAGTTCATTCTAGGAACTGGCACACTCTACACGTAAGCTTGAGTTCTCTTTCGGGGTTGAGGAGGGGGAGATTTAAGCTGTGGTGGCACACTATGTATATTAGGATACGACGTTTGATGTTGAGGTGTGATTACTTGTATAGATGTTTGGTGCCTTTTAGCGTATATGGATTGACTTGGATTGAATTGGATTGCACTTTGGTGAGCGATTGATACCATTGTTGGAAAAAAATGGGAATATGGGAATTGAACGAGGTTTGAGTATGCTACGAAAGGCGTTCCAACGCCGACCTCGAATTTCGCTAAATTATAAAAACCCATAAAAAATGGATGTAAAGCAATATTTTCGAAATATCACCCCTCGATCTGCAAGTTCTTCCCAACCTCAACCCGCAACAGCCTCCTAAAAGGCCGACTCTGCTCCCGATTCGATCGATCCTTCACCAATTCCAGAATAACTCCCTTGAAATTCACCGCCAAATCTTCCCAAACAAACTCTGGATTCAAAGCCTTGACGAAAACACGCATCGCCGAGACAGGAACGTTTATAATATCGCAGACTTCTTCGGCGGAGAGGTTCTTCTGCATTGTCTTAATGAATTCCGCCCGCAACGACGACTCAAATTCCGCGAATTCATCTTCCGTTTCAATCATGGCCGTTTCTTCTTCTCCTGGAATATCATCTATGGTAGCAGGGGGTGCTGTCTCTAGCTTCTCCCCTGTCATAATCTCATGAAGAAAGACCTCATCGAGAGGCTCGATGCTCCCCCCGAATTGACCCTTCTTCCCAACCTGCCACGGAACACGCTTATTCTCCGCATCGCCGAGAACCTGTCTCGTAAGTTCGAGGTTCTTGGTCTGGGCGTTCTGGTCAACATCTTCGAAGTCCGCGGCTAACAGCGCTTTGTAAAGCTTCATGTTTTGGATTTTCAGCGATTCAGGCTTGACGCGCCACAGCGCCGCGATTTCGACATGTTTGGTCATTATCCCCTGGCAGGCTTCTTTCATCCGTGCCCAATCGTTGCTCTTGCATGCTTCGCAGACTTGCTTCTTTAGTTCCGCGAAGGCTGCGGAGCGCGAGGTGTAGACGCTCGCGGCGGTGAGGTCGTCGCTGACGCAACGTTCGCCTCCCTCTGCGAGATGGTTCAAGTACGTGATCATCTTAGTGTAACTCTGCGACTGTCTCTCCAGTTTATGTGGAAGCTGCGCGAGCAGCCGAGCCGCGACGGGCCGGAGATCCATATCCTCCGCCGTAAGCATGCGCATGAAGACGGTAATGATAGTGCGCGAATGCTCGAGCTGGATATTCCTCAGCTTGCAGAACTTCACCATCTCATCCGTGCGACTTGCTTTGATCCTGGCTATATTTTCGTTCTTAGTCACCACCCGGATGACCGCTTTGTCGAGGAGTTTTTCTAGGTTTTCGTGGAATTGTCGAAGTGGCCAGCCCGTATACGGGTATAGTGCGACGACGTTTTCGTACCAGATCCACTCCGCGGGGGTTGTGGGGAGGTCGTATTGGGGATTCAGACCGAAGAGTTGCCAGACCATGCTGAGGGGACGGACTCCTGAGCCGGCGATTGTCAAGAGATTACCGAAGAGTCCGCGCATTAACCTTGTGACGGTATCCTCGGCTTTCTCTAGTTCCACGGGCTTAGATGTCCTCATCGCCGCGAGTTTCGACATGGCGGCCATTAACAGTGCGCTCATTAAATGGCCAGTCTCTGGGCTGCTGGGTTGAATATCATGTTCTCTGGACGCGACTGCTTGGCCAAGCGTGCTTCTCATAATAATCCGGAGCGCGGCGATGTGCGGTTCATTGCATTTCTCCATCCATCGCACTGTGTAGGGGCTTTTCAGGTTGACGAATTCATCCCAACAGACCCAGGCTAGCATTGATCCGGTTCCTGATGACTGGCTTAGGTAGGGTAACGCCAGGATGGGCTGGGAGGGTCCTATGGTGCTTTTGAGCGGGCCGTCGTGCTTGGTTTGCGACTGTTCCATGATGATGCCTGCGTCGAATCCTTCCAGGTGCAGGATTCTCGAGTCGAGGGCGCAACATTGGCTAGAAAAGTCAGTGTCATTCGAGGCGTACTATAGAAGGCTTGATGGGGGGGGGGGGGGGGGGGGGAAGAATTGCCCTGAAGAGGACTGACTTCTAGGCTGGTTGCACATACCTGGCATCAATGGCGCTGTTTTTCAAGTTACCCAAAAGTTCACGATAAGGCGTCGTCTCAATATTCAAAAGCATAACACCCATATCTGCTGCGTATTCCTCAAGGTAACCCGAGAGAGTCTCAAAAGTCATGGACTTCGCTGCCTCGACGTTATTTTGAATGGTGGTTTGGCGAACAAGGCGCTTCAGATCGTGCGTTCGCTTCGAAGTCGTTTGAGACGATATCATGTTAGCCAGGGATGAGATCACCGGCTCAAGGGCCTTTTGCATGTCCTTTGTGATCTTTCTCAATTCGCCAAGCATATTATTCTTCTTCTGCACAGATTTCGGATCTTCTATACGGTATTCCTGCGTTAGGAATTCGGTGTAGCTGTCTCTTAATGGGGTTGCAGCGTTGCTGATCTTGGCGGAGAGTGCAGCCACCAGGGCTCTGGAGAGTTCTTGTAGGTCTTTCTGGTTCAGAAGCACCTGGAGCTGTGGAACTACTGCAGATATGTCTTCTTCCAGCTTTTGGATCTGGTCGACTGAAATTTCTTTGAACAACTTCTGTAGATCTTGGGGTTGGACTACCTGGCCGGTAGTGGGGAGGATGACCGAATTTGCGTCGCCGAGGTTAATGACTCGCTCTATGCTCGGATCTAGGATGGAGCCGATGCCTACAGACTCGAGTACACTTGTTACATCTGAGCCAAATGCTAGTCCCGACGTATTGAAGTGTGCCCGATTGGCAATGCCTCTGTAGAAGTAATACTTCTCGGAGATCTGAACCAGAATCAAGGACTGTGGTCCTGCAAGTGCCGTCACTGCATTGATATTCGCCGAATTCATCAACGACAGGACACCATTGGTATCCTTGGGCTCGGTTTCTGGAGTGAGTTGAACGATGAAGAGCGCATTGATTCGGTAGGCAGATGCGAGATTACGGGCATTATCTGTCATTCGTTCGTCGACTATCACCACGGCATTCTTGAGTTGCTTGTAGTAGTCCCGGAGGGCATCTTCATCGGGAAATGGAACATTCGAAGGGACGGTTCCGGTTGCAAGTAGAACTGGGCCTTGGAGCTCGGTACCAAAGATGCATGGCAGAACAACAGCGGAGGGCTCCTCTCTTGTGGGTACCTCTTCTTCTGGTAGTTTGAATTCAAGACCGGTGCCGAACCGTATGATCTGTGTTTTCTCCAGATCAATGAACGAAGGAAGAGCGGCTGAATTGGTGGTAAAAACAGCATTTTCTTTGGTGATGACCTTACGCAGGTTTTCTGAATTCGACGCTGTGTCCTCTTTGACTGAATCATTCACTGGGGCTGTTTCTGTATACATATTAGCTTTGCTCATAGCTTCGTTCGTTTGAAGATGGTGCTACTTACCTCGTGTACTTAGTTCAGGAGTACACATAGTGAAGTCGGCGCGTTTTATCGCTTCTGGGAAGGCAGGGCTGATCAACTTCTCACTGTGGCACATCATGTCTCGGTCCGTGGTTGCGGTTGGTAATATCGAACAAATTATCGAGTCTCCGTCGCGTTTTATTACCAACGGGCAACAGATGGTTGCGTCTCCGATTGTCGCTGCGTCCAAGGGCACCGGGATGATGTAAAGGACCTGTCAACAATTAGTCAATCGATCTAGAGAAAAGGCTAGTTTCTGAACTTACCTTATCCACATGATCGGCGACTAGCAAAGCAGGGTGTGTTCCCAGGAACCTTGTGATGAGTGTAGACCGGTAGCCGGAGATGAACACACAGATTTCTTTCTCTGTTAGAGAGTTCTTGTTGATCTTGACATAATCGAGGAGATTCTGCCCATCAAGAATATCTCCGCTGTGGGTAATTCCCGGGAAGGTATTTCTTGCAAGCCAGCAGCATGCGTTACCCGATTCATCCGCGAAGCAGAAGTCGTAGTAAGTGGGTGTTCGTTCAGAAACTGCTAGAATCGTAATTTGATCTGAGACGATAGGGATCTTAAATGTTGATGCTGGTGCTTGCATAATTTGGAAGTCCTCGAATACCTCTGCACGTTGTTAATATTTACTTCTCCATCCATATACTTATTGGAAAGAGAAGACATACTCAGATGGGACTGGAAGCCGGCCATTCGCCTTAAAAGGATCTCACCCATCTCGCCCAAGTCCATGGCATTAAAAAAGAAATTTTCCGGGTAGGAAGAGATATCGATTTCCTCAATGCCATTTTCTGTCCGACAAAGAAGGATTTGCTCCAGGCTGAAAGGGTGTGCAGAGCCGACGGGGAGGTCTTCCAGGATCTTTTGGACCTGGGCCTTCGAGGTCGCGAGAGGGTTGAAGAAGGTTTTCCTTACTCGCTCCATGGCTGCTGGGATGAAGCCGATCGCGAATAGTGAGAGTAAAAGCGAATGCTCAAAAGGAATGCTGGCCGAATGAGCAGGGTATTTGTACCCCCAGCTGGTCGCTCTATCCCAGTGTCTCACCTCGTGAGTCACTGCGGGCTCCCAAAGTCGATTAGCATGAGTTGAGGTGTGATTGACTAGGGCTGTGGTGGCCGTGCGCCGATTGCTTGCGAGCCTCAGGTTAACCCTTAATAAATAGTGCACCTGGAATAGTTTAGTTCCATTTGTGTCGTGATTTCTTTGTTGTACTAGAGATTCTTGACACACTGAGAATTGGAACTTCAACCCCTTCCCTACTCATGTAAGCCAGGACACCCTAACATGTCCCCGCATAGTCCGCTCTTTTATCTCTTAAAACTAGTTCAACTCATCTTTTTGGATTGGTTCCCCTTGGTAGATTAGCCCCATTCTTGCATACAGTGCCATACTGTATCAGCTTGCAGTGATATAGTTACTAGCACCAGGCACCAGGCACCAAGCGATGGGTTCCATGGAACATTACAGTATTCTGACGATGACTCATAGTAGACTGGAAAGTGGCATTAACGCAATTTCCATCCGAGTTGCCAACCCAAAAACACATTGTAAATGCGATAAAATACAACCTACTATCTCAAACAACAATGGCCTATATTAATGTTGTATTTAGACCTAGGCAGGCCTTCTGGGTAACCTGGTTAGTGAAAACCATGGATCCGACTGCCATTGTTGATCATAGACTGGCTGACCCAATCCGCAAATCCACATCCAACCCGCCCATTCCCCACTTTGGGTTGGATAGGGGTTGACCCTAATCCAATCCGCATAGATAAGGATGGATGACATCTAACCAACCATTGGATGCACGTGATCTGGGCCTTAAGGGACTGATAAGCTTGTCTAACCGAACCTAGGCCTAGATAGGGATATATTTTTATATCTATAAATGGAGAATAGTCATATCTATCTATATATAAAATAAAATATTAGATTTACTAAGAAAAGTTAGAGCTATGGTGATTTTATATTTCAGGTGATGATGGTTAGGGTAGTAGCGGTAAGATATATATATCTCTGCACCAATTTTCATCTTAACTTTAGGGAGTACTACTACTCCCCCACATAAGGTTATTTTATCTTATAAAATAGGTAATATATAATACCTATATATAAATTATCATATTATTATATAAAATATATAGATATCCTAGTGGTGTGGCTAGAATACTAGAAAAATAGGTGGTAATTTTAGGATACTGTGAGTTACCTGACTAGCTAGTATAGATATATCATTATCCATAATCCAATCCGCATGGATATAAAGGTGGGTTAGATAGGTCATGGATCAACCCATAATCCACGTGGGTTGGATTGTACCACTTGTGGATCCATCCAAAGCCAATCCACGACCAGTCTAGTTGTCTGTCTCTCTCCTGAGCTTCGAGACCAACCGAACATCACTCCAAAACGCAGGGCAGGCGTTTCAATCACGCCAGATCCATGTGGCACCGAAACCTCTTATCGTCTTTACTGCTTCATAGTTCCCCGGCAAATCTACCCACGCTTTGGGCAGTGGCTGGAGCCGTCCTTTCTTTCAGCCAGCCAACCACGCCTCAAACTTAAGCGGTTCTGGCTGACCGCACACTTGGATGGCCACCTCAGGCTCAATCAATCTCCTTGATACTTGCAGCGTCCCATATATAATTTTAGTCTAACCAGTTTGATAGCTCAATTCCAAGGTCTACTCTACCTCCTTGTTCAACAGAAAAATTTGCTGAATTGGTTGCCATTTTGATGGATGAATTGACAAAGACATCACATCATCACCATCAAGAATGGTCGGCTTGGTGGACTAGGTTGAGTACGTGGTGTGCAATCTCCTATTATGTGCACTCTGGAGACCGGACTCTATGCTTCCACAGGGGATCATAGGATGTCAAGTCGACAGCAATAATATTGCTGTCTGTTCGTGCTATAAGGTACGCATATGAATGCAGAACTTTCTAAGAACAACTAGTTCCTCATAATAACGTAAGCCCGGTACTTAGAACATACCACATAGAGTAGTGCGCGTTGAGAAGACAATATAACATCGTATGTGGTCTCCCCGAATAAGTGAACAGTGCTACTTCGCCAGACACTCATTGCAGGACATTCGGCCTCAAATCCAGTCAAGTGGTTTCCAATGCCCAGCAATAGGTTTAGGGCCAATCACAATCTGATCAGACCCGTTAGGAACAACCTTAATCTTTACATACTCGTCCCCATGGAAAAATTAAGTCTGCCCCTCGGTATTACAAGGAACTGGGAAAGCTGCATCAATAGTATCAAAGCGGGCCTGAGTCAAACCAGGCCACTCCGGTGTGATATCTTCTAGGACCAGACACTATTTTATCTCCCTTGATATCATACCGGGCATAGTTCGGTCCACTGTAAAAGTAAGCTTGTCCGGAGTTACCGGGTACCGGAATCGCGGTGTCAATGGTGCTAAAGCCAGCCTTACCCAAACTCTTGAGCTTGTCAGTAATCTACCACCGCGTCGTTCTTGGTCGAGTGAACTAGCTTAATGCGGGCAAAGCGGGTTCCGGAGAAGCAGTATCCCCTCGTCCTGTGTCCCTTCGACGGGCCGAACAGCGTCCACTTTGCCGAAACCGATGGATACTAGCGATGGCCAGTGTTCATCAATGCTGGGGGGGCCAAATGTAATCTTGTCGTTCTGCCCGGGAGTGAACCTAACCCGGGCGTAACGGCGACCCTCGACGAAGTAGGTCTGCGAGATGCCTTGGTGGTTGAAAGCTGCGTCAACCATGTTTGAAGATGAAGACGAAGTCTTAATGTGTGAATAGAGTAAGACATTGAACACTTAGTAACCAAACATGAACCAGTTTCAGCGTGATGAGAAAAAAGTAGAGTGAAGGCGTGTCTTAGATACATGAGGCAGGAGTATATACATTATGTATTCCTTTGCACAGAATCGGAGTTAACAAATTATTTGTCATTACTTACACTCATCGCGCACAGCACTGCAGTTGCAGTTACAAAGCTAGGCGCAGCTAATAGTATGGTATGGTATGTCCAACTATTACCCTGCATTAAATCTACAACAGAAATGGATGAGGTAACTGAGAATCATAGGAACCTGAAAGAAGATTACGATGAAGCTATACGATTTCCATGAATAATGTGGTGGTTCTTACCAGCTTGGTATGTTGCACGAATCTAGCAGGTAAGCGTGTTCCCCTATTCCCATCCACAGGAGAAGAAACACGCTGAGTTTCCTTTGACCTAGCATGGAGGTTCCTGTCTAATTCACACTGTCGACGAGAGACACAGTAGCATGTGTTCATACAGAAACCAGAAGCCTTGTGTAGAAATACTCAATCAGGAAGATGTACACCTTGGCCAACTAAAACACGGACTGAGATCATGCGTAGGGCCTGGATGATCTCAGGGCAGTATTGCTGGCTGGGTAGTCAGTGAGAATGCCAGATTCCATTCGCTTGCTCATTCAGTCGAATGTCACTTGCGTGGTGCGTCTCCTATTTCACCACCACTCCCTGTTCTCCGGATCGGAATGTGATCATGATGCAGCTTACACGACGTAACACGGCATTGCGTCTTCAGATGCTAGATCGAGGCAGTAACTTGCAAGTACGGCGTCAGCATCAGAATTCGAGGTAAGCGCATTTCAACCATCGCTTGCATTCTAGCCCTTCAACAGGGTGAGTCGGTCTATGCATCCATCTCTAATTATTTATGAGTCAGTATTTGAATTATCTTGCATCTATGCTCCGCTTCGGTCTTCTGTTCGTGGACCCACCTTACTGTTGCTTGGATCTCATGTGTCTATTATGTAGAGTGATAAGTCGATTCAGAATCGTCCCGCGATACCTGACTTTGTTACTATCACCTACGCATGTTTTCATCGGACATGAGCGTTATCATGACCTCACCACTGGCATTCGTTTCTGGGAAAAATAATGAGGCGGTCATACTCTGTTTTACTTCGCAGAGTGATGACTTTCTGCGTGATGCAATATTGAAGCAGATGTGGTTCAAAATCTATTATGTAGCCATGCCAGACTGCTTATTCTTACGTAGTGAACACCGTACTTTGCAGCCATTCGAGTCACAGGTGGCGTTGAATAGTGCACACCTAGCGGAGCCCTTGTAACTGGTATCGCCCGTGAGTTCTGGACGTTGACTGCGCAGGCTTCACTGCCGATTAGGGTTGTCTGTTCGGGAATTCCCTTTGGAATAGGAGCCTTCTCTCTTTTCGTGAGTTGCCCAGTGGAGGAAGGTTTGGTGTGAGTAACTAACTGGTCTCCTTAGCTGTCTACTATCACCTATCTAGTTGATGTCTACAAAGCCGGAGCCGCAGCCTCAGGTGAGAAATAATTCTGGACGCTGCACTGTGCCCTGTGTATCTGCCGTACTGACCAAAATACTAGCTCTGACTGCAAATGGAGTTCTCAGATATATCTTAGGAGCAACATTCCCACTGTTTACAGTCCAAATGTACCAGAATCTCGGAGTCCATTGGGCAGGAAGCGTGTTTTCCTTTCTGTCTCTTCTTCTCTTACCAATTCCTTGGGTTCTATTCAAATATGGACCCTTCCTGCGAGGCAAAGATCGTCGGCTAAAGTATAAAGCTTGGGATGGGTGAGACGCCGAGACACCCTCTGACCAAATGATTTTTTTAGACCTAACACAATTAACTCAGCAGGTTGTTGTGCAGGGGTTGGCTCTAGACTCGGTTTTAAAGACTGAAATATCTTCCATTCTTCTTCTTTTCTTTGCATCTTCGTCAATATTCTGGCTTATATTTCTTGGAGATACTTCTATACACGTTGACGGAGATATGTAATATAAAGATATACATCTAAGTCCAGTTTTACTAGCGGGCGAACAACCCTGGTCTTTTTAATCGGGTATTCGTATTGGCTGCTTTGACTAACTGATATCGACGTGTTTCAGCGAAGGAACGTCCCTTCGCCCTCTCCTGGCACTGGTGGTCGATCCTCTGCCGCTACGGTACTGTCTTTCTGTACTTGGTGGCATTTTTGTTAAAGGCAATTCCTGGTCGGTGATGGGACCAACAAGGGGTTCTATATCTATTCATAATATGCCACCTAAAGATACACAGTAGTGTCAGATTTCCTTCAAGAAACCAACTTCGATAACCTTAGCCGGTGGCACCCGCAAATTCGCCATCCTATTCCGGGTATTGTCCCTGATCCACAAAAAGGCATGCAGCAGCACCCTCCTAAAAATATTGGTACCACTCTTGATCGTCATCTGTTCCTTCCCGATGATGTACAGCACCTTATGCTCAAATGCGGCTTGTAGCCTTTCCAGAGCGATACTTTGGAGCGGTACAACATGGTCTTCGCACCTTGTTGCAGGCGTCTCTGGTTTCATTTGAATATTTTCCTTTCCATCATCAGGGGCGCTAACTGAAAGCTCATTTACCTGAAGATGCTCCGATTCGTCTACCAGGTAACGACGCACCTGCTCCACAATCACAGATGCAAGATCAGGGGTGATGATCACATCATTGTATCCGTAGCGAACAACAAGGCGATAGCAATTTGGAATCGCTAGACGTGATACACTGTATCTTTCCTTGTATGTCACAGATGGTATTTCCAGTGGGCGCAAGTGGAAGAATATGGACACCTCCGGGATGGCGGTAAGTTTGAGGAGAAACTGACTAAAGACAATGGGTGTTGTTTCGCCGGCTTTGTCGAAGAAAATTCCCAATCCCCTGGTCGTACTGACCGAGATCCCCTCGTACCGGTCCGTCAGGCGTAATTGACCGTCTTTGTGCTTGACGAAGTGCGAGGTGGGAAAACGGTCTTCTGCCTCTGCCGTCCACTGTCGTTCCTTTCCGAATCGCCAAAGGAGAAGAAGGGAGGCCAAAACGACCGCGAGAGTAAGGGTAAACCACGCACCAACGGGGACCTTGGTGAGAACAGAAGATAGATAGGTACCGTCGAGACACGCGATTATAAGCCAGGGTACAAAGACGATGAACGGGCTAATGCGCCATACAAACATGGCGGCCAGAGAGACCATGCAAGTGTCGAAAAAGGTCACGAACATGACACACACTCCGTACGCATTTCCAAGCGATGTCGTCTGTGATTGGAGTTAGCAACAGACCGTGTTACAGAGATAGTGTATCGTACGTTGTTATAAATGGAGGCAATGAGGATCGTTCCCACCATCAGCAGCCAGTTTGCGACGGGCACATAGAGTTGACCATGGAAGATCTTGGAGGTATGGACCAGCTTGATTTGCGGAAAGTAAGAGAGTTTCATCACTTGAGCGAGAAGCTGCAAGCTTGTTAGAAAGCATGAAATCTCTAGGATAGAGTGAAAAGTACCTGGAAGGTGGCGGTGATGATAGCTTGTGACGCGCCAATCGCCGCCAGAATTGCAATTACCAAAGCTGGATATAAGGTTCCTGGAGGCGCTGCATTAAAGAATGGGTTTGTGTATGCGTCTGGGTGAACACTGATGTACGCTGCCTGTCCAATGTATGCCAGAAGCAGACACGGAAAGGTATAACCCAGCCAGCTTAGTTGGATTGCTCTGCGACTAAAGGCCCCCAGATCGGCAAACAGGGCCTCTACCCCAGTGAAGCAGAGCAACACTCCTCCCAGCATTTTCCAGCCTTCCTCTTTATGACGGATGAGAAACTCGAAACCGTTTCCTGGATTGAAAGCTGTGAAGACACCCGCGTCGTATTTCACGAGGTTATAAATCCCGAACGCTGCATTGAACGCAAGCCAAATAATGATGATGGGTGCGAAGGCGTAGGTGATCTTCGTTATACCCAGGGGTTGGATGCAGAAGAGGATTACTAGAATCGCGTCCGTTACCCCGACGATCGTGCCTTTTGAGATATTGGGCTGCACTACTTCGATCCCCTGTACGGCCCCGAGTACCGATTGTGCAGGGGTAAGAAGACCGTCCGATATCACCATTGTTACCGCAAGAAGCCCCATTACCTTGAGAAGTGTCTTCGCGACGCGACTCGACTCTAGCGTGTGGCGAACATGCTGACCCGCGCCCTCAAGATCGCCAGTTCGATACCGTTTCATCTCCACCAAGGAGGTCTCTCTCGGATCACGGTTGGTGATGTTCATCTGCGATCGGGATCAATATCATATCAGGTAAAAGTAAAACAAGCTAAAGCGACAGTCATCCTACATAGCGACTGAGTAATGAATAGGTACTGAAAGTACCTCCTTCACCATCGTTGTCTGCGTGAAGAATAACCAGTACGTATTTGACCGTCACCATCAAAAACAGAGTCCAAATGATGATCGAAAGCACTCCGATAAGATCTCGCCGTGACGGTGGCTCGGTAAAGGTCGACGAGTAGACGTAGAGAGGACTGGTACCGATATCACCGTAGATCACGCCGATTGACTGATAGGCGAGCCAGAAGAGCATCCGACCCTTAAACACCTGCCCAAAGTCAGTCAGACAGCGCCAGTCTCAGCCTACTGACCGTTCTTACCTGCTTTTGCTTGAAATCCCCCGGTTTTCGCAACCCAGGATCCTCATCAGATTCGCCTATGGAGGTCGCCTTGCTGATCGATCTCTCGAGCCGGCTTGTCCGTGAGCGAATGTTACTGATAGCATCACATATTTCACCGTCCTCTGACCCTGCCGCTGATGCCCTTCTATAGATGCCAGTTGCTGTGGTAACGGCCGTCTGCGATCTGGTCATTTCAGCATTCGGGTGCGGCTCGTCCGCGATTGTGATCGCGGTGGGACTCATGGCGAGCCAGATTCTTCAAGGCCACAAGTATATCGCTCTCGGGCGTCCAGTATCTCTAGTCAAAAGAAATGCAAAATCCGCGTGGCTACATGATGGGAACGTGATTCGATTTATCTAGGCACAAGTCACGCCACCAACGAGCACATTGCTAGAGTTTCTTAGTTCCGGCGTCTATCTAGAATTTGCATCCATGGATGCTGGGTGAATATTGGTATGTCAATATGCAGATAACTGATAAGCTGGAAGCCCACGATTCTATGGGACGCGCTACGGTTGGTCAAAAATATATGCCTCATACAATTAAGCTTTTTTGCAGGATAGTTTACAATATTTTAAGCTTTGTCTTTTGTCTGGCTTCCACGATCTTGGCCAATCTGGTTCTAGTGGCTTCACCAATCTAACGCCGTTGAAGGTGCTTTTCCGTCGTCCAAGACTTTGTCAACATGTGGCTGGTTTCGATCTGGCCCAGACTCCAGGGCATACGAAGCCTCTCAGAGAAGATGGACTGCTCTTGGTTCAAACAACTTACATAACTTGCCCGCATAAGTAATGATAGAAAATGGAGACTAAAATTGACCAATATAAGCCACTATTACGCCATCGTCACCCAAACTTTTTAGATGAAGAGGCGCAGTCTTGATTAAATGCCCCTCGCTCGTCATCCGCTTACTAGCAGAGGAGCTAGAGATTCCACGGGACCTTTTGTGCTAGCCTAGCTTAATTAAATAGACTCTCTTCCTTGAAATTGAATTACCTTGTAACACTTTTGGCAAGAAATAGTAAGATTTTATAGCGATGCCATTTAGCCCAGAGAGATGAACTAAGTGTTGCATGTAGTAAATATTTATATAAACCACTAGCTAGAATATTGAGCTTCGTTAGTGCCCTGGTTTTACTGATTTAGGTTAACCAACCCGCACCATTTTACTTGGTAATCACTAATTTCTACGATTTCTCTAATATATTAATATCACTAGATAGCCTAGTATCTAGTCTATCAAAACATGAAATATCAATTCAAAATATTCAGTGGTTGGTGAGACGTAAGACAATAATCATTTCAGTCATGGGTTCGTATGAAAGTATTGGTGGTGGAGGAGTTGCATTCGGTCCGAGTTCGGGCGAGCAACCCAGTTGGCACTGAACGGCTGTGTTTTCGAGTCCAAATTTTAGACATCGGACCAATCCTGATCCATTCTGATTTGGTGCGAGTTTCAGCCCAGAGGAACGCACTGATCGCATCTTGTCAGTATTTAGAACAACGGCCACCACAACTCCAGAGGTAAAGACCCACGTCCTCCCCACTAACCTCCGTCTCTGCCATCGAGCCCAAAACACCATCGCAAGGCTCTGTAGATGCATTCATAATGAGACTCTGTAGAGGTAGGCACTTTCGATCTACAACTTAAGTAGAGGCAGAGGCAGAGATCAGGTCCGCCGCCTTCTCAGCGATGGCATACGTCACCACCTGGAAATGTCCGGTCACCGAAAAGGGCAGCACACTAGCATCCACCACCCTCAGTCCGTCCACGCCTTTCACCCGAAGATCCGTATCAACCACCTTGCCCATTGCCGCAGTACCTCCGGATGATAAAAGGGTGTCCCTCGTGCGCGCACCTGGGCATCAATATCCTCATCTGTCGAGTCCAATGTAAGAGACCTAAATTCCGGCCCTGTCGCCTCGCTCTCGACCATATCCTTCCCTTGAGGAGACTCATTGAATAGTCGCAACACCTGGCGTACTCCGGCACGCAGAATCGTGCGATCCACTTCCGTCGCATTGAAGTTTGGATCGATCATCGGTGCAACACTCGGGTCCGCTGATATCAGCGAAATGCGGCCTCGAGACGTTGGCACCATGACCAATACCGCCGACGCAATATGCGTGCATATTCGCCAACGCAGGTGCATACACAATTAACGTCTCGATATGAGTAGCCTTAGGCGACAAACACGGGTGTCCGTCGAGCTCCCCCGTCTCCCCATCAACCTTGAGCGCATGCGTAAGGTTCCCCTGCGGCGCCTGCAGCATCACGGTCCAGTCACAGGGAACCCCGCTCGCATACGCCGGATGATTCCAAAGCGGAGTCCCGATCGATAATCCCTGCTCAGGGTGTCGCAGTTTCCACTACTGCGCGAAAAAAAAGTGTTCATGGAGATTGTGTCCCACATCTAGGCAGTCCACACCGTCCACCGGGTAGCATGTGTTTATACAGGAACCAGAAGCCTTGTATAGTAATGGCCAATCGGGAAAATATACACCTTGGCCACCTAAAACACGTACTGAGATCATGCATAGGGGCCAAATAGTCTCAGGGCGTTATTGCTGGCTGGGTAGCCAATGAGAATGCCAGATTTGATGCGCTTGCTCTTTCAATGTAGAATGTCACTTGCGTGGTGCGTCTTCTAGTCCATCACCACTCCCTGATCTTGAGATCGAAATGTGATAATGATGTAGCTTATACGATGTAACACGGCATTGCGTCTTCAGACGCTAGATGGAGGCATTAACCTGCAAGTACGGCCTCATCATCAGAATCCGAGGTAAGCGCATTTCAACCATCCCTTGCATTCAAGCCCTTCAATGGGATGCGTCGGTCTATGCAACCGTCTCTAATTATCTATAGATCAGTTTTTTGTAGTACCTTGAATCTATGGTCCGCTGGAATCTTCCGTTCGTGGTAGATTACATTAATAGACACACCTTAGTGGTTGCTTGGATCTCACGTGCCTATTATGCAGAGTGATAAGTCGATTCGGGATCATCCAGAGACACCGGACTTTGTTACTATCACCTACGCATGTTTTCGTCAGACATCAGCCTTACCATAACCTCACCACCGGCATTCCTTTCTGGGCAAATAAGGAGGCGCTCTTCGTCTGTTTTCCTCATTGGGCGATGACTTTCTGCGTGATGCAACATTGGAGCAGATGCGGTTTAAATCTATTATGTAATCATGCCAGACAGCTGAATCTCATGTAGTGAACGCTGTACTTTGCACCCATTCGAGTCACAGAGTGGAGTTGAATAGTACACACCTAGGGGAGCTCTTGTAACTGGTATCGCCCGTGAGTCCTGGACGTTGACTACGCAGTTCACGCGCCGATAGAGAGCCATCGTTTTAGTTTTCTTTCCGCTACATTTGAGATTCTACACACTCATTACCTTACGTAGGAGTAAATAAAACAAATAGTCTCCAGCTGAATGGAAAATATAAATTTGGAAATTACTGCTGCTTTGTTCATCTGTGACCCCCATACGCGCCTTCTAAGGTCTCTCAATTGTTGGAACAAACATTTGTCTGTGGCGCCCATCGAAAACGTGCATTACCACATTAGATCAAAACTGGACTGGTGCAGGCAAACACTCTCCTTCCTTTGTAGGTAAAACCGACGTTGTTTCTGGTGTTGCCTAAAATAAATGTCAGTCGCCACAGTTCATCTTAGATGATGCCAGAGTTCTTACACAAACGAGGGTGATACTTTGTCTGACCATTCTGCTTGAGCTTTTGAAGCTCACTTTCTTGAGATGCCTTTTGTGATTCGCAAGTCTGTTTTGCTGAGAGGCACTTTTGCTTCTCACTGTCGCTCTGTTCCTTCGCCTTCTTAAGTGTGGACTCAATCTTCTTGTAATCAGCCTCAAGCTTCTTTCTGGAGGCGTCGCATTGAGCCGCTGCCGCCGCTTTTTCCGCTTTATGAACGGATTTCTGGGCTTCAAGCTGAGCTTCATATTGGGAAATGATTTGTTTCCTCTCTACCTCCCACTCTGTCATTGCTGCAGCCTTTTCCTTTTCGCAGACGTCCTTTGCAGCGTCGAGCTGGGAATTTTCCTGCAGACATTCACGAGTTCCAGCATCCAGACGTTCCTTCTCTTCCTCACACTCCTTGACTGCTGTCTCACAGCCCGAACTTGCTTCAGGGTTGTTTGACTTCTCTAGTGGTCTTATTAAAATGGCACCAGTAGCCTTGATAGGCAGATAGTCAGAGTCCGTATACTTCCAGCAGAGGTTCGTGTTTGAATCCCAGACAGTGCCTTCGCACTCCGGATCCTGCGTAGAAATTTGAGCACATTTTTCAGCGTTGGTGAAGCTGCCTGCGACCAGCGTGACACCAGAAGTACTCGTATCACACTCGAAAATGAATGTAGCGGAACCTATCACTTCTTCTTTCTCTCCAGGGACCGAGCAGAAACGATCATACTCTGGAGTCGCCCAGACAGGAAGTATCCGGGGGTTCAAAAGGAGACCCAGAACAACAAAGGAGGACCATTTTGCTAGGGCCATTTTTGAAAGTGTCAGACGCAAGAGTAATGGTTCCAGTAAGACGAAATGAATGAGAAGCAATAGCGGCGTCTAATGGGATTTGAAGACTGGCGAGCAATAAGAAGCTGTGTATTTGGACAGGACTTTATATTGCCAATCTCCATCCAGGCACGCACATTGCTCAACTGAGGACATCAGCGTGCTCTGGGTTCTGACACGTACGCTGGGCAATTACATCAAGTTACACATAGCCCCTGGCCATTTCCATGTCTCACACTGAATATTGGTGGGTCATTTTACTAATCCACAACGAGTATATTTGAGCGGTCTTAATCCACACCAGCCTATGCAGGGCACAATTGGGAGCGAGAGGTAACCTCTGAACGCAGTGTTGGCATTTTGGGTCCAATTGGGTCTGAACAGGATTCCAAATACTGTTTCATGCATAGCGAGGCAGCATAGCCTGGAAAGGGATTAAGAACACCATCCAACATACTAAACTGTAATAGAAAGCCGATCTGGGCGATCTTGAGTAGATCCTTTCTGCAGAAAGCTAATCTAAGCGGTAACGCTGCTACAAATTACCCATCGCATTACATTGCAGGAGGCGAATTCAAGTAATTGGGCTATGGGCAAGCCTGGAGTGATTGATCGGCTGTCGCCCTAAAGATACTTCTTCAAGCGCCTTGAAGAAATATGTGTCAGCTGATCACATGCGTAGACGCACCGGAGGTGGCGCAAGAAATGGTTGCCGATGGCCTTCGACTTGTAGAGACAGATGTCTGGCACTGCTTAAGAGAGAAATCTGTGGTGATGTTACCCAATCAGAACCCATGACTCGAGTGTATTTGCTGCTTCCAGGCTTCTGAATGAATGTTGGTGGATACGAGTTCTGTAACGCAGAAGCGTCATACGTTGTCGTCAGCTCTTTAGGGGATATTGAAAAGGTTTGTTATCACTTACGATCAACCAAATGAGGAGCGGTGACATCATGAATAGCGTTCAACATTCATCTGTGGGCTCATTTAACTTGTTGTGGGCTATTCATTAGACATCACAGAAAAAGCTGAGTTAGTGTCGCCCGCCTGCATTGGCGGAACTGGACTAGCAATGCAACGATGTTACATAGCATGTATCAGCTCTGATTTAAGATACAAGCAATCTACTATAATTATGTCCTAAGTAGGGACGGGTAACACTGGAAATCTGCTTCTAGCAGGGGGTTGAGCAGAAGCGACGTATCACATATTCGTTCCACTGGACAACTTAGTGGTAGGATTCCTCAGCTAGCCACAGATCTAATCCTGCAAGTGATATCGTTAGACTCCGCCCAATGCAGCTAAATAATCGCTTCCTTTTCCAATCAAAAGGCGTCACTACCCAATTTCTGGCCGCAAGGATCCATTCGACGGCATTGTAACTTGGTACATACCAGCTATGTGATTTCAAATTTTCCTCAATGTGGCGGAACTGACGTAAAATCCTGGATACCTTAGTGTTACGCTGCAGGTCGATCACAGGTCTTTCTGTTGATTGAGCACGGAAAATACAATGCGGCAAGAAGCAAATTCTGATCACGCCGCCGGTTCTATCAAAAGGGTCAAACTTTGCTAGCCACTTTTAGGAAAGTGAATAGAGTCGGTGTATGCAGCATCCGGATAAGTGGATCAGGAGGCTTAACCAGACCTTGCAGGGAGTCCGTCCAGCTTCGCTTACGACAGACAGCATATGTTGATGTCAGCTGAACTTCCTGTTACTTTGCTGGAAACAGGGAATCATTACAGTATAAGTTCACTGGCTTACAGGCTATAAATCGAAGAGCTTCCTCCCAATTCAACCAGCATTCCATGCTCTGCATAACTATTGTCATTGTGTTTGATCAACCTCAACCTATCTTATTGTGTCGTGCCTTTCATCTTTCTCTCCGCCATGGCAAAACCATGGAGGGCTCTTCTACTCAGCCTGTGGGCAACACGAGCTTTTGGTCAGGACGCACAGCTTCCTCTAAGCAGCGTAGGCAATCCTAAGGCACCAAGCAATGCCCTGACGGCTTCCCGCCCCCTGCATCGCGAGATCAAACTGGAAGACATCATTGTTTCTTCTGACGATGAGGGGAACTTGAAATGTTGTCCACGTGGAACAGTTTTTAACGGCCATGACTGCATCTTTCTCGATAACCCCGTCTGTCCCGAGGGCACTGTGCTGGATGGCACCCTCTGTGTCAGCATCAAACCCCCAAGCTGTCCTCCCGGCCTTGAATTTAACGGCCATATCTGCGTTTCCACGAAGCCCCCTAACTGCCCGCCGGGCTCGGTTTTTGATGGGTCACTCTGTGTTGCACCTTCCCATCCTTCCTGTCCTCCCAGTTATCACTACCTTGCTGGCAAGTGTGTCTCGGATTCATCTGCCACTTGTCCGCCGGGCTTCAAACTGCAAGGGAATACCTGTACCTCGAGTCAGCCACCGAAATGTCCACCTGGTGCCCACTTTGATGGGAAAGCATGTGTTGATGTCAACCCTCCGTCTTGCCCTCCTGGAACTACCCTTGTTGATAGCTTGTGTGCATCCGAAGCTAAGCCGTCTTGTCCTCCTGGTTACCAGTACGGCAATAATGCGTGTGTTTCTATAGAACGACCAAGCTGTCCACCTGGTACTGTATTTGACGGCAAGGTCTGTCGTTCTGACCAGCATGCCTCGTGCCCTCCGGGCTCCACACTTGATGGGAACATCTGTCGCTCTACCACCTCTCCATTATGCCCCCCCGGATCGAATTTTGATGGCAAACTCTGCTCCTCTTCTCAGAGCCCCAGTTGCCCGCCTGGACAGGCACTCTCAATCAGTATCCTTACGGGTCAAGCTCGGTGTTGTGTGACGGGCCTGACCTGGGATGGCTCCACGTGTGTGTTTGTTCCGAGTGACCCCAGTGCCTGCCCTCCTGGCAGTCACTATGATGGCCATAAGTGTGTCTACACCCCTACTGTTGAACCATCGTGTCCCTCGGGCACTGTACTAAAGGATGATCGGTGTTATACTTCCGGTGCGCCTTCTTGCCCACCTGGTACAACTTTTGATGGCGAAGGTTGTGTGACGAACGAGTCACCGTCGTGCCCTCCAGGTTTGAGTTTTAATGGCCAGAGCTGTGTGGCATCTGAGCGTCCATCTTGCCCTCCTGGCACGGCATTGAGCGGGCAGACCTGTGTCTCGAACTCTCAGCCGTCATGTCCCCCAGGGACGATTCTCGCCGAGGGCTTGTGCATCAGCAACCAGCGTCCCAGCTGCCCCCCCGGATCGACACTAGCGGATAAGGTTTGCGTCTTCCCTGATCACCCGGAATGTCCTCCTGGATCCGCTCTCAACGGGGAAGATTGTGTGGCGGGTAAGCCACCAACCTGCCCACCAGGTACCACGTTTGACGGATCGTCCTGCATAACAAGTGAACGGCCTAATTGTCCTCCTGGGTTTGCTTTCAATGGCGATGCCTGCTTCACGGAGCAGCAGCCATCATGTCCACCGTCCACCACCTTTGACGGCCACCAGTGTGTCTCCAACGCCAGACCCAGCTGCCCTCCAGGCACGTCCTTCGATGGTGATTCATGCACTTCTGATGGAAAGCCTACTTGCCCCCCCGGCACAGTCTTCGATGGTGATACTTGCGTGCATCAGAGCCACCCTTCGTGCCCTCCCGGAACAACGTTCGATGGAAATAAGTGTACCTCGGAAAGCTCGCCCAGTTGCCCACCTGGGACAAATTTTGACGGCACCAACTGTGTTGTCAACGAGCGACCCAGTTGCCCCCCGGGGACACAGTTCAACGGTGCCAGCTGCATCAGTATTGAGTCACCTAGTTGCCCCCCAGATACTAGATTTGATGGCCATCAATGTGTCACCGAATCCCGACCTTCCTGTCCTCCCGGCCTCACCTTGGTTGACAACACCTGCCAGCACAACGGAGAACCAGACTGTCCACCTGGAACGACTTTTGATGGAATCCGTTGTATCACTGTTGTTCGCCCGGGTTGTTTTGACCTCCATGTGTGTCCGCCAGTCGGAGGCCTTGCCTAGGACGTCTCAGAGATGTGGAGAGGGTATAAGTGATTAGTTTTATGCTAGGAAATGACTAGTGATGACGTAGTCATTGTCTGTGGGGAGAGTCATTTCTGGGGTTGTTTATAAAGGATTTTGATTTGTGAGAGATGTTGTGGACTTCGTGTTACAGAGGGCGTGTTGGCTCTCTATAAATCTATTGGTAGTATCTTGGGTTCAGCTTCAGCTTCGGCTCCGGATTCCATTTGCATGGGATATATTTTGCTCTTGTCGGGAGGACTGACGTCCGTGTACATGTCCGAATTGGTTTATTAATGGTGTGCTTGCTGATGTTAACTCGGTGTTGCCTGGCATTTCTGTACATGTGAGACTTCGATCCCTTGGCTGGACGAGATCGATGGGATTAATCCAGCCCACATTGGTGGATTATACTCCCTTTCAGCTCGTTCGACCATGGCTGCACGACTCGTCCGGGCACGGCAGAACTGATCGCCGTCCAATCTAGATGGAAGCGGTGGCTGTCAGCATACGAGGGGCTGAATAGGCTCCATCGTCTGCGGGTCCGATTTCGTTCATTCCATATAAACTATCACATCTGTATGGAGGGAGCTGGATAAGAGACTGGAAGCTGGACAAATGATGCAAGTCAAGCGCCAAGGAGAGAAAAGACTTAAATCTGACCAGGCTTACCAGTCAGCGTATGATTCTGGGTTTCATAGCGTCTATTGAAAATTAAAGATAAGGTGTTAAAATATTGAAGGCAGGTATAGATAGAACATTATATTCTTATACCGGCATACTAGACACATCCTGTTATGAAGGACATGCAATGATCAAGAAATCGGCTGTATTTAGTGATATTAGTGCTATCAAATGACAATCCTAAGCTAGAGGAAGTAAACAAAGAAAATGATGTAGCTAGGCGCTGTTTTGTTCTTTATTTTTACCATATCAACACTGGAACAGAGGAATAGTGTACAGGTTAGGATTTGAGCCTTTGAATAAAAACTTAACTACCTCGTATATGTCTCCCTAAAGTTCCTAATAGCAGGCTTGGCAGAGTAACAACATGCGGCAAAGGTTGACTCAGAGGTCGCAAAAGGTATCATTACTATGTACTGAACGAGTATTTTGCAGAGCCCCAAACTGACAACAGCTTAGCCAGTTGCAATCTAATAACTTAGATAACTAAATGCGGGTTAACGGTAACAATTACTTAGAAAAGTCCGCTACCAGTGCAGCTCTGATGGCCACCCAGGGGATCGAAAGTAGGGTAAATGGTATTAGTCCTACAAATGCTACAGGAGACTGTTTGAAAAGGGAAGCTAATGGAGTATCACTATGCTGCCCTGCTGCGGTCATGCAGTAGGATATATGAGCCTATTTACTGTAATCGCACAACAAATGAGAGAACATGCAACTCTGTGCTGCGAACGGCAGGCAAACTCGGGTGGTCAAATCTCTTCCACACCTGCATGCTGAAAGCTACACCGGTCACCTCCCGGACGTGATCCCAAAGCGCTGTCCAGCTGGACGCGTTATGATGAAAGGGTAGTATTGCTCCGACGGCGGAAAACTTTTTTGGATCATGATGACCAATATTCTGCCCGATGATCAACGAGTCCGGGCGCGCACAAAGCAAAGCCAGGGCCCGTTTGGCGATGAACACCTGCTGATCCCAGTTAAACAGGTGGAATAGAAAGGAGGCGTGGACGATGTTGATGGAACCGGAGAGCTGGGAGATTGCCAGGGGCTTATCGGCGAGGATGTCAGCGATGATAAAATGGGATTTGAGTGTGTTGCGGTCTCTGAAGAGATCGTAACCGAGATCTATAAACTCGGGACGAAGGTCAATCCCGTAAAGGGTTTCAGAACGGGCACCATGATAGGTCTTAGCCTGGTTAGTAATATCAGTAACTGCTTGGAGGAAGGGACGTACAAGTAGACGTAGTTCCTGTCCAAAACCGCATCCCAGATCTACCAGCTTTTGACCCTGTCTGGTTCTGCATAAAACCTCGTCGTAACAGGGAATGGTGGGAAGACTGAAATTGATGAATAGACATTTGCCAATACATGGGTACGGAAACTTGGCCAGTGGACGAGGTGAGGTTAGCATCCCGATACATGGTAGGATATGGGAATAAGTGTACGTACGACGGCAAATGCGCGATCTCTCTATTGGATTCAATCAGTATCTGGAATCCAGCTTTGGTGGCATCACAACGTACCACTTCCTTCACGGCTTCGGTTACTCCCTCTGGTGGGATCTTGCTGTAATCCTCCAGAAGGGCCCTCATGGGATCCATGACGACGATGGGATCCGTTGAAAGTCCCCTCTGGGGATCAAACCCGCGATTGACGGCGGCCTCGAGCTCTGTGGTCACAGGCATTATGTACCACGAGTTAACAGATTTTAGAGGTGATGGGTTTTGCGGGAAGTGTTTTACAGTTCAGTAATGTGTGGTATGTCACTCCTGTCCATGCCGCGCCGGGGAATACGTGAGTTTAAGTACTACCGCCTTAATTGACGTTTGACACGTGTCATACAGAATACCGCGTATGATGATACGATAAGAGTGAGAAATTTCTATCCAGGGCTTCGTTTACAAGAAGGCTTGCAAATATAATCCCATCTACCCAGAGCTGCATGGCTGCTGAAATTGATCGAGTAAGGAAACTATCAACTGATCAGATGTAACAGAGTGGAGACGGAATTAGGGCTCTTCAATAATCTATCCAACAATTATGGGGATAGCGACAGCTCAAGAGTCGAGAGGCCAATCCCAATAGGGCTATACATGCTGAGGACCTGTAACGGCAGATTTGCCCGTTCAAACAGCTCCTGGAACTGGGCCAGTGTGCGCTCCTTACCGTTGAACGTAGCCCACATCTGCATATCAGCCGCCCTAACCGTAGTGCTGGATTAGCTCTTATGCCCATGATTCAGATTGAGCTGGTAGTGACACACCGTGGAAATCGCCCAGCGAAAGTACCGACAGTTCCGGTTTCGGGCAGAATCTTCTCGCACACAATCAGACGATCATCTGGTTTCATTGCCAACCAAATGGCCCGTAGGATCTGGGCTGCATACTTGTCGCTCCAGTCATGTAGAATTGAGCGTAGGAGGTATACTACTTTCCCGCGCCGGGTGGACTGGGGTTGAAAGAGGTCGTGGTGCTCGAACTGGATACGCTGGCTGAGTTCGGTTGGAAGTGACTCCTGTGCGTGCTCACATGCCTCTTGAGTGTCCTGGATTACGAATCTCAAGGCGGGGTACTTCTTTGCTAGCCCAACGCTGAGATGGCCCTGTAACCCGCCTATCTGGGGACCGGTGAGCTCCAATTCCCATTTATTGTCAGGTATCTCAGCAAAACGTACCTCAACAACAACAGCCTCTCCAATCCCACCCCAGTCGAATTCGCCCGCCGAACCAGCCACCTTACTGAAGTTTGCAGAGAGATAGGCACGCCCCTTGCTGAAGCGCTCCTGCAGGCCTTTATCAGCACGCATATGCTCCCAGAAATTCAGATCGGTCCTGCAAGCAATGTTGAAGCCTGTCTCTGTGGGCTCTTCGCTGCACCCCCATTTCAGGAGAGCATCTGTGATATGCGCACTCCAAACCAGTGCATTATCGAAACAAATGCCCACGAAACTGTTGAAGTTCTCATCGGTGGCCATCATATGCGAGAGACGGGTGTGGGCCACGACCCCGGGCGACGGCTGATAGAAGATTCTGCGGCCTATCAAGGCGCCTATCGCACGTTCGACCAGCGTGCGATCCAGTCCAACCTTTTCGGCAATTTCCGCATACGTGGCGGTCCCGTTGATAGGCACTGCGTGTGCAAATTTGTAGTTATATGCAATGCGGACTGCCGATGAGGTGTGGAACTGGAAGACGCACGGCGTAAGTATGCCCTTAACACGTTGAGTCTGCGATACCTACCTCGGAGCACAGTGAGATGACAGATTGCCGGGGACACATGGAGAGTTGTAGTAGCGTGGACGCTGCCTCCATGAGGGCGATTCGGGACTTGTGAAAGGGGGCATTTTCGGGTGCCATTGGAGGAAGGCCCTCGCCCTGGCCGGTGAAGGAGAGATCACCATATTTCTTCTCCTTCAGAAATTGGCTCATTTGCGCGGCTGAGTCGGAGACGGTCCGGGCTAGCTCTACGAGATCTGGAGGTGGAGACATGATGTAGAGTGAGGTGTGTTAGATTTCTAGAAGGATAGAATCAGACATAGAGAAAAGTAACGTCCTCAGAGTAGAAGGGTATCCTACTTATATCCCGGGCCATGTCGGCACTACACTAGACTAATTTACCTGGACTCTTCTCTCCCAAATGTCTGGCCACTGTGAATCACCTGCCGGTGGACACGTATTAGCTAATTATGGGGATTATGATTGGGAGGTTCTGCATGAAACACAGGCAACCCAGGAAGTCTCGATTGCTTCCCCGGAGTGCCGGGATCCTGTCGTTTCTGCTTTGGATGTAGCGCAATAAACTCCTTCAGCAGGCAGGGTGCATCCTCCATGCCCATCTGGACTTCCACCAAGGTCAATCCCCGACCTTTGTTCAGCTGATCAGATGCCAACACGCTATCTAACTCAGACCACTTAGCGACTCTAAATGTTGCGACAGGGAAGTCCGGGTCCTTTTCCGGAGCCCCAAAGAACCCAGCTGCCGCAGTGTAATCCCACGGCTGGATCGAGTTGTACACCGCACCCATTCCGTGGATGATTCGTTCGATGGTGTACCCCTGATTATTAATAACGAATACAATAACATGAAGGCTGTGGCGGATAATGTCGCTTACGGCCTGGACGGTCATTTGGAAGCTACCATCTCCTTCAAACACTATCGTACGGGGAATGGGTAGCTGTTTGCCTTCCTTTGTCTCTTGCTGCGCCTTAGCGACGCCTGTGGAGGCACCAAGCATATGCCCTGTCGACATCCAGATTCCGGACTTGATCAATATGGCTCCCGGGGGGAGAATGAAGTCCTCCGACCCGGACCAGGGTGTCCCTGCGTCGACCATTATGATATCGGTGCTTCTGAAATGCATGGAAATGTGTGACCAGAACCGCAACTGCGTTATTGATTGTGTTACATTCGAAGCTTTGGCAACTGGTTGCCTTGGCTGCACAGTGAGACTGGGCGCAAGGGGTGATAGTTGGGATGATGGTAGGGTGAAGATAAGCTCTCGGAGCACCGACTGGATACCCAAACCCCGGTACTCAGTCCCAAATATTGACACCCGGTTGTGGTTTAGTTCAATGGTGCACTGGGCCCGAGTGAGGCTAGTGAAGGCGTATGTATTACAATCGGATTTGAGGGGCCCGATGTGGATGACAAGATCGCAAGATTGGATCCACTTGTGCAAGGGCGTGTTCCCAGCCGACCCAGTGTAAACGCCATGGAAGTGTGGGTATGTCTCATCCACAATCGATTTCCCAAATGGGGTGGTGGCCGTCGGATAGCCGGTGAGGCGCAGTAAGGTGTTCACTTCTTTGCGGATACCATAGCGGTGTGCAAAGCCATCGACAACGATGAAGGGCTCCTTACTGGTCTGAAGGCTGCAGGTGATTTCGTCAACTACCATCTGCTCCATCGCCGGGTCATTTGGTGGTGGTCGACAGTCGAGTGCTTGACGTAGCGGTGCGGCAGAGACTTGCAGATGGATCACATCAAACGGCAGTTCTATATAGACTGGCCGGGATTGTCGAATACACTGCTGCAGGGTTGTGTCAACAAGAGCTGGAGCAGCGGTAAAGTCTCGTAGATTGGCTTGGGCGCATGTGAAGTGGCGATACACGTCAGCCATGACTCGAAAATTTCCGTCGCCCAGTGTGTGATGAATGACAAGCCGGTTATCCTGAGCGTCTGTGGAGGGCGTTCCGACAATGTGAACGACTGGGACCTTTTCAGCATAGGACCCAGCGATGGCAGCCACTGCTGATAGCTCCCCGACCCCAAAGACGGTGAACAGGGCCGCGAGACCCGTGATGCGCGCATATCCATCAGCAGCATAACCGGCGGTGAGTTCACTTGCAGTTCCCATCCACTTTAGGCCCGAAGGATCGACGTAATCCAACGCGGGGAGACTGAAGTCTCCAGGGACGCCGAATATGCTGCGAACTCCGAGCTGGTAGAGCCTGGTGAACAGGTAGCCGCTTACACTAACGGTATCTGCCATAGTTTCTCGACTTCTTGCTTCTGAGCGAAGGGACGGCAAGGTCGACTTGTATGCGATGTAGCAAGTACTCGTATGCCATTGACCACCAACGCGATCTTTATAGCTAACAATAGGCATTTGATGTATCAATTCGGAACCCGTACTAAATTTGACTAGGCAATTGAGGTGCCTATTACGCAAGGAGTCTCGGAGACATTATACACCAGTTTCTGGCCACTAACAGCATCCTGCCTCATCCGATCCAATCCCTCACAAACACCAGCCAGCCCATTAGCACCAACCAGTAGCGGATGGGGCTTCAGTTTCTTCTGATCTAAAAGGTCTTCAACAAATGTAGTATGCTCCTCCATTATGGCAAGGCTTTGAGGGTTTGCAGGTATCCTTTTCGGCCCAAAGCTAAATGGCTCTCCAATCACTGTGTAGGTGAGAATGCCGCTGGATCTCACATCTTCGCGAGGGACCTTAGCAGGCCGCAAACTCACGTAGCTGCCCCCTTCAGTAGAGAGCGCTTCACTGCAAAACTGGGCCGTAGCCTCCACAGAAATAGTATCAAGAACGAGCTTGAGACTGTTGTTGGTAAATGTGCGGATTTGAGCCGCCGCGGCAGGATCGTTGTAATCGAAAACAGCGTCCGCTCCCCGATCTCGTACCAGGTGAAAATTCCGCGGAGAGCATGTCGTGATGACCTGGTAGCCGGAGAGTTTGGCGAACTGAATTGCTATTGTCCCGCTGGCCGTCGAGCCCCCGTAGATCAATACTGGCTCAAGGTGCGAGATAGGGGTCGCTGGACGTGCCATGTGCAGACCCTGGTACAGCGCCAGAAGAGATGTACCCACGGCAACTCCCAGGGTGCAGGCTTCCTGGAAGCTCAAATGATCAGGGATATGGAACTGGACGTCTCCCTTGACCACGATGTACTCTGCGAAGGTTCCGTCCTCCGGCTGACCGGCATTGCACCCATGAGCAACACCAGCAATTCGGTCGCCTTTCTTCCAGGGCTTTTTGACGTCCTTGCCGATTTCTATCACGGTCCCTGCGTAGTCACATCCTACTAGCAGTGATGGCGGCGAAAGAAAGTCAATGTGCCTCCAATCTGTCGGGTTTAGAGCAACGGATACCACACGGACAAGGAGGTAGTCATCGCGCAGGGCGGGAATCGCCCTGTCCGTTACTAGGGCGGCTTCTTTGGGGCCATTGGTAACGATAGCTTTCTGATACGTAGGTATACTAGACATTATGGCTGACGTGATGGTATTATTCTGTTGCGCTTCTGACTAGCGGAGGAGATGTGAACGATAGAGAGAGGTTAAAGGTAGTGGCACCTTAAACGCTTGCGAGGTGGTATCGCCGCAACCATTTGTCCAATTCGGCCCTGCCTCTTATTAGCGGCCTTGCAAATGTTCTAACTTCTGCCCAACACTACTCCGAAACCCACTGGCCTCATCTGCCAGTTGTTCGAATTCGAGGATTCACAGGTGTCTCAGCCTGCAGGGCCACTGACCATGCACTCAGGGGGCGGTCAAAAGCAAAAAACTCGACTTTCTTTTTCTTACTGACCGCATTCAACAGTGTTCTCCCATCTGCAGTATCGTATCCTCCTATTGCCTATTATGGTTTACGCACAAGGATCATCCATGCATATGCCACATCTTATGCGTGATCCTTACGGTAAAATCTTATGCCTGATCTATTGGATCCTCCCTTCCCCCCCCCAAACAGGCAACCCCCACCAAAACACAAAACAAAAACACAAACCAAAAAAAAAAAAAAAAAAAAAACCCAAAAATACTGAGGGTAATGCCTACGCTGACTAAAACTCTCTCTCCCTCTCTCTTCTCTTTGAGAAAAAAGGTAAAATAGAAAAAAATTCAAACTGCTTACAGGCCTTGCCGGCCATGTACGCATTTTGACTGTCATATTGCAATGTCAGCCCCTAACTGTGAGGGGGAGTTCCTGCTCATTGTCCTACGGAGAACCCTTCCCAGCAGTTGCAAACAAAAGATTGTAGAGAACTTCCCCTCACTCAAGGTTAAACACCACACTATAGGGGATAGGGAGTGCGGCGATTCCATCACGAAAGGTTTGCATCTGATGGCCCCTGACGAAACGGCCGATTAACACACGCGTAGCTCTCACGAGGGCCGTACTACACAGAGTCACAATATTGATGACCGATCAGTATCTTCCCAACCCAGACGATGTAGCACGGTGACTCTACCCGCCAGATACTATCATAAGGTCTTGCATGCCCTGACAGCTCTCTAGCCTGCATTTGGTCCATGTCGCCCGGTCAGGAGTCGGTGATCTCATCGATCATCCCCTGGTGCGCCGCGATTCAGTCACGATAACAACTAGCTCAGGCATCCACGGGCCTCCCATCGCTGAGTGGGTCGCCATGACATGGCTAGTAACCTCAAGGAGATTCCTCCAGCAGAAAGAGGACCAAAAGCAGCATCGTTGGAGTCAGGAAAGTGCCAGGGGATGCTTTGACCATGTCAACAAACGAGTTGGCATTATCGGGTACGGAGGAGTTGGTAGACAGAGTACGGCGATATCATTCTCTAGCCTAGCAAAGTAGAGATTCAACTGACAATGATATAGTCGCTCGCGTCGCCAGTGCACTTGGTATGGATGTTTGCGTTTTGACAGCCTCAGCCCGCCCTAACCCTGCTTCGCGACAGCATCGAGGGTACTGCATTCCCGGTACCGGGGATCCGGATGGCGCGATCCCAAGCATATGGCACCACGGAGCCGATAAGATTGCGTTGCATAATTTCCTCTCCCTTGGTCTGCACCATCTCGTTCTATCTTTGCCCCTGACGGAGCAAACACACGGTCTTATCGGAGAAGAAGAGCTGGCTATCCTCTCGCGCCATGCACCACCGGACCGGAAACCATATATTACCAACATCTCACGAGGCCAGATTATTGACCAGGAGGCATTAGTTCATGCTCTGGAGTCGGGCCAGATATCTGGAGCCTCTCTAGACGTCGTGCATCCCGAGCCGTTACCATCAGACCACATGTTATGGGAGTTACCGAATGTTTATATCAGTCCCCATGCTAGCTCGTACGGAGTAGAATATTTAAAGAGGGCTACGGATGTTCTGAAGGAAAATATTGATCGATTAGCACACGGTGAGCCGTTAATTAACGTGTTTGATCGGGATAAAGGGTATTAGGGGACATTGGTGGTCTTTGATAAGGTTAAATTATACAGTGGTAGCCTCCCGTTGCTCTGGATCGGAGTGCTAACGTAGGCGTGCAACCGTTAGGTATCGTATTATATTAAAAGCTACTACGTCGTACAATTTTGAATAGAATTCACCAAGGCAACCAACCGGCTAAACTGGCCTAGGTATCACAGTCATCCAATGGCTGTTTGAGACGGTCAAAGGGGGTACCAAGAAGAGCTGCATTAATCTGGAGCGCCAGAAAGCGAGAGAAGTACCGAGCCTGGCCCATATTCCCCCCGGCCAACCAGAGCGCGGGATCTGTAATCATTTTCTCAGCAAACAGGCTCTTGGGGCTGTATGGGAGGGTGAATCTTACGGCCAGTAAACTTGTAGGCGCCGTCAAGGAAGTCTTCGGGATTGGGTTGGTCTAATCTTGTCACCCTGCCTGATACGTCGGGCCCAAAAAGGGTTTCGATCATATCCCGTGAGTCAAGGTGATATCCTGTAGCGAAAATAATGATATCCGCGTCTAAACGAGTGCCGTCGTCGAATTCAAGCCCGGTCTCTGTGTGGCGGACAGGACAGCTGCCGGACTTGACCTTGATCTAACTCCAGGTATTCAAGCTGGGTTAGCTATAGCCTGACGCGGAGTACTGGGATGGAATAGGTCTCACCTGGCCTGAGGCTATTTTCTGTGAGGCACCGACGTCTATGTACCGACCACGGAACGAGCCTCCCATGCTCTGCTCTTTCCGCTTGAACCCGGATCGATCTAAGTCCTGATACCTGTCTGGGTTGGAAGCGGATAGGGATTGATTCCCTAGCATCATGAATAAGTTCCGTATGGGAGGCGGAATCGAGAACCGGAGCTCGTCGGCTACTTCTGTTGGAAGACGGGAGTTATATAGTCCTAGGGTGAACGCTTAGAACCTTCTGGTGCAGCAACCTTGATCAAGAACCGGGGGTTTGTACTGGTCATGTTTGCCTGTATGTGTTCACGGGGAATAACCACTGTACAGTCATTAGCTCCTATCCAGTAGGAGAATGTTTATTGGCTGACCAGTAGCGTCCCGTTGGACCATTGTCACCGAGGTAAGACCGGCCTCAATCATGTCTTCCGCTATATCGTGCGCTAACAAGGGCTCAGTTCTCAAGCTAATATATCGCGCCTGTAGACGGAGTAGCGAGGCGTACCAGTATTGGCAGAGCCAATGATTATTGCTCGTTGTCCTGCCCACGACCAAGAATTTCGATAATCTACCGAATGCATGACCGTAGCGCGGCAGACCTCCTTTCCCAACATGGTCAGTGCTACGGAAGATGTGCACCCGTCTGCAGAACTACTTACCAAGCCTGCATACGTGGGTATCCGTGGTGTTCGAATTCCAAGACCGGTCGCCAGGACAATATGGTCGCAAGTTAGGGTCTGCAAGTCGCCACCTTGCCGGACACGAAGACTCCACCGCTTAAGCCTGTCGTCCCATTGCCCCGACAAGAGTTCGGTGGATAGTGAGAGGTTCTGCACCGGCGTTAATACGTATATATAAATCTCTTGGGTCGGGGGAACGAACTATGCCGTATCTTTGCACCCATTCATTGTGACCCCGTGCAATATCGGCCTTACCAAGCCACTCGGGATACTCGCCAGAAAATGTTCGTCCGTAGGGCAAATGTGAGAATTCCCGTGGAGTATGCACTACGCCAGGGCAGACGAATGATCAGATATCGATTGCGAATGCCGCTTCCCACGCGTCCGGGAGTGTACTCACATTTAACGGAATCGTAACGATTGAGCCAGTTATCTCCTATGCGCGAGTTGCGATCGATCGCTAGGTACGAGATTCCAAGTGCTTTCAGACGCCCTGCCACGGCTAGACCTGCTTGACCTGCGCCGACAACAACGCAGCCATATCGGAGAGAGGAGAAATCGTTGCGAATGGGGGGAGTGAGGACTGGAGCATGGGCTGTGAGAGGATCCAGTTTGTCAACGTCCCCTTGCTGCTTAAGTAGCCTATCCAAGCGCGTTCGGATCATCCAAACCTGCCAGCCATTGCTGCTTCTCCGGTCCTTTGGGCAGAAAACCAGCGAGAAAGTCGCGACGCCCTGGAGTTTTGGGTCGCACCCCGTGGAGAAGGTACAAGGCACTTCGATCGCCGGGATCTGGCCACCATAGGTTCTAATTTGAACTCCTTCATCGAGCACTTGGAAGCCAGACACCCCCCGTATCGTCAGCAGATGGTCCCAGGATGTAGCAATAGCGACTCTGGATTTGACACTGGCCACATCCCCAGTCAACGCGAAGAGATCGTACCACGCGGCCCCGGGATGCAGGTTTGTTATGTCCAGGTTGCGGAACAGATGAGCACAGCTTTTGGCGATTGAGATAGGATCGACACCCTTGGGGAACGCTGTGCCCTCTGGAAGGGCGAACTGCTCCATGGGCCACACTATCGCTCGATCTTAAGGTGTACCTAGTAGTGGTGGGTTAATATTTCTTAACTGGCAACAGCTATCCTAACACAACGATTGGAATTCTTACAGCAGAGCAACCGATACCGGTGACACCTATTGCGCGGTACATTGTTATTTTACCTGTCATTATTGTGATCCGGCGGTCTGACTTTCTTCTAGACCGCAAATTGTTATATACCTAAGTTGAGTGTGGCTGAATGTCGGTGAGAGCCAAGTACATAGCTCCTTGGTATCTGCGGCGCGGGTCAGTTCTGTCTCTCCGTTGAGAACCACTATTCCCACTATAACACATATCAGATTCCAGCGACAGAACCCAGACATCCTCGAAATACCCCAAGCACCATGGCTTTCATTCGCTCATTCCAACACTCAGAGTTGTCGATGGAGCTTGTTCCCGAGGCCCAACAACCCCCCGTTCCGGCACTATCCGATCCAATTCGCAACAAGCGGGATCAACATACGGCGCACATGCTCACCGTACAATGGACGGCGGACTTGGGTTGGGCCAGGCCAACTATTCAGGTCTACGGTCCACTCTCCATCCATCCAAACGCTAGCGCCCTCCATTATGCCACCCAGTCTTTCGTGAGTTCCGCAATATGTAGGCTATATGTGGTCCTCAAATCGCCACTGAACGTTATCTAGGAAGGAATGAAAGTATACAGGGGGTATGACGGGAAGCTGAGGTTGTTCCGGCCTCTCCTCAACTGCGAGCGACTGCAACTATCCAATGCCTGTGTTGGGTTGCCGACGTTCGACCCCCATGAGCTTTTACAGCTGATCATTGCCTTCGCCTCTGTTGAGTGTCCAAGATGGCTGCCGGAGCCTCATTCCCATCTTTACATTCGGCCCGCCATGATCGGCATGGGTTCTAGCCTTGGCGTCCAAATGCCACCAGAGGCTCTTTTTTTCATGACTGCAGCTTTGTTTCCGCAGAGGCAGGTCGCCCAGAAGCCGATGAGTAGTATAAAACTGCTCGCGAGCCCTATGACTATGGTTCGCGCGTGGCCAGGGGGGATTGGATACGCCAAGGTTAAGCTCCCTTCCCCTTTTAATCGCGTGCTTTATTTGCTTAAGCTGGAATAATTCTACAGGTAGGAGCGAACTATGGCCCGACAATGCGTGTCCAGGACGAGGCCAAACAACAAGGATGCATCTCCACTCTTTGGCTATTTGGTGAAGACGAACAAGTTACCGAATGCGGCGGGAGTAACTTTTTCGTCATATGGAGAGAATCGAATTCCGTCAAGTTGGTGACGCCGCCGCTCGAACATGGGTTGATATTAGACGGTATAACAAGGAGAAGTGTTTTGGAACTTGCTAGGGAACGACTTTTCTCTCCCAACACCGAATGTGGGAAACTCAAACCCTTAGTAATAGAGCAGCGGACATTCACCATGACCGATATCAGGAGAGCGAGCGAGGAGGGCAGATTGCTAGAAGGGTTTGTAACGGGAACGTCGGTTCGGTTGCACCTTTTCCTCAGAGAGCTCGGGACTCACAAGGCTGATTTTCCTCTTAGGTTTCCATCATGCCGGTGTCGGCTATCGTTTATAAGGGTGCCCCAATCTGGTTCCCTAGTGGTGCTGCTGGGAATGAAACAGGTTCCCCAATTACACAAACATTGGGATATGCGAACATTTTCAAGCAGTGGCTTGATGAAATTTGCTACGGGACGGTAATTCATGAATGGGCGTGCGAAGTTGCTAACGCTGAAGGCTGTGAGTAGTCTAATTGTACCTAATGGTAACATAAATCGCATTCCTCTCAGTGTACCAAGGCCCTCCCACTGAATCAATGTCTACCACTGCAATTGTAGTATTTCTGCATAAACGTGTGCCTGGCTTGCCACGCCCAGTAGAGTTCTAATCAACTATTATAGCGCGTAGTTCGATACTTGCTCTCTTGGGGGTACCCACAGGCGCAGATGGGTCCTTGAAGGCGGCGTGGGGACACACTATACAGCTATCAGTTTCCTCTGTGATCGATACCCGGCAAGTAACTTACATGAAGCCTCCAAGTCGTTGCTATCGTACAGCTTGAACATAATTGCCTCGTCGCTGTCCATGCCTCGCTTGTAAAACCACCGATGGTAAGGGCTGTATCGAACATCATATCCCTCTCCGCAGTAATGAGTAAGGACGGCATCGGACGCAACGAGGTCGCTATGTTTGAGGCTGCGGTAGTCGCAGACGGCTAAAGGCATGTCTTGATACGGACCGGTGAGAGGTCTCCATATACTAAAGCGATTCTTTAGGCTCGTCGGAGGCGAGTGAATGCAGGTTTTGAACACTTACTTGACGAAGCGATGGCGTCTTGCTCTGATTTCGTCCGCCTTTCCGGGGAGGTAAAGCTTCAGGTGCGTATATATAGCATCCGGGGTCACATCTGCACCAGCCCAAATGTCAGCGGTATGATACACGGGTACTGCAGGATGTTGGAAGCTCTCATTACCACAGTGAGCAAAAGGAACCGGTACGGTCCAGTCGACGGACGGTGAGCGTTTAGGGTCCTCGCAACGTAGCTGGGTCAGCTAGGTTAGCTAGGCTGGTTGGAGATGACGAGGGGCGCACAGACGTTGTACGAGTAGATGTACACGAAGCTGGCTTGGAAATGTTCTTGTAGCCAGAGCCTCATGCTAGGTAGATACAATCGTTGTATCTCCGCGTCGGACCACTCGACCATACCACTAGGACAAACAATGAACTGGAACCCCGAAATGGCCAGCGAGAAATAGTCTTCGAACCCAGCTACATCATGAACGGGAACAGTGTAAGCCTTTGTCGCCACATTGCTTCTAGACAGGCAGTCGAGCACGGGGAGACGTGAGTGGAACGGCTTTTCAATCTGGTACCTAGGGCTCCAGTCGAGATAGTTAAATCCTGTAACGTCGCACGATCGGAGACCCAAGACTCTCAAATTTTGGTCAATCTCGTTGCATCTCGTCCGCTGTCCTAGCTCCTCTTCTTGCTCTTTGATCGTGGTAGGATTCCGGTCTAGCGTAATCATCGAGGCTGTGGGTATTTCCGTTGGCGGCAACAGATCTACTGCGCAGTCCTTTCCCAGGTTTCTTGCCTTTTGCTTCCAACCTTTCATGGGCCTATCGAATGGTTTATCCGGGTTAAAGGACCATTCAAGGGCCTTGGGGAACTCTGTTCTAAACCATTCGTGCACTGCGCTGCCTGGCTGGGGTGGCCAGTAGCTCATCCATGGCCGAACGAGGTCCGGGTCCTTGGATTTGTTCTGCAGAGGAAGGAAGTCGAAGGCTTGGGAGGCAGCCATATCTGCCGGGTCAGTAATAATATGTTGTTGGCTTATCAGAGGTATTTCAATATAGAATGCACAAATATATACCCTTGATACTGCCGATTACATTCATATTCACGCTGGGCCTCTCGTTTGACCAAAGGGTATCCTGCAGGCTGCAGTCTGATGTGGCTTCCGCACTGGTTGTACACTGCATAACCATCATCCAATAGCGTCAAAGCCTATATATGTCCTTGATAGGACCTCCTCACCGCCGATTATTGGGCCTAAGAAGCGGTCAATGGGGTAGAATATGCCCGCTGAACTCCTTATGCGACACCACCGCCAGCGAAGTCCGTTCCTTATTACAGGAAAAGTAAAACTGCTCATTCCATCCTTAAACAGTACCAACAATGAAAGTGCTTCCCCTCATCTTCATCACAGGAGCCAGCGGTTTCATTGGCTTCGAGGTGGCATATCAAGCTCTCCAAGCCGGATACCGGCTCAGACTTTCAGTTCGTGACCGTGACAGTATCCCAAAGCTGCAACGGGCGCTATCGGGACACTCGGATCGCATGGAATTCGTTGTAGTGCCGGATATTACGGTGTCCGGCTGCTTTGACCAGTTCTTGCACGGCGCGACATACGTCATTCACGTTGCCTCGCCTCTCGCCTTCGCAGGAGGCGATATATATACACCCGCGGTTCGGGGGACAAAATCGATTCTGAGTGCTGCATTGCAGGTGAAAACCATCAAACGGGTTGTGCTTACTTCATCGGCACTTGCTTTGATCCCTGGCGATCATCGTCGCGAGGGACTAGTAGTCTCCGGTTCGTATTCGATTTTTGGTAGCAGAGAAATGGGAGACTGACCGCGGAATAACAGAGCAAACCGAGCTCGATGAAGCGATTGATCCCGCCTTAATCCCCAGCCTCGACCCGAGGGCTCGCTATAGAGCGGGTAAGTTGGCAGCTCACAGAGCAACGCTCGAATTTGCGAGCGATCACGATCCACACTTCAATATCGTCATGCTTTATCCGACTTTCGTCTTCGGCCCCAGTCGGCTTCAAGAGTCAGCTTCTGAGCTTGCTGGAACAAACGCATTGCTATTCTCTACGCTAATGTCCGAACATCCCAAGGGAGGCCAGTTTTTAGGGGTCCACATCGAGGATGTTGCAAAAGCACACATCAGGGCATTGGACTACGCTGCCTCCGGTGTTTCTGGTTTTCTGCTATCAGCAAAGCGCCGTTCTTGGAGTGAGGTTTGTAAACTTGTGAGCGAAGAGTTTCCTACAATGAAATTGAAGTTGCAACCCAGAGACTGGGAGCACTATTCTGTTGATACCAGTCAGGCGGAGAAATGCTTGGGCTTGTCATTTCGTCCCATGGAAGACCAGGTGCGCGATCTGCTTCAGCAGCAGCTATCGTTCAGAGAGTTTTGATCTAGTCTATGTTAGACCTGAGCTCATCTGGGCGGCGGCCACTTTGTGGTAGATTTTGTTTAATGTCCAAGGACCGGTTTGAGGATCACGACTTACGCATAATCAACCTGGCTTTTGTTCTCTAGGGTTATAGTTCACATACATTCGAGGATACATATGGTTTCCGTGCATTCAAGCCTTCATCATACTCCACATTCTACTGTGCGCCTTACAGCCCTCCCTGTGGTACCGACCTCAAACATGCCTTATGCCCAAATATCTCAAAGCCTGACCGGCACTCCTTTAGCAAAGTTCGTTGGGAGAAGGCCTTTGCTCGAACAAAAGTCTATAGTTTGCGGGAGAGATTAGGACTGCCTTTCAGTTCATCAGTGTGATACAATTCAATAGAGTAACAATTATCGCTTCTCACCTTGCTATACGAAAATCGGTGATCGGTAGGAAACCTCCACACCAATCTGCGACTGAGCTCAACAAGCCCAACCTTGATCTGAGTAATCGCAAACTTCACCCCCAAGCACTTGCGGGAATATAAACTAAAGGGAATGTATTTTCCTTTCACCTGATACATTCTGAAACGCTCATTGACTGACCTGATGCTGCATCCCCATCGGTAAGGATCAAACTCACGTGCATTTGGGCCCCAGATTAAGGGGTCAGTTTGAACGCCATAGGCATGCCATCCGACTAGAATACCAGCCGGGATGCACAGGTCTGGGCCGAGCCATGTTGGCTTAGTTGCTCTGCGATTCGTAAGTGTACCAAGTGGAGGGTAAAGTCGGAGTGTCTCATAAACCACAGCTGTCAGCAGCGGTAGTTGGTCCAGGTCATGAGACGAATAGTGGTATGGTAGAGCTTTTATTTCCAAATGTAGAGCGTGTTGGATCCCTTGATTCTTTGCCAGTTCAACTAGAGAGGCGCTTACAGTACTTTCAACGTTTTCATGGCCGGCAACGAATAATTGCTTGATATTGGAACGATAATGGAAATCCGATATTTGATTCTGTTCCAGCGCTTGGCTTAACCGGTATATCACCTTGTCGTCATCGGTGGGCGAGTGTGCGGTTTGTAGTCGACAATCAATACAGCCAAGAAGTGCTGTCTCTAAGTTATGAATATTTTTAAAGAGTTCCTCCACAGCTGGCCATTTCCAGGGCAGCAGGTCAAGAAACGGGAATATACGCCTCATTCGCCCAATGGCGTGTCTCCCCTGTCGCCCAACGATTTGCTGGATGGCAGCTGTATGATATTCCAACTCATCCAACCTCACATCCAAAAAGTAGTCTCCGTAAATCGAGACGGCCCAGCGCCAGACCAAAGCACTGATATCCACCGCGGACCCATCTTCACGAGATTCCTGCTGCTGCAAAATGGCCCGCACAAGGCGCGTAGATTCTATCTTCATACCATCGAGAGTGAACGGGCGCTGTATAGCGGGCTTCAGGAGTCTCTGGAACTGGTCATGCAGGTCACCGTGGGAGTCGATGATATTTTCGCCGAAGAGCTGGGCGGCGCCACTGGTCGAAATCCTGTGATATGAACCTGATTTCATGAATGTGTCGTTTGGATCCTTCAAGAGCTGGACTAAGTATGCCGGCCGAACGACTAGTATTGTCCATTCACCGTCCTGCCAGATCCCGACTGCTCCATGTTTCTGTATCAATGTGCGGATGCGCTTGTTGTAAAAGTCCACCCGTGAAGTTCCGCGTATGGCATCCCAGATCACGATCGTCAATGGGATGATCGGCATGCTTCGAGGGAAATCGGGTGGAATACGGGTATAGTATACAGCAAGGAGAGCCACCAACGTGATACACAAGGCCGGTAACAACATCTTCTTGCTTCGCCCGTAACACCTTTCTGAGCAGTAACACCTCTATTCTATTCCGTTCCCCTGTTTGCACGGATCTGGGATAGGCGTATGTCTGTGACCTACCTGATGAAGACGAAGAGGGAAGAAAAAAAAAAAAAAAAAAAAAAAAAAAAAAAGAGAAGAGCAAAGAAAGGGAATGAAGGAAGCTCAAATTATGATCAGCTCCACCTCACTTAGTCGGCTATCGAAGCCACGGCATTCCAAATTGTGCATCTTATTGGTGTGGCGAGACTCTCGCGGTCTGCAGTGTCACATCTGTGGAGATCAAGGTTTAATACAATAAGAGATTTGGCTAACGACTATTATTTCCAGCGAATCACACTTGGGACAAAATCTTTGATTAAAGAAACTAAAGATATTATTATTTACAGAAAGCATCAAAAGAGCCATAAGCTTACTCCCCGTCATTACTCCCAAAAACCTAGGCTATTTTACTTCCAGGTCAACTTATACTCCAGCCCATCAGGCGTACCTTTCTCACCGCTATTTGGTAAACCTATCATGGGAAAGTTATCTCGATGGCATGCGTTTGTTCCAGCAAGCTCAGAAGCAGGACATCTAACAATCCACCGTAGCCCAAGGTGTCCTCACCCCACGACAATAGCCCTGATCTCAATGCTTGCCCGGTTTGGTGTACCCGCAGGCACCGTAGGATCCAAAAATGCCGAATGCGGGCAGACTGATGTTATGCTAAGTGAGCTCAATTCAACCAAATTCACTCCGGGTGGGCTGTGACATACATTGCGACTCGGAAGCCTCAGAATCAAACAGTTTCATTATGATCACATCGTCCACGCCCATTGCCCTTTTGAAGAACCACTGGTGGTGCGGGCTGGATTTGAATTGGTAGCTTTCGTGGCAGTAGTGAGGAAACACGAGGTCCTCTTTGATTAAATCGCTGGTGCTGACACTCCCGTAATCGCAGACGGCGAGGGGGCAGTCCTGATGAGGCGCTGTGAGGGGGCGCCAGATACTACATAAATGGAACTCGCTCAGCCGATGAATTTCCCAATGAGCCCTCACTCAAAACGCACCCGATGTAGCGGTGACGAGACTGCAGAATCTCATCCGCGCGGTCTGGTAGAAGCAGCTTGAGATTAGTGACGCTTGAGGCTTTCGTAAAATCTAGCGTGCATCAGTTAGGTAGTGGTGGGCCTGGTAGGGGCTCGACGATATCGTTGGGGTGATTAGCTACCCGAGTGAACATATGTTAGGGGTGACAGCCAAGGTTGGCGTGGCTGTCGTGTTTTATCTTCGCAGCGGAACTACGATCATACAACCGTTGGTCTTCATAATAACAGTTTTGATCGACCGTCGTGAGTCGCCCGTGAGCAGGGTATACTGACATTGTAGGAAAATATGTGCACGAAAGAGCTGCCAAAGTGCTCGCGCAGGTAAGCCTCCATCAGGGGGAGGTAGATTTGATGAATACATTCGTCGGTCCACTCCGAAATATTAACCGGAACCTTCGTGAAAGCGAATCCACTGTCGGCAAGTTTGAAATGATCCTCGAAACCAGTTACATCGTAGACTGGAACATCGTGGCTTGCCTGGTGCTGGACATAGTCGTTCTTCAGTTTATCTAGAAACGGGAGAACTGAGCGGAAGGGCTTTCGAACTGAAAGGAGAGGATGGTCGGCCAAGTAATCCAACTTTGGCATCCGGAATTTGCGAAGGCCGAGGGACTTTATCTTCTCCACAATGCACATTACGCGGGCCTCTCTTTCTCTCTCCTCCTGTACCCTTGAATTGGAGGGCTCAGCCTTCTGCTCATCCACACTGTTGAGAGCAGTATCATGCGTGGAGACGGGTATGGCGGGACAACTTTTTGATATCAATTGGCGTATCCAAGCTTTCCATGGCTGGTTAAACAGGCGCTCGGGGTCGAACTCGTACGTCAGGACCTCAGGGAGCTCTTCCTGAAGCCAATGGTAAAGTGGACTTCCTGGCTGGGGTGGCCAGTGTCGAGTCCAAGGGCGATCAAGTTCGCAGTCTATAGTGAAACAGTCCACGTCTTTGAATCCGTTTGTCAAAGGGCACGACATCTTAAGAGCTCTAAGATCATAAATGTCCAGGATATTGAACAAGCACCACTCGTGTCCTTTATTCTCAAAGGAGAGTCGGCAGACATTCCCCAAGCTCATATACGCTCACCCTACGTGTCAGACTCATGCCTACCGGGGTGACGTAGCACGGCTCTACGGACACCTCCACGGGCTAGGGCCTTCGTAATGCAGCATTCCAGTATTGGCCCGTTTGTAGTAAGAGGAGGTTGAGAGGAGGTTGCCTTGTTGAGAAGCAAGGGTGACCCCAATAAAATGGTATAAAGTCAATCTGTATGCATTCACCAGAGCTTATGCAAGATCCTGTCGGGTATTATCACATTCGTGCAGTCTAGCGGGTCCGTCATCAACCTGCACTCCTACCTGAGAGCAATTTAATCCCTCACTGCGGGATAATCATTCGTGGTCGATCATCCCTGCTCCATGTTGGGTACTTCCTTGCCGGGAATCACGCGCCAGCGGATGCGCACTCAAACCAGCGTCAGTGTCCTCAGCTGCCAAAGCCCTCCTTTGATTGGGGTCTAACCGAGTATAGTTACGAAGAATACCCCTTTAGTCATCCTAAATCCTATGTTGTTTTTAGCCCCGTTTAGGGCCCTGCGTACCATTGATTACTGAGGTTAAACACGATCGTATCGCGGCGTACTCTCCCGATTGACGAAAACCGAACCATCCCCTCAACCCTACAGCGTAATGGATCTCATTCGGCTTTCTGAAACTGTCCAGCAGTCCGCGCAGCATATGAGTGACTTTCTAGCGCAACGGCATTGGAGCCTCTCGTTCGATCCCGCGTCGTCGGGCATTCCATCATTATCGGCCGAAAATGAATCATTCCACCGCGCCCGAGACATCCTCTTAGAAGCGGCATCCACACTCCTTCAGCTCTGCATGTCGTCCGAAGAGACGATCCTAGATCTCAGCTTCCAGGTAGGTTGTACAGTTATACCATCCGGAGCGGAGACAAGGAGATCTAAGGCTGCCTATCCAGGCACTCACAGCCTCCGCGCTGCGAATCGCATACAACTTTAACCTTGCCCAAGCCGTTCCGTTGAGTGGTCATACCACTTACACTGCCCTCGCCGAAAATACTGGGTTCGACACAGATACCTTGTCCCGTACGATAAGATATCTTGTCTCGAACGCGTTTTTCCGCGAGTTGGCACCGGATCGAATAGTCCACTCACGGCTTTCGTATTTAATGGCCACAGACGAGAAATTCCGCGGCTTCGTTGGTCTCTATTTCGAACACGCATTTGTGTGGAGTGTGCATATCACAGACGCGTTAGCCAAATGGGGATCGAGCGAAGAGCCGACCGAGACAGGGCTCAACGCGGCTGAAGGGATTCGGGCAACCTTCTGGGAATTCATGGAGCAAAATGAGAGAGTCAGGAAAAATTTTCTGGACGGGTTCGCGTATCTTGCTCCAGCAGATCTCGGTATTAGAAAGCTACCGTTGAATGGCTCCGATTGGGCTGCTGTGGCTCCGGCCACGGTCATCGATGTGAGTGCCGCTATATCCACACATGTCATTTTTTGATCTTACAAGACTTTCCTTTTTTTTTTGTTCTTTACAGATTGGGGGCCATACGGGTGGAATAAGCATTGGGCTGGCCCAACGTTTCCCCGACCTGGACTTCATAATCCAGGACCTTGAGCACATATGCCGGCGAGGCGAGAAAACCCTTCCCGCGACGTTAGGTCGCCGGGTTCGGTTCCAGGCGCATGATATGTTTGAGCAACAGCCTGGAGATCCTAGCAAAACGATCATTTTCCTACTATGCAAGGTGCTCCATGACTGGAGCGACAAATATGCGTGTAGGATCCTCCGGGCCATCACTCCAGCCATGAAACCGGGCGATCGTATTATTATTTTTGACAAAGTGGCCCCCGAAGCGGGCACTACCTCGGTCTTCAAGGGCAAGTTCCTACGGTGAGTAATCCTCGCTAGGTCAAAGGGAGATTATCTTTCTGCTCTCGACTGCGTTTATTTGGGTTGGCTGACTTTGCTATGAAGTGCTGCTGATATGCAAATGTGGGCTACATTCAATGGGAGAGAAAGAACAGCCAGCGATTTCAAGGCCCTCATCACCATGGCAGACAGGCGGCTGAGAATATGCGGCATTTCATCGCCGATGGAGATGGGGATGTCGCGGCTAGTTTTGAGTCTTGACGAGGAGTAAACATGTCTGCGGCAATAACAAGTTGAGGGTACTGATTGCCAAATGCTTTCCCCATCACGTACATGAAGTCAGCTTCGAATAAGTGCTCGCTTTACGCCTGGCATTTTCTTATAAGCCTAGAATCCGTGTAGCTGTAACCACTCGCAAGCAACCCGATAGGCTTGAGGAGCTGCGTAATGAAGATTGATAGCGTGCCCAACATGTTGGAGAACATAGTACGAGAAGTTCGAGGCTCTTCGGAATTGCTGCCGAACTACAGCGGGTTGAAAGTGAGACTCGTTTCCACAAAATCCGGCCATGCACTTCGCCACATCCTGGTCACCTACCATCACGGCCACCGGCCCTGCGTAATTGACCGGCGGTGCAGTATTTCCTACGAGAAACTCCCCGGCAGCCACCGTGTCCTGCATCTCGAAGTCCATCCGCGCAATCTCCGGGTCGAATGTTCCGTTCGAGCCAAAGAAACTCGCCCTTCGCCCGGCCGGCGACGAGCTGACAAGGTATCCGTCACTCAAGCCGGAATATTTACCAAGCGTTAGGCGAGACACGGGCACCAGATATGAGGTGGAGATATCAGGGATAGAGAACCCGGTCAGGAATAATGCATCAACGGTCTCCGGGTGGATCGCGACCAGGTTATAACCGATCACCGATCCAAATGAATGTCCAACATAGACTACTTTCGCGAAAGGGCGTCCCAGCAGGGTCCCGGTTCTCAGAGCCCTGACAAGCTTATGAATGATGGAAACATGCATGGCGAGCTGGTCGACGGTGTACGGGTCCGGCCTGGAAGACAGGCCATTCCCCATTCTGTCAATCGAGATCGTTGCATAGCCGTGTTCAGCAGCGTATCTAACCCAGGAATATCGGTCCATTGGGCTAGGGAGTGCAGCAGGTGGGCGGAGAGCGGACCAGTAATTCTTGTTGTAAGTGATACCATGGACAAGAAGTTGGATCGTCGACTCCCGGGACGGAATCAAAGTTGGGGGCTTGCAGTATCTCAGACTGATACCCACCTCTGCTGTCACATTCACGTATTCTGGCTGCTGCGGTCCTTGTGTGCGGTGGGTGGGAGCTGATTCTGCCAGACCACCTGCTGATTCCCTAACTGCCCGATTCCGCGCTGTTGCAGTGATAGGGAAAATGAATTCCTCGCAGCTAAGGAGATTTGCGCAGGCCGTAAGGGTAAGCAAGGAGATAACCACGAAAGGGGGTCTGTTCAAGAGCATTTTGCTGTTTTTTGGCGTCCTCGCGTGGGTGTGAAGCAGGAGAAATCTGTCAAGAGGAATCTGGCTGTCTGCGACTTAATATTAGGCGCCTCCACACTGCCACAAATCAAATGAAGCCCCGAAATGGAAACGATCTCCATTCTTAAATTGTTTAATCACCGTCCTTTCTCTCTTCGGTATATGTGCAAATAACCAGCTTAACTATGTGGCGTCTGTGGGTCAAATATATACTCTGGTACTCAGTCCGAAATCCCTCCGATAACTTGGCTCACGACCTCCGCCACTGTTAAGCCCCCCAATATCCTCATGACGGGCATATCCAGGTTCAAATTATGCTGAATCCATTTACTAATATCGACAGCCGTAAAGGAATCGACACCCAGCTCCACCAGGGGCTTCGTTTCGTCCACATAAATTTCACCACCCAGTCTCAGGGTCCTCCTCACATGTTCGATTAACTCCACTAGAAACAGCAATTAGTAATTCACACCAGTACCGCCATAAAGGGTCGAGCCCGAGCTGAAGAAACGTACGCTGAATTTCGGAGCTCACACTCTCTGGAGACGCGCCCCCGGTCAAAATGCCCCGGATGCTCCGTCCCTCACGCCCTAACCGTGACTCGTCAGCAGCATCCCCGCTTGTAGGTACTAGAAAGCGAAAGAAACGAGGGTTTCCACGGAGGCCGTCCTGAAATGCCGCCCTGTCCGTGTACGTCATGACACCAGCAATCAATTCTGGGTTTTGGTTCGAACTGGGCCGACCGGCTAGGATTGCCTCGGCGAACATTTGGTGCAGATCTCCTTCAGACATAGGTGCCATCTTTCGCTTTAAACGTTCCATTTGCAAGTCGCCTCTTGTAGAGGCTTCAAACGCTCTTCGGAGGCCGCCTACGCCGACTACCCTTGAAATATCCATTGTGGAACCGGAGACGCCGCGCGCTCGCCTGCAGGCAATGATGGCTTTCATAAAGGTGTTTGCAGCTGCGTAGGCCGTTTGGCCAGCATTTCCAAGTGTGGCGGAGAGGGAGGAGAAGGCGATGAAGAACTCTAGCGACTGCGAATGGAAGATTTGGTCCAGGTTGTTGATACCGGAGACTTTGGGAGCTAGGACGGCTTCAAAGGTCTCGAGGTCGCAGTTGTCAAATAGCTTGTCCTGCAGGATGACGGCGCCAATTACCACACCAGCAATTGGAGGGTAGCTAGTTTGGATTAAACGGTGGGCATCCTGTAGATGGTCGAGTCTCGTAATGTCGCTATGGCCATATGATGTTAGCATTTCCGCTCAATGGCTGTTCCGAACAGAGGAGTGTGAATGCCCTACCCGGGAATGCAAACGATGCGAATCCCCCGAGATTCATATTCCTGGGTCCAACTTGGGCTGTGTTCAATATGGCGGCTTGTAAGAATCACATATCTGGCTCCATGCCCAATCAGCCACTCGGCCAGCGACCGTGCCATATCCAGAGATAACCCTACAAGCCAATATGACTTGCCCGGACTCAATGTAACCATTGTATCAGCCGGCCGAATGTGCACGACGGATGGCTTGCTCGCCTCCCAGTTGATGATACTGCATGGAGAGCGCAGGCTGCCGGGAGAACTGAGGTCATCGAGAGATAGGATGGGCAGCATCCCATCCCCGTCGACATCTGACCCAATCATCTGGAGGGCAGAGTGAAGAGCCTCCTGTATTTCTGGGATGGGAGTGGTGGAAGCGTGATTATACAGCACACTCTCGCGTGAAAATATACTGAGCCTGCTGATTCGCTGGCAGTATTCCGGTAAGACCCCCGCAACGGCATTACTCAGACTTTCGTTACCTGTGCAGAGGTTCATGTATAGTGAAGCTCCCTGGGGAATGCACTCCTTGATCTGGCGAGATGACCAAGTATGGTCGATCATAATCCCTGCCTCACTTCCGCCGGACCTGCTTGTGAGACAAACCACCTTACAACCCCCGCGGCGAGCCAAGATATTGAGGCACCTCGCGAGAGACCGGGGAGGATCAAGGATCACGATGGTTGCTCCTTGCCTAGCCAGCCCGACAATATGGTTCGCTGCTAGTTGCATGGCAACCAGTGCGAGCAGGCTCGGTCCCTCAGTGGAAGTTGGACTGTGGGATAACGGCCACCACCATTCGGGTCGAGGGTGCACGAGAGACGACAACCGTGGCGATGCGACCAACCCCCACCGTTTGCCTTCTGTGTGCTCTCCAAACATAAGGTATAATCGACCTCCCGACATGGGCAACGAGAAGAGGGTAGAAAACTGTACCTTGACGGTAATGTCCCCCTCGAATGGCAGGGAATGGCGCAATGGTCCACCGCTGTGCCAGGAATAGGACCCATTGTCCCATTTCACTTGAAAGTATGCTCCTTCTTTACGAAAGGCTTGGGTAATAGGGCGCCGCAAGGAATTGATCCTCGCGTTTAGCTCTTTCTGTGGCACGACCCGCGGCACATACAGACGCCCACCGCGCATGGCTATCTCCGGTTCGTGGATCCAAAGCACCTCGTCCTGCTCCGCTCTCTGACGCACCCTCTGGAATAGTGAGAGCTGCAGGAGTTGTGAAGAAACGAGGGTGTAGTCAATGTCCATTCTGGGGTCCAAGTCGAGGAGCTGAAACCGGACGTCGGGTTTCTCGTAAATCAGGGAGCGAATGAAACCCACAGAAAGCGATGCGTATGGTTGTTCCTGTTGGTAGCCTTGCGTTACCCATAATACCTCGGTTGAGGCACCCAGGACCGTCTTGAGATTGTCCCAGAGGATGCTGTCAATGGAGTGGAAAACAGGTGTTGCCAGATCAAGTAGATTCAGAAGTGTGCATGGCCTTGGTAAAATGTCCTGGATGATATCCTTGAGCGAAGGAATGTGGGTGATTCCGGGACACCACGGGTGTAATATGGACATGAATCGCTCTGCCACCTCCAGCTGGCCGCCTAGAACGACTGTATTTTCGATGAAAGGGAAAGGTTCCCCATCCAGTGGATACCGTAGCTGAGCGATGTCGAGGTCGACTGCCTGCGACACAATAGTCGTAGTGGGTGGTAGCAGATCATCAAACGTACCCGAATCTGCATCAACACCGGAGAACCCGGTCGTCCGAAGAATTGTCTTCCAGTCGTTTGAGTCATCGGGGCTTAGGTTCGCTGTGAAAACTAGGTATCCACCTGACGTAGTTATACGGCGAATATTTGCCAGTGCCTGGACCGATACCCTGCCTGTAAAGAATAGGTCGCTCGCAATCACCAGCTGGTAACGGTTGGCCTCAAAGCCCTGCTTATCAAGGTCTTGATCGAGTTGAAAAGTTCGCATCGTCACTCGCTTATTCAGCGATCTTATTCTTCGCTGGTTGTAATCCAGGCCCGGGCTAGCGTAGGTATATGAGGCGTATGGGATATCCAACAATTCCACTAGGGGTTCAGCGTCGCCGCCCAGTTCTAGTACGGTCAGATGAGGCCAACGACGTGTCACCTGCTGCACAACACCAATAATCGAGGCGAGAGGAGACATAGTGGACGCATTACAGTCAGGAGCCAGTGGGACCCATTCGGTTTCCATAAACAAAGTGCGATCATTGTCTTCGGTGGCTCCAGTCACGGGCACTATTTCTAGCCCTTGTGCCTCGAAAAGAATATTTGCATCAGCAGAAGCAACAGTAACGTCGGCCACGATTCTGCGTGGCGATGAACTCGGCTCTATTACCGTAAATACGTGAGGCCCGTTTGACGCATTCCGTCCACACCGCGAGGGAAATACCAGAACCCGAGCAACTGAGGTGGGCATAAAAAGTGTCCACATTTCTCCATCTCCGGGCGAGCTCCATGCGGCGAATATTGACTGCAGAGCCGTATCAAGCATCGCGGGGTGAAGCAACCATTCGGTGTCAGGGGGCCGCTGGAGGGTCCCTGTAGCTACGCTAGACGCGCGCCACAGTGAGGACCAACCCCGGAACAAGCCACTGTAGGCATATCCCACCCGGGCTAATTCATCATAGAGGAATGGAAGATCGAGCGGCTGCAAACTGGTGTTTGAGCGATCAGGTAGCTTACGTCGTGGCTCGGGAGGTGGTTCGCTGTCCATGAAGCGAATTTCCACCTCCCCCAATGCAGCCAACCCCAGGTTTCCACCCGCTCGGCCCATGGCAGAATGGCTAGTGAATCGACACTGCAAAGCTGTCCCAGTTTGTCGTGCACTGGTTATGCGGACCAATGTCTCCGTCCCGGACTTCCCGTCGATAACGGTGGCACGTTGGACCTTGAGATCTCTTATCTCAACAGAGTACACTTGCTGCCCCTGGGCAAGCTGCATCGCACCCTCAACGGCCTGGACAATGTAACCGGCAGCAGGGAAAACCATTTCGCCCTGGAGAGTATGACCTGACAACCAAGGTAACTCTCTCGGATGTAACACATTACGCCAGCACCACTCGTCAGGACTACTATCGGCAGTGAGGACACCGAGCAGCTCGTGCCGCGGATGGTCATCTGTTCGAATGAAAGTTGATATCCTACTCTCAGACCAGAATCTGCGGTCGTGGTTCCAGGGGTACGAGGGAAGGTCCTTTAGGACACGTCCGTGCCCTGTCTCCTGCGCGAGTGTTGGGAAGCTTACGCCCAATTCACCAAGGGTGGTCCATATCTGGCAGAAGGCCTCTGATAGTGCTTTACAGTCATCCTTGCCCCGGTATAAAGTGCCTGAAAAGGGTAAAGATGCCCCTGTAGCATCCTGGAATGTTTGTAGGACCGGACTCTTCAGGGCTGGATGGGGCCCAACCTCGAGGACGAAGTGGTACGGTTCGCGCGTTTCAATGGCCGTACGTAGAGCCTGGGAGAACAAAACAGGGTTGACCATGTTGTCGACCCAGTAGTCCGCCCCTAGCTTGTCTCCCGGTCGCATGACCGTGCTCGAGTAAACACTCGAAATCCACGAGCCACCATTCCTGTCCGTGGCTTGGGGCTGAATTCCACATCTTTCCAGCGCCCTACGGTATTCACCCGCACAATGAAGCATATGGGAGGAGTGGTAAGCCGTGTTTACTTTGATCAAACGGGCAAATGTCCCTTGATTTGCGTAGAACTCCTGGAGGGAAACGATCGCATCACGATCTCCAGAGAGCGTCACACTGGACGACGAGTTCCTCGCCGCTACCTGCACCCGACCGGCGAACTCGTTGGACTCGCATTTGACCGTGGCTTCCTCGGGGGATGTCCCTACTGCCAGCATAGCGCCCCGTTGACCAGACGTACAAACACTCTTCTCAACACAGAGCCCGCGATAGTACGCAATTCGGATACAGTCACTCGCGTTGAGAAACCCGCCTGCGTAAGCTGCTGCGATTTCCCCGGACGAATGGCCGACAAGTCCCGCAAAGACGACCCCAGCTGCCTGTAGTAAGTCAACTAGTACTATCTGGACCGCAGTGCATAGGGTCTGGGAGAACGCCGGTCTCATCATGTGCTCGTCGCCGGCGGTTGACATGAGCGCATCGAGTATGGTCCATTGAGGACGGCTACCCTCGGGGAGAGATTGAAGAGATTCGTCTAGTCGTTTCAATGTGTGCTGCGCAGGCAGATACGATTTGACAAGCTCACACCCCATTCCACACCATTGAGCTCCCTGGCCGGTGAATATCCCCAGTGTGGATACCTGTCCCGTCTTCGAACGGGTTCCGCAATTCTCAATCCCTTCCTTCATTGCACCTGTTAGCCACTCCTCCATGCGTAAACACAATGTTTCAATGTCTGATGCTGGCCAGGCCACTTTTACCGGTAACGCTGAGCGGCGGCAGCTGAGGGTGTACGAGAGGTCAAAAGGACAAATCGAGGGGTGCTCCTTGAGGTGTGTGAGGTATGATTGAATCATTCTGGTCAATCCCCTGTCGCTATTTGCAGAGAAGGCAAATGGTATCAAGTTTTGCGTCACCGGGTGCTGCTCGCTCCTAGGGGTCGGGAGATGCTCAGTCGATTCCACGATAGCATGCGCATTTGTACCACCAAATCCTGAATTTACCACATTAACTAACCTCTATACTACATGTCTGGAGAAGGGTATCGCCTACCGAAACTGTTGACGCTCGCTCGTCGGGGTTGTCCATCACCTACCTCAGGCCATGGCTCAACGCCCAGCGGGATACGCAGGTGGGAGTAGAATGGCTCAATCTTCGGATTCAAGTTCTCGAAATGAAGGTTTGGGGTCATCACCGCATGCTGCAGGGCCAGGCTGACCTTCAACAACCCGACAATCCCCGCGCTGCCCTCGGTGTGTCCGATTAGCGTTTTCACACTCCCCACGGACAGCTTCTCGTCGCTTGAGTGGCTTCCACTGCCAAAGAAGGCTGTCGCGATTGCCTCAGCCTCCTGTGGGTCACCAGCCTGGGTCCCCGTGCCATGGGCTTCAAACAGCTGGCACCGGTCGCAAGGAGACTCTGGATCCAGCCCTGCCCGTCGGTACGTGTCCCGGATGAGAGCAGCCTGGGCCCTCGCGCTGGGCATTGTGATTCCCGCCGTGCGACCATCTTGATTCACTCCGGTTTCCCGGATAACGCATTCGATCGAGTCTCCATCCTGCAGCGCATTCGCAAGCGTCTTCAAGACTACGGCCACGACAGCCTCCCCGCGTGCATATCCGTCTGCCTTTGAGTCCCACATGCGACACCGTGCTGTTGGAGAGAGCATATGAAGTTTACTCAGAGCAACGTACATCGTCGGGTCGATGGTGAGGTTCGTCCCAGCGGCAACGGCCACCCTGGAGCCGCCTGACCGGAGCTGCTGTATGGCCTCGTGGACGGCTACGAGACTTGACGAGCACGCAGTATCAAGGCAGAGCGACGGTCCGTGCCAGTTGAAGAAATAGGATACCCTGTTCGCAGTGTTGTTGGGCGCTGCGCCGGTGAGATGGTATGTTGGGATGGTATTTAGGTCCCTATCTCGCATCGAGCAGTAATCTCGACACATTTGGCCGACGTAGACGGCCGTGTCAGAGCCACTGAGGAGCTCCATGGGCATTCCGGCATTTTCAATTGCCTCGTAGACGACTTCCAGAAGCAATCTGCCTTGTGGATCGATCGAGTCCGCCTCTGTAGGCGAGATTCCGAAGAAGTCGGCGTCAAAGTGCCCAACATCCTCTGTCAGGAGGTACGAGTCAGTTGTATTCAGCGTTCCGTGGTAGCTGCCATCCTGGTGATAGTGCCTGCCAAGGCTTACTCTGTCGGAGGGAATGCGTTGAGCGAGATTGGGGGTGTCTTTCAATATCTTCCAGAAGCCACTCGCGGAATTCACATCCCCAGGGAGGCGGCATGCGCTACCAATGACGGCAATGGAGGACTCTGAATAGGCCATTGTCCAGACAGTAGCTCCAGATTAGAAATTGATTTATCGATGACACGCAATTTGCTATGATATGAACAGGACCTACACTCGATGACATTTCTTCCCCCACCACTTAACCCTCCTTATTCCCGCCGCACGTATTTCATGGGGATTTCAGTTACCTTGAGCTCTCCATGGACCACGTCACTTCTGCATCTTCACCGCTTCGAGAAAATCCTTTCAGCTTCCGTATCCCAGGAGCCAGCTTCCCCACTCTGCGGTCTCCGGAACAGGAGTCTGTTCCGTCATTTCCTCGATATACTTGACTACTTTACATGCCAGCGTTATATCCCGCAGGATTCGGAGTCGGTAAATGTGCCAGAACACCTGTTGGCTCCGCCCGTCAAACAGCTTCCGGGCGGAAGACGACTGCTCATAATAGGACTCATTTGAGGTGAATACGTGGACAGCGGGGCATCAATTGTCTATTACTTAATTGCATCATCCCAGGAGCTCATATCACTCAAGACAGACAATAACTCTATCACCGGGTCTTGAAAGAATCCCGGGATGCATTGAAAGCGCTCTTGTTTGAAACCAGGCCGGTCTAGACAATCGAAAGCATCCTGGGTTGCTTCGGGAGTGTGCTCCCAATATCACTCGTAGTAAGTCTCGCAATAAACAGACGCTACGCGCACACCAAGTGCGGCCCAGATTACGATGGCCCCAAGACAGATCAACTTGGGTTCTGGCTGCATCTTTACCTGAAGCATCAAGGTTTGCGCCTGCAGGGGGACTGCGCTAATGCCAGCCCCACTGGGACAGATAAATCTCATCTTACCAGTCAAAACTGCGAGTCATTGCCGCATCATATCAGCAAGGGAGGTAAATCTTGGCGCTACTTGTATGTATATCTCATCACCGCTTATTATTTTCCTGAAGAAGGAAAAGATATGTGGAAAGACAAAGTGGCGGGGAGCTATTACAGCGCCATCCAATAGCCCGTACGTAGGCTGACATCGTTTTCTATCTTGTAAACTTTAGAAGTCCTGCTCGATGATTGCCTATCCCCATTTGCCTTTCCTAGCGACACCGAAATGTTGTGTCCCAGAGTGTACCAACGGAGTGTCTTTTACTTCGTAGTCAAGCTTGCGTCCATTCTTTCCGCCCCCTCACTTCGTTTGCGAATAACAAGCCGGCAGTCTCTTGGTGCAAGTAGTGTTCCCTGGCGCAAAGTTAGTGTGCATCCCAGACATTTTACAAGACAAGAAAATGGAAATGAAAAGGAAAGAAAAGAAAAGAAAGAAAGGACTCCGCGGGTTAACAGATTGTTCATCATACCGTACTCAGTGATGTCTGGTAATCTCCAGGTAAATCCCACTCTAGCTCGCGAACCAACTCACAGAGGACTACCTTGAGCTGTATGAGAGCGAATCGACTTCCCAGGCATCTTCGCGAGTGCAATCCAAAGGGAAAGTACATGCCCCGGGCCTGTCTAATCCGAAATTCACGCTGGATCACCGCGCAGTCGCTGCCCCATCGATCTGGCCTAAATTCCATGGCTGCAGGGCCCCAGTATTGGGGATCCGTGTGTGTGCCGTAGGAGTGCCAGGCGATCAGGGTCCCCCTTGGAACCGTAAACCCGCCCCCGAGCTGCATGGATGATTTGGCTCTGCGGTTCGCCAATATAATCAACGGTGGATACAGTCGGAGGGCCTCGTAGATCACCGATGTAAGCAGTGGGAGTGTGTCGACATCCTCTGATGAGTAGTCCTGTCCCAGGCTCTGGGTTAGCTCGGTGTAGAGATTTTGCTGGATACCGGGATTTTTTGCCAGCTCTAGCATGGCGGATATAGCGACCATTTCCACATTTTCGTGGCCGGCAACAAAGAGCTGCTTGAGGTTGGAGCGATAGTGGAAGTTGGAGAAACTGCCATCTTCATGGGCACGGTTCAGGTGGTGGATCAGTTTATCGCTTTCTTTTGGGGCGGGGGTTCCCGGTTTTCTTCTTATCTGGGCATTTACGTTGCTGAGGACAAGGTTCTCGACTTTCCCAAATCGCGTCAATGTTCGTTGTGTAGTCCTCCACCGCCATGGTAGCCGGTCCAATACTGGGAAAAGGCCCGTCAGCCTCCCCATGGGGGACCGGTTATGGGCAATGATTATCTGCTGAATCGAATACTGGGAAAAATCCAGATCCCGCGGGTGCAATTCCAGGTCCAGGAAATACTCCCCAAAAATCTCAATTGCCCAGCGCCATATGTGTTCGCCCACGCTGGTCCCCGATATCGCCGAGGGCGCCTCTGTCTGCTTCCTGTACAGTTCCCCTGCGAGCAAAGCCGATCTCACCCTCATATATTTAATTGAAAATCGTCGGAGAATGCCTGGTTTCACGACTTGAGTGAAGAAGCGATGCAGTCCGCCGTCGGAGTCGATGATATTCTCGCCGAATAACCAGGCGAATATTCCGCCCGGCACGCGGTGATAGAGCCCATTCTTCTCCAAGAGGTCACCCTCGTTTTTAAACACCCTCGACACAAACTCGGGCTTTGTAGCTAAAACGACCCATTGCCCATCATGCCAGATGCCAACAGCACCGGCCGTCTCTGTCAGATGTCGGACACGAGTATTGTAGAACTCCACCCGGGAGCGGCCACGTAGAATATCATAGACTAGCGTATAAAGTGGCACGACCGGAATATTCCTGGGGAGCCTCCTCTTGGGGGAAGTAAGATAAATCAAGGTGCACAAATTCAGTCCTATGAAGCAGATAAACGCCGAAATGAACATCGTTGTGTTGGATACGTGATGCTAAGGAGAAATCTTCACACGGAGGCCGTCCGATCCGTTATTGAAATGCCCGCCAAAAGGCATACCATTTGGTTTGGGTATCTTAACCTTAACAATATGTGCCATACAAGCTGGTGAATCTTATTTCATAGGCGGTGAATAACAACAGCCCCATCCTTGTTATTGAGAAGCTCCTATTCGATGTGGCAAAAGTCTAATTTCTTTAACAAAACCTCATTGAAGGGAGAAAACAGGAAAAAGGAAAACGCAACAGTGAAAGGTAAATGTAACCAGAACCAGAATGGGGACACTAGTGTATTGGACGGCATATTTGTTTCAGCGCATGCAGAGAGGAAGCACAAGCAGGACTAGGACTTAAAGTAGCGGTGAATCAAATAAAGCAACTAGATGTGGTTCAATAAAGGAGGTAGGTTATGGCACACTATACGCTGATGACCGACACAAGTCAAGCTCACTTTACTGGGCACAATGGGACACCATCAGGCCGTTACCTTCCAGCATCTAGAGTCTTCAGGCGGCGAAAGAGAGCTATTTCGCCCTTGGACTAGCTACTGGCCGCCATTGCCCGGGAGTCGGCTGTATAAGTGGCTCGAGGCAGAGATTCCCGACGCCCTCAGTTGGCGTTTCCGGCCGGAAAGCCCCTTTGACCAGCCGTGGAAGATTTGGATCAGACAACTCCGAGAAGCGGGCAAATCCTATGCACTAGACCCTCCACACAGACCTGATCCCGTGGCAAGTAGTTATGGCAAAGTCGCTGATGAAGGTGCCAAACAAAAGGAACTATCGCGTCAAGAGAATACGCGACAGATTGACGAGGAGATCAAATCGTTGGAGCTCCCGGCGCAGCAAATCAACAACTTCGAGTACATGGCTTGGGATCCCAGGTTCCTGGTTGAAAAGCCATTCCGTTCCCGCCTCCCATTTCTAGATGGTCTGGGACAAGACTATGTGCTAAGCCAGCCCTACAGCGTTCCCATCCATGATATCTCGGGGGCTGAGAACCATTTCACTCTCGACACATCCGGTTTCAGTTTTCTACGGGTTCCAGCGAAAATGGAAGAATGGAGCGATGATTCCATCCGCAATCAATACTTGCCACAGATGCAGAAGTGGTTGAAAGAGTACTTTGGCAGTGAGCTTGTTTATATCTTTACATACAGCGTAAATTCTCGTGTTTCCTATTGTACCAAGTAGCTGAACCTGTTATTAACTGCCTTCCGCCCTACTTAGCTTCGATGCAAAGATAAACACCGAAACCCTGCCCAGCCATGGCTGGATCCAGTAATGCGTGTTCACTGCGGTATGATTCCCATGATACACCCTCTCCTTCATCATTCTTCATTTCTCTCATGACGGCAGATATCACCCCGAAGTCCAGCGTTACCAACTTGAAGGTTCTCATGCCTGACAAAGCTGCCGACGTGCGGCGGAGGCGGCATCGTTTTGTCAAGTATAACCACCCACCACTCTTTTCAATTATTTTACAATATGACCGTGATGGTGTTGCTAACACAGTCTTTAGTCTCTGGCGGCCCCTCACGGCACCATTCCAAGACTATCCTCTGGCCGTATGTGATTTTCGCAGCATTTCCGCAACTGACCTTATTGCCACGGACGTGATCTTCCCGCATTACTGCAATGAGGGGTTCGAAGTCAGGCACAGCCCACACCATCGCTGGTTTTATAAACCAGGAATGAGTGTCGACGACGTGATACTATTCACTATGTTTGACAATGACCCTACAAAGGCTACATGTAGGCTTTATCTTTTCTTCTACCCCTTTTCGGTAGAGCCGGACCTTAATCATGGGAATAGTGTGCCCCCATGCGGCTTTCCTCGATCCATCTGCTCCGCTGGATACGCTTCCTCGTGCGAGTATTGAAATACGAGCTATTGTTCTTGGATAGACATATTCCCGAACAACGGGTCTACCCTACTAGGATGCTGTGGAGACCACTTTCCTTTCCCTATGATTGGATGCCTTCAGCCTCGTTGGTTATCTTGTATACACTCGGCCTATTTGGGAAATATTGTCTATTTAAAGGACGCAGTGGAATTGAGGTGCGAGTTTCACCAGAAAAAACCGCTACTAGGCCAAGATAGGCCTAGCTAGGCCCCTACTAACAGACCATGGTTAGATTCAGTTTGAGTTGGTTTTGATTTGGGTTGGTTTGGGTCTAAGTTTCAATGTGTTTTCAGAATTCATTTTCTCCTACCTTAGGGGCCTATCAGATATGCTTATATAAAATTATTATTTTTATATGATATATGGTATTTATCAATTCAATATCTATAGGGTTGAATGGGTGTTGGTTGATACTCCTTCTTAACTGTAATAATTGTCAAAGGTTGATGTATATATACTATAAACAATCACTACTTCCATACCAACCCATGACAGAAATGATTATTCCTTTATATCTCACCAATCACGGGATATTTTGAATTAATACTTCATATGTAGATAGACTAGATACTAGGCTATCTGGTGATATCAATATTTCCAGAGAAAACATTAAAAATAGTGACTACTAAGCAAAATAGTGCGGGTTGGTTAACCTAAATAGTTAAAACCTCAAAAACTATAACCAATGGTTTTTAACTGAACACGAATCGGTTTCACCCTAGGGAAACTGAATCTGGAGTGATTCCCTAGGCTAGGAACTGTACCCTCATTACTACGAGTTTGGTGAGGGTTGGATTCGATTTTAGAGGTTTAGTTATGCAACTCTAGCGTGAGTACGTCAGACAAAGCTACAGTGCTGATTAGATGCCATGGAAACTTATATGCTAAACCCAACTCTATCACCATTAGCATACTACCAGTAGACCTTCCACCATGTCTGCGTCTCCTACATCCCCCAACCCTAGTACCAGTGGCAAGAGAAGACAAGCCATAAAACTTATGACATAGCAATTGCTGCAAGTGGACAGCAGGGATAGACCTTTAGACACCAAGAGTACGCACCATTAGCCTTGTTAGCCGCATAGACAGCCTTAGAGGAGGGAAGAGGAAACCATCACACCACTCCTGTATAAATATTCACAGCAGATTTGATGTAATGTTCCAGTAGGAGTGAAGAGTTTACACCAGCAGCTAAACTCGGACGGATACCAGGTGGATCTTGTCGGCTGGGGAGAGAAATTGCCAGCGAGCCAAGATATCGTCTCTTTGCTCGACCTTGAAGTCCCATTCTTCGATGGTATCACCAAAGAAAATCTCGCGCTCTTTTACAAACAGTCAAAGATCACTCAACGTCGAACTTCCTGTGGGTAACCCATGCAGCACAGATAAGGCCACAGGATCCGCGATTCGCCCAAGTGCTGGGCATGGCGCGGACACTGCGTCCTGAGCTAGGCGTTCCATTTGCTACTTTGGAAATGCAAGACTTTGGGCCAGGTTCCATGGAAGCCATCTGCCTTCTCCTGCGCAAAATCCAGCGCCGAACAGCGGAACCAACTGAGGTTTCTGAATTCGACCCAGACCAAGAATTTGCTTGGACCAATGGTGTTATCCATGTTAGTCGCATGTATTGGCTCTCCATTCCTGAAGCAGGTGGGAGCTTTTCGACAGCTACCTTGGAGATAGGCCGGCCGGGATTGCTCAACACGCTCCGTTGCGCCCCCCAGCCAATGAAGCCACTGCAGCCCGATGAGGTACGGGTCAAGACCATGTCAGTCAGCATGAATTATCGCGAGCTTCTTGTCGCCATGGGAGTGGTTCCCAATGAGGGCCAGGAAGTGGTGGGGACTGATGCTGGTATCGTGACAGCAGCCGGAGCCAACGTCACCAACGTATCGGTTGGCGATCGAGTCATGGCTATCAGCGTTGCGGAAACCAGCTATACGACCGAGTTACAGCTCTCCAGCCAGCTCTGTGCTCGAATCCCAGATGACTGCGGCTTTCAAGATGCAAGCACACTGCCCACCATATATCTTACCGTGCTGAGAACCCTGCGAGAAAAGGTAAATCTCCGAGGAGACCAAACAGTACTCATTCATAGTGCCGCTGGAGGAGTGGGCATCGCAGCCATCCATTATGCGAAATGGGCTGGTGCGAAGATCTACGCGACAGTCAGCTCACCAGAAAAGACGGCGTTTTTGGTTGAGAAGATGGGCGTGCCGAAAGAAAACATCTTCTACTCTCGAGATAGTAACTTCCTGGACGCAGTTATGAGGTCAACGGATGGTCGGGGAGTCGGCGTGGTGCTCAACTCGCTGTCAGGTGAGCTGTTGCGTGCCTCATGGCAATGTGTCGCGGAAGGAGGAAGCATGATCGAGATCAGTAAACGAGACCTTCTCTGCCGGGCGCAACTGGCGATGAGTCCGTTCTTGGCCAACCGGTCGTATATCGGGGTGGACATTGCAACTCTCCCGTTGATAGAACCCACTTGGGTTCAAGAGCACTTGGTCACGATTGTGGACCTGTACAGCCAGGGCATTATACATCCTGTCCGCCCGATTACAACATTTCCCGCCAACCAAGTCGAAGACGCCTTCCGGCACCTGCAAAAGGGACAACACATCGGCAAACTCTGTATCCAATTCTCGGACTCGCCAGACCTTCGACTGGTCCCGAGTGTAGCGGAACTAGAATTGCGAGCGGACCGAGCCTACCTATTTGTGGGTGGAATGCGCGGCATCGGTGTATGGATCGCAAGATGGATGGTATCCCATGGAGCCAAGAACTTGGTATTTCTTTCTCGCTCAGCGGGGGAGAAGGAGGAGGACAGAGCACTTGTCCGCGAATTGTCCGAGATGGGATGCCAGGCCCTAACCTTTGCCGGTGACGTTGCCGACCTAGCGACTGTTCAACGCGTTGTCTCGAGCATCGCAATGCCGATCGCGGGTGTCATCCAGCTGGCCATGGTGCTTGCGGACACTGGGGTGATGGATATGGACATAGGAAAATGGAACGCAGCCGTCAGACCCAAAGTCAATGGAACCTGGAACCTGCATGAAGCTCTACCAACCGATCTCGATTTCTTTGTCATGGCGTCGTCTCTGTCCGGTATATTCGGGAACTACGGCCAATCCAACTACGCAGCCGCAAACACTTTTCTGGATGCTTTTGCCCAATTTCGCCAATCAAGGGGGCTTGCTGCATCAACCGTGGACCTCGGTGTCGTGGACGAGATTGGGTGGGTCAGTCGGAATGCATCCGTCCACCGTAAAGTGGTGAGCAGATGAGTACCACGATCTCAGAAGAGAGCTTGTTGAATTGTTTCCATTTGGCAATTATCCACTCCTGTCCTTCGACTGGCCTTTCGCCGCCATTCCAGCCACTTATGGGATTCCGATCACGCAACCAGCTACTGCATGGTCTCTTGTCCAAGACGGGTATCGCTAAAGGGCAATATATCTGGCAGCGAGATCCCCGCACCGCTTTGAGTCGCGTTCATCATCAGGAAGGGGAGGTCCCTTCTGGCAGTGGCGAGGCTAAAGGTGGTGGGCTAAAGACCTTCCTTTCCGCCGTCCAGGACAATCCGGAGGTTCTGCACGACGCATCGAGCGCTCAAGTTACAGCCAAGGAAATCGCCCGCCAGGTGTCCATTTACACGATGCGAGACAGTGAGCAGGAGGTAGATCTGACATTGTCGCTGCAGGATTTTGGTGTTGACTCCTTGGTCTCAATCGAACTTCGCAACTGGTGGAAGCAGGCGTTTGGGGCTGATGTGACCGTGCTGCAGCTGATGAATAGCGGCAGCTTTCTGGGTCTCGGTCAGAAGGCGGTAGATCAGCTCAAGCAGAAGTATTTGAAGCCATAATGCTGCGTAGACAAAGTTATATGTGATTTTGACTGAGTGATGTGACTATTGAACTGAGATTTTTCCCTTGTCTCCCTTGACTCTTCCCCCTTGTCTACTGACAGTTACACTGCTCACATTACTATTGTAATTCAAAATTAATGACTGGAACATGCCTGCCACACTCTATCAACGCACCCATGTAAACTTCATGTTGACACCTAGTTATAGTATGTATACTACATCACTAGAGATAATCTGGAGAAAGTATGAGACCAACATCCGTATCTTCCTGGCTATAAAGCATCGATGGCCTTAAGCTCCCCAGGGTATATATTGAGACTAGCATAGTAAATTGTGAATATTGGATTCAACCTCACCGAACTCGCAGGCTCCCTCATGGGACCGCGATCAATTGCGACATCGAATTAGCGGACTAAAGGCCAGCCTTGGTTAGCATTGGGCATTTCCTTATCCCTATCCCAGAAGCCTTGGACGACTGGACGTTCAGTCTTTCTAGAGTTGCATAACCGAACCGCTAAAACCTAAACCAACCCTCACCGAACTCGCAGCGGTGAGGGTTCGGTTCCTAGATTGCGAAATCGCACCGGGTTCGGTGCGGGTCAGGGTCAGATCCAGGGTCAGCGGTTAAACCGCAAGAAACTGTTTTGCTTAGTAATCACTAATTTCTAGGAATTCACTACGAATATTAATATCACCAGATAGCCTAGTATTTAGTCTATCTAGATATAGAATATCAATTCAAAATATGTTGTGGTTGGTGAGACATAGGAAAATCATCATTTCTGTCATAGGTTGGTATGAAAGCGGTGGTGGCTTATATATATATATGCATCGACCTCTGACAATTACTATAGTCAAAGAATGATTTTTAACCACCACCCATTCAACCCTATAGATATTGAATTAATATTTTAGACATAGATTAAAATGACTATAATTACCATCTATTTCATATAAAAATATTAATTTTATATAAGCATGTTTAATAGGCGCCTAATATAGGAGAAATTGAATTCAAAACCATTGAAATTAATCTGTTCAGGTTATATAAATCGAAACCAAACCGAACAAAATCTAACCATAGTTAGTTAGTAGCGGCCTGGCTAGGCCTATCTAGGCCTAGTAGCGGTTTTCTGCAGTTAAACTTGAACTAAACTAGAACAGATCAGGTTTGGTTCTAATTTCTAGAATTTGGACTCGAAATCGCAGCAGTTCAGTTCCAATGAGGTTTGAACTTGCCCGAATTCGGACCGAATGCAACTCTTAAGTATAATTCCCTAGGCTAGGAACCAAACCCTCACCACTGCAAGTTCAGTGAGAGTCAGATTTAATTTTAGCAGTTCGGTTATGCAACTCTATTCAAGTTTCGCAGTTCAATTATGCCACTCTAGATCCACATACCTATAGCCATTCAGCACTCAGGGATTGTATGCAGCAAGTCACGTGACTGTCAGTGACTTCTTATTGAATTATATGACCGCTTGCCCGATTAGGAAGACTACGAATTGGCTTAGCACTGCCACCCTTAGCCGAATATTCGATAGCATTCGATCGTTCGAATAGCTTCAATTCCACCGCTATCGAAAGAGATAAATAGTAGCTAGATAGTCATTCATTTAGAAGATCAGACCTTCATTGATTTTCAATTGGCCATATAAATTACTAGTGATCCATGAACATTACTAGCTTAGCGATTTCAACAGTTATGAGCCCGGCCTGCCCTTAAGAGCCGCACAGATCGATTTGGAAGCATTCTTCTAGGCATTGCATGTTAGAGAGCTCTATCTCAGGCATTAGAGAGATATCTCATTGGAATTGACTTACCTGAATTAGAAGAATTAAGGTTATATCGACACCGCCGTCACCCCTGAATTAAAGCCGAGATGGATTACTACGCAGAACCAATATGATCCACCAGGAAGGTCTCCATCGTGCTAGATACGCCCGATGATTGGTGGAATTGGGATGCACACATACGCGGTCTAGCCATGGCATATGGAATACTGGATATCTTGCTCCAGAAGACGCCGCGCTCTGCGAAACCAATTCACCCTGACGATTTAGAATTCAAATTGACCAATCGGAACGCTGCACCGAGCAACCAAACGATGGTAGCAAGATCTGAATCTTTGAATAATCAAGATAAGCAAGATACGTGAGAACAAGTGAGCCAACTAGCAGAGAGAGATGGACATCTGCCATAAGTAAGCTAATCAGCTGCGGCAGCTCTTGATCTAAGAACCTTATATAAATGCCAAGTGAGCCGCTGGAAGAGACAATATAAGGAATGGAAGAAAGCAGAGAATGGCCTAGCAGCTATCTAGCAAGAAATGGAGCAAATGGTTACGCAGAGACACCTCAGGCGGCTAACTAGCTAATCAGATAATGCTATTGAGAGGTATTTGAAGTTAAAAGCTAAGATGGAGCCAAGCAAGGAAGATCTGATATCACACATAACAGCAAGGTATAATCAACTCCTATTAAAACTAGCCAATCAGAACGTTGATATATAGTTAGGAGAATGGGAAGACATAATGAGCAAATATAATTGTCTTGAAATGACTAACCTTACAGGAGAAGATGGAACTAGGACCTTCCTGATAGCACTGAGGAGGCTAGATTAAATGTACGCTGAGATTAGACTGAATGAATTAAGGAAGGACAGATCCCTGAACATGTTTAATGAGATCCATTATTTCCAGAAATAGTGGTGATCCCTTAATCAGAAAGAATAGAAGAGTATATTTGCTACCTTTAAAGGACAATCCTCTGATCAACAGAATTCTGATTTGACCAATCAGAGCCATGGAAATGAACAGCCTAAGCAAGGCCCCAAAGACTACCCTTGCGGAGATAAGCACTGGTTTGATAAATATCCATATTTAATCAAATCATTAAGGCCAAATGGGTGGAAGCCGAATGCAGATATTATAGAATGATTTGAATGGCTTAAGCGTAACCCTAAGCTGCAATATACAATGGAATCAGTAATTAAATGAGCTAATCAGAATTAAGAAGCAACCTGTACTGTAATAAGTATTATTCATAGTGATTCCGCACTATTTTCCCTAGGAAGCAACACATATGAACTGTAAGATAGTTGGATTGTTAATTCAGCGGCAGATATTAATATCTGCAATAATCAAACTCAGTTTCTCACCTATGAGCCGGTGGAAGACAAGTATATGCATTTTAGTTTGATACATAAGCAAATCCTTAGATATGGAAGTGTTGAACTAAGAGCAATTAGAATGAATGGAAAGCCACATATCTTAGAACTAAGCAGAGTGGCTTACATGCCTAGATACTATATAAGTTTGCTCTCAACCTATCAGATGAAGCAGTATGGATTTTATCTTAATTAATGCACCAATACCATAGAAGATTAGAATGGGAAGCCGATCTGCCGTATAGAGATAAGATACAATATAGAGGTAGTGGAATATAACCCAATACCAAATATCTTCACCATGAATTAATATTTGGAGAGGCCGCACGAATCAGCCAAAACAAGTAAGCGATGGCATCAACAGCTAGCATACCTGGGAGATGAGGCCATACAGCATTTAGAAGAGGCATCTGTCAGTGCCAAAGTATTAAGCTACAAGAGATCAATATGCGAGACATGCAGGCTAGTAAAGGCCTATAAGTAGATATCTTAAACACCCAGAGAGAGAGCTACTGAGCTATTTAAGAGTATTTATTTTAATATAATTCTGATGACTCTAGCCTATAACAGAGATCGTTGGGCTACGCATTTTATATGCAAATTAACTAGATGGCATGTAATCTACACACATCTAAGCAAAGATCAGCTTAATGACTTAATAAACCAATTCATCACATAGGTAAAGACGCAATTCAGTGTTAGGCCAAAGAGAATGTTCTTAGATCGCAAGCTAACGCTTGGAGGAGAATATATATGCACTATGCAGATAGATGGCACCAAAATCTACCATTCAACATGATATATCAATGAACAGAAGGGCCTAATTGAACGCGCTGGACAAACAGTAATTAAGATAGCTTAAAGCATGCGAATAGCTGCAAGATTACCAGAAAAGCTATGGCCGCATATATTCCATGCTGCTGTTTACCTACACAATCAATGGCCGCGAAGAGAGGCAGTAGAAGAGAATAGACAGAAGAAATAGATCTGGATCATACTATATAAGAAGCTTTATGGCAAGAAGCCCTCCTTAGCAAATTTGCGTGTATATGGATGCAGAGCGTACGTCAGGCAATATAAGATTCTGAGGCCAAAGAAGCTGGATCCATGAGCCTAGATAGGCTATCTTATTGGATATACTGTATCTAATGTGTGGAAGATATAGAATCCATTAACCAGGAAGATCACCAACGAGAGAGACATCATGTTCAACAAAGATATTATATTTAATCCAGATAAACCATTCCACACAGAAGCAATTAAAATATCAGATCTTCCAGAGCCACCGATCAAGATTAATGCAACGAATGAATATATACAGATTAGGCAGGTGGCAGAGTCAGAATCTAGCAATGATGATGAGTTGGATAAGGTTGAAGCTCGGGGGGTGAATGTACTAATTAATGTAATAAGTAAGAGAACTATACTAGAAAAGGAAGGTGGTCAGATGGCAGAATTACTAGTAGCAAACCTCGCACCTCTAACTCCCCATGCTACGCCTGGAAGACCTATCCAACATGATGAACCTGATGAGTCTATTAAGCAAGATGAGGCATTATGACTGACTTAATATAGCATCCCTGGAGGCTGGGTTGATAGCCCGCAGAGAGAGCAACCTGTTCACCTTAATTTAATGACCCCAAGATCACCTATAAGAATCAATGATTCCCCAGAGCCTGAGACGCCTATAAGATTTATAGATACTCTGCCTAAGTCCCCAGATCACCTGGAACCAGAAGATTCACCTTCAAAATAGCTCTTTGAGGAGGTAAATCAACTAAGTATTGCCCCAGACACTGTAGATGACATCAATGATATCCTGAAGAAG